ATTGAAAGTATACATACTGAATTTAAGCTTATAAAGAAATAACATTTGATCCGACCAGACCATTTACATGATTACTAAAAAACCTTAAAATATAATCCAACAACACATTGACTATACTAGATATAGATTGAATCCACCACTAGTATTGAAAGTATACTGTACCTACTAAAAAGTTTATGAAGAAATAACATTTGATCCGACCATACCATTTGCAAAATTACTCAAAAATCTTAAAATATGATCCAACACATTGACTATACTAGATATAGATTGAATCCACAACTAGTATTGAAAGTATACCTACTAAAAAGTTTATAAAGAAATAACATTTGATCCGACCATACCATTTGCAAAATTACTAAAAAATCTTAAAATATGATCCAACAAATTGACTATACTAGATATTGATTGAATCCGCAACTAGTATTGAAAGTATACCTACTAAAAAAGTTTATAAGGAAATAACATTTGATCCGACCATACCATTTACATGATTACTAAAAAATCTTAAAATATGATCCAACACATTGACTATACTAGATATAGATTGAATCCACAGCAACTAGTACCTACTTAAAAAGTTTATAAAGAAATAACTTTTGATCCGACCATACCATTTGAAAAATTACTAAAAAACTTAAGATATGATGCAACAACACATTGACTATACTAGATATAAATTGAATCCACGACTAGTAAAAACAATGTACGACATGACACTAGACAGGTCTTCGTCTTAAGGTAACAAAATCTAATTCATTGTTAGCTGACAATCTTTATGGAGATAAATTCTGGTGGAAATACGTCAATCTATCTCTTGAACTAACCAATTTGGCGTTCATGTTTACGAAGCACTATAGTACACGATCATAGTCAGATTTTTTGTAAGGCCTCATCATGATTGTAAAGCAGCATATGGATTATTTCATACAACTAATAAATCACGCGCTGTGCGGTTCCTTAATTAATGAGGGTATACCGTTGTACATATATCGGTCTTTAATAAAGTAATTGTTCATCCCGAATGGACTGAATGTAATCACAAAGAACATATCTTAATACTCATGTATATCTCAATTACATACTGTTGAGCGTAATTAGTAATGTACTGATGTATGCTCCCTATAATACGGAAAACTATGTTTGCTTAGCTTTTAATCTCGATTTCTAATGTAACGACTTATATTAGATATGAGACATTTTTGGAATAAAGACAAGAAGATGGGATTTGGTTTTCAAGATACGATTTGGATTGTCAATTTGCAATTTTTAAACCTAGATCTTTCAACAAGTTGAACTTACCAAGGAAACCTTCCGTATACACATTCCAATTATTTTTCCTAGAAACAACGACCGTTACAAAGTAAATAATTTTGATTTCACGAAACTCTGACCTGAAAGTATTAGATTATAAAAGAAGTTTACTATCACATCAATTGTTGCTTTCTCTTTCCGCATTCAAAAATTGCGTGGCCAGTTTATGTTATGAAAACCCGAGGTTACGAGCATTGGTATCAAACGTTTTAATAAATATGAATAACGGTCGGGGAATAACCTTAGTTTGAATTAATACTATGGTTGACATAACGAGAGTAATTGATTAATGTTTTAAATCAAACATGATGCTACGACCAACAATAGTTTGCTATGATGAATGTTATTTTTGTTATAATGGTTGAGGCACCGAACGATATTGATAATTCAAACTCGATTTGAAGGTAGAAGACTCATAGTTGACCAAAATAGGGTCGAACAAGGCATTAACATGCAAAATGGCACCATCTGCCATTTGTTACAGACGATGAACCCTAATCGCCGACCGCCGAACACGAACAGTCGAATACCGTCCACAAGAAGTTAGGGACTACAACAATATGTCACCATTCTTTAGTGACATGAAAACGTCATCCTAAATTGTGCTTTCATAAGCAAGGGGCAATTTTCCAACATTTTAAGGGGGCCCTCAACGTAAGTTGTTTATTTGTTCGTGGAACCATTCAGTAAAATTACGACGTCTTTGCACTTTAAAGTGCTCCTGAGACCGTCTACCCAAAGTTGGCTCGCTATCTTGATGCAACCACGCACTCATTGGTGGAACCATTCTGTAACATTACGATTTCTCTGCACCGAAGTTCTCGTGAGACATTTGACAACGTGTACCCAAAGTTGGCACGCTATATTGATGCAAACACTGATCATGACTCATTGGTGGAACCATTCAGTCATTTCTCTGCACCATGATGTCCAATCAAGATCATCCGAGTACCTTTGAGCTCCTGAGACGTTTGACAACGTCTACCCAAAGTGGGCATGCTATATCGACGTAGTTTATGATTGAGCTCTTGTATTTATCCAAATAGTGTTATACAATTAGACTTCCCGGGTTAGACTTGTGCTAAAAATTATTCAGAAATCTGGTACACCTGGACTATCTTTCAGATAAGCAGTATTTCTAAATATTAAGCAGTGAGTTAACAACCAATGCAGGCGAACCAAACGCAATATACAGGGTGTTCAAAAAAAACGCAACCCAAAGAAATCGCAATATCTTGGAAAATACTAATCCAATTATGTTCATATTTTCAGGAAAGAAAGAAGAGACTGTGTATGTATAGCCCTGTTGTTAGTTAGTTGTAAAACATGATATCTTGGACACTTTCTCAAAAGACAGTTGTACTAGCAAAATATGAAAAACGTGAATGGAAAATCATTATATCTTGGAAAATATTAATTCAATTATGTTCATTCTTTCAGGAAAAGAAGAAGAGACTGTGTATGTATAGCTCCTGTTGTCAGTAAGCTATAAAACATGTTGCCTTGTACACCTGCTCAAATGACAGTTGTACTAGGAAAATATGAAAATGCAGTCAGAGGTGACTGCCACAGCAATAAAACCAAATAACTTTCTAACCATGGTGATTTGGCACTTCAGATTTGGCACAAATTATCCTCGTTCAATGTGTAGTGAATTTGTGGAGTTTCATCAAAATCACTCCAGGGACTTTACAGTCATGGTCAAAATGGCTTCTTAAGTCTCTCTGAACCAGGGCGTTTGACTGCGATTTGAAAGCATTTCAGCCATAATTGTAAAGTCCCTGAAGTGATTTTGATTTCACTCAACAGATTTACCATACAATGAATATGAAAATGATTTGTGCCAAATTTGAAGAGCCAAAGCACTATGGTTAGGAAGTTATTTAATTTTTTCGCGGATGCTGTCACCCCTGATTTGGTTTTTCATATTTTCCTCGTACAACTGTCTTTTGAGCAGGTGTCCAAGGCATCATGTTTTACAACTAACCATTTACAGGAGCTGTTCATACACAGTCTCTTCTTTATTCCCTGAAAATATGAACATAATTGACCCAGCATTTTTCAAGATATAGCGATTTCTTTGGGTTGCGTTTTTTTTTTAACACCCTGTATATCTGCAATTTTTGCTTCGATATTTTCAAAGCATTATTGTTGAATTCCATGGATTCTGCTAGATATAAGATTATCCCATTAGCGACGTAATAGATTATCTTTGTTAAGCATTAATCTGATGTATCGTAATATGTTATTAAAAATCAGTCTTGAATTATCTTCCTTTCTGTCTGACTTAATCTTTATTTGACTACACGTTAGTATACAGGGTTGGCCAAAACATAATACCTAGTTTAAAGATGAATATCATATGATACATGTTATATCATGTCATGTATTATATATCATATTAAAGATAAATCATTTCCTAACAATATGACACCGTCCGTTAGAAAAATCGTTGTTTTCCTGTGGAGTTAGAGGCTAAAATTGACACCAGGGGTTTCATGAGTGACCAAGAAAATATATTCACTGCTGATTTCCAATTTGTGAAAAATAGAGAGAAAATAAAAGTTTAGTGCAAAATTTTCACCAATAATAATATATCTTTTGAATCAACTGTCAATTGTGTATTACTCTTCTATAATGATTCAGTCAAGCATATTGAGTTCAGCTGTGACTGCAATATGAAGGGAAATACTGGAATTTTCATTTTTTGATTTTTGGTCGCTCATGACACCCTTGGTGTCAATTTTGATTCAGCCTCTAACTCCACAAGAAAACAAGAGTTTTTTAATCGGATGGTGTCGCATTGTATGGAAATGATTTATCTTTAAAATGATATATGAAACATGCCATGGTTTATCATATCATATCATATGAATCATTCACCTTCATACTTGGGTATTGTTTTTTGGCCTTAAACCTGTATGTGTGAAATATTTTGATTCCCATGAGCTGATATACAAAAATAGTTTAATAAAGATTCTCAATTGAGAAATAGGTAATTTTATAAAAGGATTTCGCATCTTTTTTAGATTTCATTTAAAAGAAAAAAGTCCCAAGCTGACAGTGCCATCTTTTTCAATGAAAGCAACATTCTTCATTGCGTCATTTTACACATTTATGTAGTCGCCGTCCACAAAAAAGTTGGAGACTATAACAATACAACTATGATGGTAACATAAAAATCTCGATTGATCGTGATGCATAGCGTTGACTCATCAATACATGCATTAACTACTAGTATTGTTTATTAATTTTAAAGATAATGTATTTAATAATTTAACCCAGTTGAATTTTATATACACTGTTGCTCGTACATCTGCAATATTTGGCAAAAACAGTTTAATGTCTTTATTATGAGAATTACAAACGTTTTCATTGTTAAATTGGGATTTTTTATAATTTTTTTATTTCAAAGAATAAGCATGTTAAAGCAACTGCAAAAAAACAATTACAATACAGTTCCATGGTAAACATACAATTTACAATTTTACAATACATGAATAACGGTTTTTAATATTGAATAGATGACTGGATCTGGAAATAATATTTATTTACCATACGCACAAAAAGATGTCTCTAGCTATTTATGGATGGACTTTAAGGCCTCGCTCCTAGCATTTGAACGATGTTTTAATAGAAGTAAATCAATACCCTCTGAATAGCTGAAAGCCTTTATAAAAAGTATACACTAACATAAAGCAATGTTTTTGATTGCCAACGCATGCATTTACTACAGATGTGTTGGAATATGAAACATGGTATTCACCTGGAGGACCTAATAACGAACAATCGCTACCGGATGGCACATATGTACTGCAGGAAGAGCAGCAAAAAATCGAAATCACATTGAAATCACATTGTATGCCAAACGAGACGGTTGATGGGATTGCCATTAGCTCATAGTCACCCGGATGTAAGTATATCTATAGCACTCTGATTAGTCTGATACCATTGTAATTGTTTTCCAATTAGCCTCATAACAAAACTCTTAGAGGGGAGATGACATAGTTTATAATGATGAGTCTTAAGTTTGAATTAGAATTTAGAATTTAGAATTAGAATTAGAATTTATTAAGGCACGGCCACTGTGATATCAGGGCATGGCCAGACTACAATTATACAAACTACATTTATACAGTTACATTTATACAGTCACGTTAATCTACAAAGATATTAAGACAATATATTTGTAGATTATGACAACATAATTAAGTTTGAATGTAAGGGATTAGACTGTACTGTATAATGCTCTTCTATTCATTTCAGTTCACGAATGGTCGACATTCTACCCAGCGTCTGTGTAGCTCACTAGAACATAGCTGACCCAACCGTGAGCAAGCTCATAAATTCACGAAGGGAGGCCCAAAAATTTTAATCCTCCCATTTTTCATCCATTGAGGCCAATTTCTCTAAAAGTGTGTAACTTAGCCTTCCTAATATACATCGAGTTCATACTGTGAAAAAATGTAAACATGTTGAATAGTTTGTGATAAACATGAAAAATACGTGTACGCCTTGCGCCAGGTACGTTACGCCTCGTGTATTCTCCAATTTCAGAGACAAAAAAGTCTTAGAAAATAGTGAGAATTGAAATTAGAAATATATCTATGACACCAGGTAACCAAAGAGCCTGTTTCTCTTTCTGCGAATACTTGCAAAATGGCCTAGTTATCAGCAACGTCTCGCGGCGTGTATTCGTCTCTCAGTAGTTGATCATCAAGCTGGGGTCTATTGACGTACACTCCCCTCCATAAGTTTGGCAACCTTTGCTCCTCCATTGAACAACGTGTTAAAGCCTCTTTACCTTTGAATTTTACTTAACCTGCAATGAAAATACTTATTGATACTATTGATGGAAACGTAATTTGACTTCATTTCCGAACCTCCGAAAATTGATGATAAATTTGAGGAATCTTTGAAAATCGACATTCCCATGTTAACCAATGGGAAATGGTATGTTAACTGTAAGTCATATGACAGAAGATCCATCCATCCGAGTACTTGCAAAAATACAAGTTGGATAGGCAATTGAATTTGCTAACTTTGTTGGAATATTGTTTTTCAAAAAAACTCTTCCATTGAAATAACACAGGAGGCGAAAAATGATTTTTAAATATGACCTTGAAGCTCTGTCACTTTAGTATTCATCAAGTAAACCAAACACTTTGTGTACAAAAAAGTTACACAATTCAATTTTCTATATAAAAATATATTTTGCTGAATCTTTTACTGAATTGATATCCTGATATCTGATTTGCCCCGAACCCACCATTTCCCATTGGTTTACATGGGAATGACGATTTTCAAAAATCTATCTTCATCGTCAATTGTAATTGAGGAAAAAAAAATTGAAAAATTGGAGGTACTGGAAATAAAGTCAAATTTCGCTTTCATTAATAGTTAAAGTATTTTCACCGGCGTAAAAATTCAAAGCTAAAGAGGCTTCAACACGTAGTTCAATGGGGGAGCAAAGGTTGCCAAACTTATGGAGGGAAGTGTAATATTCACAATTCACTGTAAATTATGAAAAGCTTTTATAAGATATATAAAATAAGATCTAAAACTAAAGGCTTTGTCATAATTACCAGCTAAAGTACACCTTTGTTTTTGTAATACAAAATTTCAATTAAATCTGCAGATTGCATGTCGACGTTGATTTACGGCAATGGCTTACTACTGAGTAGAATATGATGAATAAAAAGAAATCATTACAGTATTACAATGCGTCTTTAGGAGTACATCAATAAACTATCAAGGCACCTATATCCTTTTTGAACGAATTGTACAAGTGGAAAAATTAAGAAATCTTGTTCAAGACAAACGAAGGAAGTATGGGATATGTCTTGTGGATGTGTTTTGATGTATTATGTGTTAATTGTGGGATTCAGAATAAGATCACAATCACGTTACTATAACGACGAACACTATGATTCCTGCTAATTTACCTTTTGATGAACACCCTCGAAGTTCTATTATATATGGATTCGATAAGGCAGGTTTTGTATCTCAGATACGGTAAATGCCGTTACCTTCTATTTAAAAATGGCGGATGGGAGTTATTATTTTTTAGATTTTATCCAATTCAATCAGTTGCCATGGAAATATGGCTTTCAAATGTCGATCACATCGTTGGACACCAACGATATCTACTACAGCTTGACAAACATTTCATGAGTACGTGTATTAATTTTCATTAGGGAGTTTAAGATGAGAGTAAAGATATACGTCGTATCCATATACAGGGTGGGCCAAAAAAACGCCACTTTTTTCAAAATGCTATAACTTTTTTAATTTTTGATATTAAATCATAATTTGCATACCAAATGAAACTTGAGGTTGTTATCTAGCCATTGATCATGAATTATACACTTTTACTTGAATAAAATATGTCACCAGCGTCTCACTTAAACATGTGGTGTGCCATGAGAAATAAGCATAATTTGCAAAATGTTTCTGAACTGATATGGCCTGATGATCGCCTAGCTAATAGCCCTGATGCAAAACCCAGTGAGTATAGGGTATGAGAAGATCTCCAGGAGATTGTATGAAGGCACCCAATCTAGAAAATTGCTCAACTAAAGCTGGCAATTAAGACAGGTTGAAAAAAACTTAGCTAACATTTCATTGATACTGCAATATCAGCAAGGCGACTAAGTGACTAAAATTTATCATCAATTAGGGTGGCGGACCAATTGAACTCCCCTTTTAGATCAAACATAATCCAAGTTGAAGGACTCGTTACATTATATTATTACTAAGAACCCTATATATAACCCACTATATAACTGCAAAATCTAGGGTATGTAGGTTGGAAAATAAAAAAGTTGTAGTGTCTTGAAAAAAAAGTGGCGTTTTTTGGCCCACCCTGTATATCCTTATCCGTATGTTTGAAAATTACCGCTTTGTACAACAACAAACTACATGTACACTCCCCTCCATAAGTTTGGCAACCTTTGTAAACATGTACATTCATCAAACAATTTCCACACTGCTGAAGAATCAAATCAGTATTTTAATGAGATTATCGTTAAGATGGATGTGTGGTATATGTAGTAATCTTTATAACTTACAACTATTGAATGCATTACTGCAGTTGGTTGGTTTATTTCGTTCGCTATGACCGTGGCACATGATTTGGTCACATATTAAGAGTGCCCTTTTTTAAAATAGAACACCGGCTTGGTGAGTTATATTATTTGAATCTTTATTGTTGAAATGAGTTCTCACCAATTGATTCAAACATGCATTACTGTATACACGTGATTTGTTCGCTCTTTTGATACACCTGTGCTTGATGAGACATGCGTTGATATTTCGCTCATTTCTTATGGGGACATAAAACAAAGCAATATGGCAATCATAAATTCAATATGTTATTTTTATGTTTGCAAAACTCGCAAAGTTATGATCGTGCACTTTCAGCATAAAAAGCAACAAAAATGAACCACCACCAGTCTTACACTCCCTATTATCAAGAACATACCTTAAAGGTATGAACAATTCATGGTCATGTTCCTCTTTCATGATAAAAAGATGCATTTAGAAGCTTTTGCAATTTGGGCACACTGATGAAGAAAGCTCTCGATAAAAAAGTATTCGTCTTCAAAAGAGAACCTAGAAGAGACTAGACTACATATTAATAAATATACTATACATCAATGACAACAACTACAGAATTTGATCAGTCATGAGATCGATCTAACCTTGTTGATTAGCTTATCATAATACTAAACAAGATAATCCAGTGAAAAAATCACTGAAAAACTACGAAGACCCGAAGTTAGGTATAATGGGCGAAAAAGATGGAGTGATAGTGAAATGTTGCTTTTAGTGGAATCTATTAAGTAAATGGTTATATTGTCACAGAAGCATGTAGCGCTACTTATACTATTAGGCTACTGGTATACTGTTCTGGATGGGGTAGGGTTACTTACAAGTAAGGAACTCTATTGTTATTTTTGTAAATGACTTTTTTACCAAGAACAATATAGATAGCGCTTCGTGCTCTTTTACGTTATGTTACATTTTGCAAGGGGTTTTAAATCAGATTTTCAAACTGTGAACACAATTTCTATATCTGTTTTTTATGTGTTTTGATGCAGTATTGCATTACCAAGAAAAGGTTTAAATATACGAATAAACTCTAACAAACTTCATTATGTCACCATCTCTACACGGTGACATAAAACAATCATGTAACTTAAGCACATATTTCAGTATATTGTGGCGTCTTATAGCCCAAAAATATACAACAAATCTCAAAAAGTCCAATTAAATCCCTAGTGAATGACATCTGGACCTTGATTGAAACTTATTGGATCTTGTCGTGACATCATTTGGACTCTGTGGAAAGTTCTAATGTACATCATCCTTCTTGAGCTTTGTTATTATTACCGTGCCCTGGAAATATGAGATAAAAGCATATCTTATATGTGTGGCCTTAGTCAATACATTTCCTGCCTGTCTTTGTACAACATTTATACCTTTGAATGAAGATATTTCATGTATTCATACAGTTCATACTAATAGTTTTTAAGTACAATATTATTGTATTAGTACTTCTTGCAACATAAACATAAAAGCGACATAACAATAATAAACCAGTTTTAAGTTTAAGACCTACAAATTACGTTTCCTCCGTTTTTAAAGTAGCACGTTCACAGAACGAAAACGGTAATGTATAGATTTACGTTTGTGGTTCATGTAATAAAAATGTTATTATGCTTTACCTCTCTATTGCTACAAAATATACCTTAGCTTTTAGTCTTTTGATCTCTTGATTTGATACATACCTTGACACCTTAGCATATACACTTCTAAACTTTTTTATTGTCTACTGAGCCCAAGTTTTGCCGATTTCACACCTGATTTGTAATATGATGTCTTTGTTGACATAACCTTTATAATGTTGGTGTGCGTGGTCGTATGCATAGGATCTTGTTGTTGTTCGCGTTCTTGTTCTGAAAAAGAAATGAATTGGGGCAGTCTATATTCATTTGAGTTCCGACCTTGACCTTCCAGTTTAAAAAACTATCGTTCACTTCTTATGTAGATGGTAATAGCCAGTCTCGTGACATAAGTCTCGCGGGAGGCATCTAAGGTTCAATGTCGACGGATAAGCCTATAAAACTAAATAAATCAAGAAGGTTTCAAAGCCATTTCAGTTTGCTAGATCTATCAGACAAATTTTAACATTTCAATTTTTGTGCAATTTTGACTCGGATCAGAATTCCTTTGAATGGTTTTAAAATAAAGAGTTTACTTGATGTTTTCTGCAAATGCTGTGCCTACTGTTGTTGTCACATGTTTTAAGAATTCTACATTGTAGCCTACATACGTTATGGTATTACTAATATCCCAATGAAAATCCAAAATCCAAAATCCACGAAAGTCCACACGCGAAAAGTCCGCGATGATCACGTTTTTTGGGGGGAGGGGGTCAAACTCAAAACTAGATTAATTTAGCTTCCTATCAGACATTGAATTTTTGATACCTCTCCTTGCGACCAGCATAGCATCATACTAACCATTTACAGAATGTTAAAGCAGATATGAAATGGTGTTTTTTAACCTAAAGGAATCAATATAATTTTTTGATAAATGTATTTGGACATGTTTTCTCATCAGTAGTGCGAAAACTATTTCACTCTAACGATCGTTATAGCTGCTTAATAAGCAATATTCGAATTGGTTGTGACGTTATTGGCCCCCACGTGATCTCTCACTGGTCCCCACGTGGCCCATAACGTCATAATGCCAAAATGTTTTGTTTTGGTTTACACAACAATCCTATGGTTGCCGTGACGTTGTGATTACTAAGGAACCAATAAACCAAAGCTATATTTTGTATATGACGTTACTTATCACGTGGGGGCCAATTTGATTGATCAGTTAGTTTTATTTCGTTATTTATGACCGTTAGCAGTTATCTAACATTTATTTTATAATGACTATCGCAAGAACTCTACGTTGGGCTTACAATGGAGAAAACCGCATTTTTGTAGCTGCAAGTTGAGAAAAGCTATTTCAGTTGTCCTTTAAATATATCAGTGTTGACTATTTGAACCATCTGAAAAACTCGTTGAACCATGAGTAACTAAATTTCTTCAAGTTCATAAATTGATTTTGCGCCACTTCTGGCTCGAATAATGATTCAGTAAAATAAGAAGTTACAATTCTATTCATTTCTACAATCAAGTTGAAGTGAAATTCGATTATAAATACTGAAAACCAGGCTTTAAAATGACAGAAATGTTAAAATACGCTTACCCGTTCAGACAAAATTGAGAGCAATGGCGGACAATGCGTTCTACGTCACATGACGACATTACTTGGAAACACAATCGATCCGTAATCGCGTCATATGACGACTTAGTAGTTCCCTTGACAATTTGCCATATAAGGTAATAAAGGCGGTCTTTAGGTCACGTGACCGATCCACTGGTCCATGTCCGGAATAAGGTACAAAGAACCGCACTTCGTGGGGGGTCTTTGTAAAAAATATTAAAAGGTATGTCAGAACCGACAACTGGACATGATGTTTGCTATAGAATCAGCAAGGAAGCGTGGGAGCCAATCGTCCATAGGCTATGATGTATGTATCGAAGTCGTTGATTCACGTCAGCCATTTTGAAAGAGAGTGTAACTGCCATTACCGTGTTTTGATACCAAACGCCAATTATAATCTCAAGCTTTGGCTATATGAGATGATGCGCTTGCAGTCACAGTCAAGGCATCTGCTGTTTTGTATTCTGCAAATACAATATATCACAACTGATATTAGTGTAACTTTGACGTGTCCGACATATTTCTTTTTTAGCTGTAGCGCCTATTTTGTCGTCTAAATAGGTGCATTTTAGCGTCCATACGACACAAAAACTATTTTCAGTCTAGAGTTATTACACAGTTACATTCATCAACGATATGGTAACCTTGGTAACGGAGGTATTCATAGAAAATATAATATCTCGGGGAATATATTGGACATCAGTAATATTAATACCTTTATTCTCATTCAATTATAACTTGAAATGCAATGAAATCAGTGGATTTACTCTGGAAGCGATCGTCAAAATCCAGCAGTTCTTTTCATTGGTTAGATTTTGCATCTTTTCTTGAGGTCTTCGTCTTATGAACAGTACACTGTAGCTTAGCCTCTGGACTCCAAAACAGGTGTAGCAACAATACGGCTGGGCAACGTGAATTTAATTTGGGGTATAGGTTTAACTCAGCCTAATGAAATCCTTGGAGCTATATTGAAAGATCACTGATTAATAACTAATTTTCATTTTGCAGGAATAGACGATAACATTGCTATAGCGAACACAATATGCTAAGCGATTCGTGTTGTAGTTGAACGTGACGTCAAAATGGCTGATGAGGAAGCATGCGGACTCGGTCAATGGAGACCAAAATCACTTCAGAAACTGAACACGTTGAAATATTTCACCGGATTACTCTGCTTACTGACATTCCTCAATGGGACAGAAATGAGCTACAGGGTATCGACGTTAACGACTTTGGAGAAGCGTTTTGGCTACCAAACCTCTGCATTTGGATTCATATTGGCTGCCAGCGATATGTCGTATGTCCCCGCATTGATTATTCTCAGCTATTTCGCCAACCGATTCAGCATTCCGAAAGTGATAAGCATAGCAGCAATACTGCTTTGTATCGCCTCTTTCCTTTGGCAGCTACCCCACTATATATTCAAAAATGGTCACACAACGAACTTGGACATCATATTAGAAAATAAAACAATGATCCGTCAAAGATCATCCGGTTTGTGTAATACTGCCTTATCTAGTAATGGTTACCATAACATCGACGACACTTCCGTAGCTGAAGCTTGTAATGTGGCGCATGGTACAAAATCAAATGATGAATATACAGCAGTCACATCGATTTTTGTCATATCTCAATTGATAATGGGTGTGTGTTTGGTACCCGGAGTGACGTTGGGTATATCCTTCATTGACAGTACATTGAAACAGCAAGGGACCTCCACATATATAGGTAAGACCCAAACTTCCACAAATATGGGGTAGGATGGAGGATTTGCACGTGAACGTGTAAAATAATGGTCCACTGGTGATTAGTTTTCCCTGTCTTCATAATTACTTGTTCGGTTGAGTATGAAGTAGTAACAGTTGTAATCAGGTCTTGGAAAGACGGGAAAAACTGAAAAATATATCATGTTCCAAGATCATGATACATGTTTTGAAAATATAAGTCGTTATGAAAATGTGCACTCTGGTTTCACCGATTTTACATTATTAAAAAGGGAATGGAAATATTAAGTATCAAATATAAAATCATAGCCATTCCACATGAATTCCGGTTTCGACAATTATTGATAATTAAATTATTATAAAAATAAGATTCAGGTGACTGACATATGCCCTACAAAAAAATGATTTAAAACATCGTTCTTTTGTATGCCTACTAACCATTGCTGTGGGAACTTTATTTTATTATGTTTGCAGGAATGATATGGGGAAGTTATTACCATGCCAACTCTATTTTACTATGTTTGCAGGAATGAAATGGGGAAGTTATTACCTTGCCAACTCTATTTTACTATGTTTGTAGGAATGATATGGGGAAGTTATTACCTTGCCAACTCTATTTTACTATGTTTGTAGGAATGATATGGGGAAGTTATTAACTTGCCAACTCTACTTTACTATGTTTGTAGGAATGATATGGGGAAGTTATTACCTTGGCAACTCTATTTTACTATGTTTGTAGGAATGATATGGGGAAGTTATTACCTTGCCAACTCTATTTTACTATGTTTGCAGGAATGATATGGGGAAGTTATTACCTTGGCAACTCTATTTTACTATGTTTGTAGGAATGATATGGAGAAGTTATTACCATGCCAACTCTATTTTACTATGTTTGCAGGAATGATATGGGGAGGTTATTACCTTACAACTCTATTTTACTATATGTTTGCAGGAATGAAATGGGGAAGTTATTACCATGCCAACTCTATTTTACTATGTTTGTAGGAATGATATGGAGAAGTTATTATCATGCCAACTCTATTTTACTATGTTTGTAGGAATGATATGGGGAAGTTATTACCTTACAACTCTATTTTACTATATGTTTGCAGGAATGAAATGGGGAAGTTATTACCATGCCAACTCTATTTTACTATGTTTGTAGGAATGATATGGAGAAGTTATTATCATGCCAACTCTATTTTACTATGTTTGCAGGAATGAAATGGGGAAGTTATTACATTGGCAACTCTATTTTACTATGTTTGCAGGAATGATATGGGGAAGTTATTACCTTGGCAACTCTATTTTACTATGTTTGCAGGAATGATATGGGAAAGTTATTACCTTGGCAACTCTATTTTACTATGTTTGTAGGAATGATATGGGGAAGTTATTACCTTGGCAACTCTATTTTACTATGTTTGCAGGAATGATATGGGGAAGTTATTACCTTGCCAACTCTATTTTACTATGTTTGCAGGAATGATATGGGGAAGTTATTACCTTGCCAACTCTATTTTACTATGTTTGTAGGAATGATATGGAGAAGTTATTATCATGCCAACTCTATTTTACTATGTTTGTAGGAATGATATGGGGAAGTTATTACCTTGCCAACTCTATTTTACTATGTTTGTAGGAATGAAATGGGGAAGTTATTACCTTGGCAACTCTATTTTACTATGTTTGTAGGAATGATATGGGGAAGTTATTACCTTGCCAACTCTATTTTACTATGTTTGTAGGAATGATATGGGGAAGTTATTACCTTGCCAACTTTATTTTACTATGTTTGTAGGAATGATATGGGGAAGTTATTTCCTTGCCAACTCTATTTTACTATGTTTGTAGGAATGATATGGGGAAGTTATTACCTTGGCAACTCTATTTTACTATGTTTGTAGGAATGAAATGGGGAAGTTATTACCTTGGCAACTCTATTTTACTATGTTTGTAGGAATGATATGGGGAAGTTATTACCTTGGCAACTTGGCAACTCTATTTTACTATGTTTGCAGGAATGATATGGGGAAGTTATTACCTTACAACTCTTTTTTACTATGTTTGCAGGAATGATATGGGGAAGTTATAATTATTACCTTGGTAACTCTATTTTACTATGTTTGTAGGAATGATATGGGGAAGTTATTACCTTGGCAACTGTATTTATCTATGTCTCCTGGAATGATATGGGGAAGTTATTACCTTGCCAACTCTATTTTACTATGTTTGCAGGAATGATATGGGGAAGTTATTACCTTACAACTCTATTTTACTATGTTTGCAGGAATGATATGGGGAAGTTATAATTATTACCTTGGTAACTCTATTTTACTATGTTTGTAGGAATGATATGGGGAAGTTATTACCTTGCCAACTCTATTTTACTATGTTTGCAGGAATGAAATGGGGAAGTTATTACCTTGCCAACTCTATTTTACTATGTTTGCAGGAATGATATGGGGAAGTTATTACCTTGCCAACTCTATTTTACTATGTTTGTAGGAATGATATGGGGAAGTTATTACCTTGCCAACTCTATTTTATTATGTTTGCAGGAATGAAATGGGGAAGTTATTACCTTGGCAACTCTATTTTACTATGTTTGTAGGAATGATATGGGGAAGTTATTACCTTGGCAACTTGGCAACTCTATTTTACTATGTTTGCAGGAATGATATGGGGAAGTTATTACCTTACAACTCTATTTTACTATGTTTGCAGGAATGATATGGGGAAGTTATTACATTGCCAACTCTATTTTACTATGTTTGCAGGAATGATATGGGGAAGTTATTACATTACCAACTCTATTTTACTATGTTTGCAGGAATGATATGGGGAAGTTATTACCTTGCCAACTCTATTTTACTATGTTTGCAGGAATGATATGGGGAAGTTATTACATTGCCAACTCTATTTTACTATGTTTGCAGGAATGATATGGGGAAGTTATTCCCTTGCCAACTCTATTTTACTATGTTTGCAGGAATGATATGGGGAAGTTATTACCTTTCCAACTCTATTTTACTATGTTTGCAGGAATGATATGGAGAAGTTATTACCATGCCAACTCTATTTTACTATGTTTGTAGGAATGATATGGGGAAGTTATTACCTTGGCAACTTGGCAACTCTATTTTACTATGTTTGTAGGAATGATATGGGGAGTTATTACCTTGGCAACTTGGCAACTCTATTTTACTATGTTTGCAGGAATGATATGGGGAAGTTATTACCTTGCCAACTCTATTTTATTATGTTTGCAGGAATGATATGGGGAAGTTATAATTATTACCTTGCCAACTCTATTTTACTATCTTTGCAGGAATGATATGGGGAAGTTATTACCTTGGGTTTGTAGCAGGTTACCTAGAAGGAGCTATATTCACGAGTATTTATATAGATCTGTCAGGTACAAACCGGAATTTATTCTTGTGAAAATAATCTCAGAAAAAGGCATTTTGTTTGAAAAATGCCTCGAAATATAGACAAATTGTCAAATGCTCACTTCAAAAATGATCTTTTAAACCCCATATGAAACACTAAACCCTCTGTAGGTTATCAAAAGTCTTTTTCTTTTGAAAAAATAGTAAATGGCAAGTAATTCTTTTTTTAATTTCTTTTTATTTCAAAGAAAAAATATGTTAAAGTTACACATTTGTCTGAGCTATACTGGGTATAACAAGTCCTATATTCTAAAGAAGAAAAAATCCTCCACTTATTGGACCACCCTGTATATCTGGTTGTATTTTCAGATACAAAATTGAGCCCTGATGACCCTCATTGGAGAGGTGCGTGGTGGATTGGGTCAATTATAACCATGATACTGGCCCTCCTTATAATAATGCCTCTAATGCTATTTCCAAAGTCCATTCCACATCCCACAGCCGAAGCCGAAGCTCCTGAAGATGAAAATGAGGAGCTCGAGAAAGTGACGGCAAATAATAATGAGGATGCTTCAAAAGCAAACAATTCTGACTATGAATATTCAATTAAAGGTACCTGTATATGTGCTCCTATATCTATGCATTTTGCTATCATTCATTGCCACGAAGGAAACATATTTTCCGAGTAGACCTTTCAGTCTACATGTTCACATGGCACAATTTCTGGCCTAAAAATCGATCAAAATGTAGATGGATTCTAAATTAAACGCAAGTTTGGTATCTAACAATTCATAATGTAATTCATGTATTTCATTTCAGAATTTCCAAAAGTACTTTCCAGTCTCTTGACTAATCCAGTCTACATGGGAATAGTCGTAGGGGGTGTTTTTGTATGCTACATAATGCTACCATGGCCATATTTCTTACCAAAATACATAGAAACGCAATTTTACCAAACAGCATCGACAGCAAATATCATAACAGGTAAAACTCCTTTATATCAAGAATTAAGGTAACGCATTAAGAAAATTCAGTCACCCAACCGAGAAAGTATAGGAGGTCAGTGGATATTCTCATTTTCTCATAAGCTAGGAACATTTTTCCTATGTATTATTTGTGCAAAATTGAAATGTGGAGACCATGCGCGTAATGATTTATGTATACCCAAAACTCGGATGCGACTCGAACAAGGAGGCCATTCTCTCTCATCACAGGAAACTACTTTCAAAATTAGATGAAATTGTTCTTCAAGAGGACACCTGCATGTATTTAACAGTGGTCTTTTTATGCGCATCCATATTGCAAGAATGATATCCTAGCGAAATTCTACATCGCTAAAAATGTGATTTGTTTCATTTTTACTGCCATGTCCAATTTTGCGTTTTTCAGCTGTAATCAACGGCGTCGCGTCATGCTCGGGGCTGTTCATAGGTGGCGCCATTCAGGCAAAATTGAATCTGTCCATGCAAGGTATTATTCGAGTACTAATGGTGGCAACGGTGATGTGTGGGGGAGCAATGGGCCTACTGATTGCATTTGATTGTGAGGACCAATTCATCGATGCTCATGTTGATAACAGTGGACGGTAAGAACATATGACAATCCGCAGATTGTATTAGATCTAGAGCATCCGACATGTAGTCGGGAGGCTGTGGGTTCGATTCCCATCAAGGTGGAATTATTTTTTTTCATATCAGCCCTTTTCAAATTAACCAATATTTTCAAAATCTCTTATGAATATAATTATTTTTAGTAACCGACAAAATATAACGATTTTTTTTCTGCAAAATATTTCTTAAATTTATAATTACTGTCATAAATATTCACCTTCAGTATTCAACAAACATACACCTTGTTCTTCGGTCTATATTCATTAGTTCCCAGAATGCACTTCTACAGTGGTATACGCTGGAGTGTATACGGAGGAGTTGTATACGATGACGATATACCACTCTCCACTGTATATCGTTGTTATAGACCCATGTTATACAACTGTAATCGGACTTAGAGTGGTATAATACAAATTATACCACAAACGTTACATGTACGTTTCAGGTTGAACATGACAAACCAATGCAACGCAGGCTGTGGGTGTTCTCTTGATGATTTTACGCCTGTATGTAGCGTGGAGAAAATGTACTTTTCTCCATGTCACGCTGGATGCTCGAATGCTCCATTTGAAGAGGGTGGATATACGGTATGTCTAGTCCTCGGCATATGAAATCAGAAGGCCCATGACTCGACGAAAATGTGTCTTTTAAAATAAAGCTATTGTAAAAAGCATGTGAACGCAAGAAAACACAATCCGCCTTTAAAAATTAAAACACTAACTAACTGTGTGAACTATTCTAGTAAAACACCAGCTTTGTGTCGTGAAATAGACACCGATGACTAGTGGTCATCAGAAACTGTAAACTAGCATAAATGTGTACACGTTGTTTATGCCTCAGTCACATTTGATCTATGGCAACCGTACGGCGGTCGTAGCTTTTCAAAATCTAGAGAAAAATGCAGCATAAAATATAGGGATAAGCAATACCATGTAGATTTTCTATATCGATTTTGTGAAGCTACGGCCGCCGTGTGCCCACCGTAGAGCAAATGTGACCGAGTCTTTAGTTCTTATATTTTGTTATTTTAGATCTATGAAAACTGTTCGTGTGCCCTCGATTATGATCATGTATTCTTTGCCGGGATGTGCCCCAAAGACTGTATGCCTGTTATGGTGCCTTATATATTTGTTGCATTCGTCATACTCTTCACTACATATTGTACTCAAGTTCTTCCGATGTCAGTCATTTTACAGTGAGTTGCACTTAAATATTTGACAAAAATACTCATTTTACAACGAGGTTGAGTATAATATATACAATGTCAGTTATTTTACAGTGATTTGCACAACAGTATTTAACATATAAACAATATCCGACTGATCGCATATAGTGTCTCAAATGGTATCTAATTAAAATGTTTGGAATTGTATTGAATGCAGATTATGTGCAAGAGGAACCAATAAGACTTCAAAGCCTCAGGCCCCCTGACAACAACTAATTCTATATGGAATGATTTATTTTGGATATTATAAGATATGATGTTGATTATAGGTGTGTTAAAGAGGAAGAACGGTCTCTTGCTCTTGGGATACATCTTGCAGTATTTTCACTATTTGGTAAGTAGGAAATATGTGTCATAAAAAGCACTTTATTCATTGTAAATATAAAGAACTTACTACACCAAAGAAGCTTGGGTACCTTGTTTCATGATATCATACGTTGTAGGTAAAATCCTTCCAAGCTAAAATAGGATTGATTTACTGTTGATTTTAAAACAACTCTTAAATTTTGATTGTTTACATATCTGCCTACAACCTTTGGCATTAGCAATTCAGCCAAAACGTTGGCATTAGCAATTCAGCCAATACTTTGGCATTAGCAATTCAGCCAATACTTTGACATTAGCAATTCAGCCAATACTTTGGCATTAGCAATTCAGCCAATACTTTGGCATTAGCAATTCAGCCAATACTTTGGCATTAGCAATTCAGCCAATACTTTGGCATTAGCAATTCAGCCAATACTTTGGCATTAGCAATTCAGCCAATACTTTGGCATCAGCAATTCAGCCAATACTTTGGCATTAGCAATTCAGCCAATACTTTGGCATTAGCAATTCAGTCAATACTTTGGCATTAGCAATTCAGCCAATACTTTGGCATTAGCAATTCAGCCAATACTTTGACATTAGCAATTCAGCCAAAACTTTGACATTAGCAATTCAGCCAATACTTTGGCATTAGCAATTCAGCCAATACTTTGACATTAGCAATTCAGCCAATACTTTGGCATTAGCAATTCAGCCAATACTTTAACATTAGCAATTCAGTCAATACTTTGGCATTAGCAATTCAGCCAATACTTTGGCATTAGCAATTCAGCCAATACTTTGGCATTAGCAATTCAGCCAATACTTTGACATTAGCAATTCAGCCAATACTTTGGCATTAGCAATTCAGCCAATACTTTGACATTAGCAATTCAGCCAATACTTTGGCATTAGCAATTCAGTCAATACTTTGGCATTAGCAATTCAGCCAATACTTTGGCATTAGCAATTCAGCCAATACTTTGGCATTAGCAATTCAGTCAATACTTTGGCATTAGCAATTCAGCCAATACTTTGGCATTAGCAATTCAGCCAATACTTTGGCATTAGCAATTCAGCCAATACTTTGGCATTAGCAATTCAGTCAATACTTTGGCATTAGCAATTCAGCCAATACTTTGGCATTAGCAATTCAGCCAATACTTTGGCATTAGCAATTCAGTCAAAACTTTGGCATTAGCAATTCAGCCAATACTTTGGCATTAGCAATTCAGTCAGTACTTTGACATTAGCAATTCAGCCAATACTTTGGCATTAGCAATTCAGTCAATACTTTGACATTAGCAATTCAGCCAATACTTTGGCATTAGCAATTCAGCCAATACTTTGGCATTAGCAATTCAGTCAATACTTTGGCATTAGCAATTCAGCCAATACTTTGGCATTAGCAATTCAGCCAATACTTTGGCATTAGCAATTCAGTCAATACTTTGGCATTAGCAATTCAGCCAATACTTTGGCATTAGCAATGCAGCCAATATGTGACATGGTTCTATTGAAAACGTCTGTTGTTCATTGTTATTGTTATTTCCAGCATTTGTCCCTGGTCCACCAATCGTCGGTAAGATCATCGACATGACGTGTATTATTTGGGAGGGTGGCTGTGACGATGGCCGATGCCTCTTCTACGACAGGCCTAAATATAGGTACTTCTACCATGGAGTTGTCGCTGCCTTACAGCTCGGAGCACTTCTAGCATTCTTCTTATCGTACTCCAAGTCGAAACATTTCCATATTGATAACAATAATCCCAAAATTAGGGATAATGAGATTGAAGGAGAAGATGATGAACTTGTAAGAAAACGTGGTGAAGCTGAAAACACACCAGATGGTGATATTGAAGAAGCAATTGAAATGTTACCTCGGAATAGAAATACTGACCAAGAAAACGAACAAATTGACGATATTAAAAGTGTTGAAAATGAGAACTACAAAGGAATAAGTTGTTAACCTGAACTCAATAAGTTATTGACTTGAACTCAATAACTAGATATAGTAGTTGTTAACTTGAAGTATTTTTTGTCATTTATACATTAACGATAGAGACAAAACATACATGGAAGTTTTTTGTTATCACATTAACAATTTTATCACTAATCAAAGAACTATTTAAAAATCGGAATAAGCATGTGCTCGAGTTCGTTAACATTTGAAGGGCTGAATCGGAATATTACTTTTTCTTATTCATCATCATTAAACTTATATTTCATAAATTAAAATTAACAAAAAATTTTATCGATTACCAAATTAATTAAATGGTCAACCAAACATTTCCGATGCATGGCAGAAGATTGAGAGCGACTGAGGCCTATTTGATATAGTTATCCTGAAGGAAGAAGCTAAAGGTATTGTTCCTGTTTATATACAGGGTGGACTAAAAACGTCAATACACTCCCAATCATGCTTCGTTTTTATCAGAGATGCAAATTACAATGATTCAAAGTGCAAAAATGAGTGAAAATGTTTAAATTCTCCCAAATAATAAGAATGGTAACCATTCTTATAGAAAAATAATACATTATTGTAAAAATCTTCAGTTTTCCTGGAGTAAAGTATGCAATTTTGTGATTTTTAGAAAATAGACATGACAAGGAATGACATGAATCAAAACTATTCTAAAAAACAATTTTTTATTTAGCCTGCTCGCTATATCTGATCATGATTCTCTACTGATTAACTATTTGAAATGTCAATCATGCACTATTATTTGAGGCATGTCTGTATAACATTCTTGCTTAGAATATCATCCTGATATCTGTATATTTTCAAATCGACTTCGGGTGTATTTTTACCTCTTTTATTCAAAACACCCTGAAGGTTTATTTCAGCAATAGCAGGAGCAATTGCATAAGTGATTCTTGCTCTCCCTGCGAAAATATGATTGCAAAAAAGTTATATCAAAATAAAAATTATAGACGTCTTTTGGCCCAATATCACTTGCTACAGCTAAAAAAATGTAGGTATTCTTATAATTCATGCCTTGAGATTTTCCCTATTGTAAATGAAAATTCATGTTAAAAATGGAAAAAATTATGGGCTTTCAATCAGATTAAATGTGCATTTTTTAATTTTAAGATTTTACTTTAGCCACTTTTTTCTCAAATCATAGATCAGAAATATGATAGTGTTAAAGTCGCCAAACTTAAAGAGGCTTTAAAACGCGGGGAATTTCTGGCTGCAAAACTTTTGAAAGAGAGTGTATATCATGATGATCATCGAACGAAAACATAAAACGATTATTGCCGACTATTGACCGACTTATCTGATGAACCGAATATACTTTCTGAACACACAAGTACGATAGCTTCCATAAATATAAAAAAAAACGTTTGCATAAAGCATCTTTCTTTACCGTTCACGTAAGTGGCATAAGTGGTCTAAGTGGTTCTAACTGTAATCTCTACCTATATGTGATGAAACTATTATCAACCAAACCACGTAATCGTATAAAGAACATACTCGACTCTTAACTGTCAGCGCAACAAGAATTGTTCATTATGACAGGGTGGTGCAATTTGGCAGGTTTGATATCTATAACACTGGGGCTTCTAGTTATTGCAACCGAAGGTCAGACTACACTGTTTGAGAAAAATATCTTGAAAAAGCATAATGCACTCAGGAAACTACACGAAGATACACCTTCAATGACATGGGATAGGAAATTGGCTAAATCCGCCATTAAATGGTGCACGAATTTAGCCAGTGAAAATAGGTAAGTTTGAAAACTGGTTAGTCTGAAATAACAAGCTTCTTTTTAAGAAGCAATATCAAACGTAGTTCAAAAAACACGTTCTACTAAAAACACTCATAGGCGTAGCCAGGTGGGTGCGATGGGAAGCTTCTAGCTCAATTCTGGAGGAAGTTGCATCAATTTTGTAAAATTCAAAATAATTCTTATTTTTTGGCTTGTTTATGCAACAATCGCACTCCCCCTGGCTAAAAACCGAAACATTTTTGGTGATTGCACCCCCCCCCCCCCCCCCCGACCGAAACCTGGCTACGCCCCTGACACTTGTTCGACTATATTATTGTTATGTTTGGAACATCACTTTAATAATCCGATACAAATTTTTGACGATCAAATAAGACCTTGAGAAAATTGACTCTAATACAGGTCACATATTAAAGATTCTATGGAAATTATTTTTATGATTCGTATAAAACTAAAGCACTAATTGATTTTACTATGGACCACTATCCCATTTACTCTAGTAGAGTTTGTTTTGTGGTGCCATCTCTACGATGCACGTTTACTGTAAAAGCCCAAATATTCGCCGATCGAAATTTTCGCGATGAAGAACTTTCGGCTTTTACAGTAATTGATTTACTCATATTTGATATTTTATTAGAATGTATCATTCACCCTTGTCATTCCGTAATGCTGGAGAGAACCTTTGGTTGATGAGTTCAAGTGCTCCACGATCGGACTCGGCAAAAGCAGCCATGGGTGACTCGGCTTCACAGAAATGGTAGATCACATTTTTTGATTTTTCTGTCATTTTTCTGTTGTAAATTACCATATACATATAAAGTTTTCCCTATTGTCAGTGTTGTGTCGCATATACATGTAATAAAAAGCGTTAGATGATGAACCTAATTAAAGGACTAATCAAAGGACGATAGTATCAAAAGAATTCAGTTGAATCGCATATATTCATTATACGATACCTAACCAGACAAATGTAGACTATCGTAAATGATTATATTGTAGGTATGACGAAATCAAAGATTACAACTACGATAAACCTGGATTCAGTGAAGAAATCGGCCATTTTACACAGGTTAATATCCCAATTGAAAAAAGCCTATGGAAAATCATCTCCAATTATCACCTAACTTACTATTGATAATTAGTTGAAAGTTAGGTGTAAAAATTCACATGCAAATGAGCTAATTATCAACTTAATTAACGCTTAATTTGCAACTTAATTAACGATTAACTACCATCAATATGCAAATGAGCTATTTACGTAAATTAGTTGAAAGTTAGTTGTAAGTTTGATGTAAGTTAATCTCTAATTATCACCTAACTTACTATTGATAATTAGTTGAAAGTTAGGTTTAAGTCAGATTTGTGACATCTCAAAAATGACTCGCTTCTTTTTTGCTTCTCTTCACTCGGATATTTTTGTTTCATCTTGAACTATTTTGTGACGGAATATTCATCTTAATTAGGATCTTTCAGAACAGACAACATTGAACTTGAACTATTGAAATTTCACAGCAAGAGGAGGGAAAACCCCATGATTCAATTGATGACATACGATTTCCTCCTTCGCACACCTCCTTTTGTCGAAAACGTACCCTCCATCTTGGTTTTCAAAGTTTTCAAATTGACCTAGTTTTAAACCAATCAACGATCGACTCACTAAACCAATCAGCGACGATGTCATCTCAATACAGATTTACATTATAAGCGTATGTCATCTTTGAACACTGGGGTTTCTCCCCCTCTTTTTTAAAGCTATTCTATTTTGCAAATTTTTAAGATTCATGAAAAGCATGTGAAAACATCATTATTGCCATCAACAACTAAAATCAGAACACAAACATTAGACTATAATGTTACATAATAAGGACGTAACAGATATAATCAAAAATATGTTTTGAAATGTCTTTGATCTAACAATCATTATTTAGAAGAGCACATTTGGATTACTTGTAAAATATAGGTAACCCATGTTAGTACCTAAATTGCATTCTAGGATTAATATTATATGATCTGATTCAAAAAGATTTTTAAATTCATAAACATTTCAGACAGAAGTGTGAATAAGATTTAACATACATTGTATTCATGTTCTACATACCCTTATAATAATGTTGACCAAATTTCATGGTAGTATACGCACCATTCACGTTGTAATTCTCAATTTTATGAGAGAAATATCTCTCACATGTTTTCTTTTTGCACCATCTTGAAATTAAATTTAGGGGGTTTGTATTTCTAAATCATGGGCCTAATTTACGACTAATTATCATTATAATCATCCTATATGTTAACTATCAACCAATAATCTACTTCAGAACAAAAACGTTTTAATTTACCACTTACTATCACCCTCAAACATTTCATATCTTAATTATCAACTAAAAATCATAAATCAGCATTATTGTAAGTTAATTTACGTTGAACTTGCTACTGATAATTAGGCCATAATTATCATTGATTTAATTAACGCTTAACTTTAATTCCAATTGCCAGCAGAATTGTTGATAATTAGTTGTAAATTAGTTGGTAATAAGTTGGTAATTAGTTTTATTTTTCAATTGGGATAATATGTTTTATTTAGATAGCCATTTTCAGCAAAAAACAAAACTTAGTATTTTTTTAATATAGAAGCTTTTATTTCGCATATACATTACATAATACAGTCATCATATTGGAGTAACTGTTGCAATATCAATTACAGTTCCCGTAGCACTCGAAATATTTTTCGAAGATGGCGGATTGGCGGGAATCGTCCATTTTTATTTCTGCCGCTTAGTCAGTTTGGTATTGTGTTAACATTGTCATGAAATCCTTAAAAAGCGTCTCTACCTCTTGGATTTATTCGTGTACTAGCATTTGTTTTTACAGTTGGCTGTAATGAAATTTCAAAATCAAAAAATATAAATCAAAATATGTGACTGATGGTGATTGTAAAGGTTACTCTATGGATCCAAATCGTGCTGGCAAAACAAAGCCTTCGTCTCTGAAGAATCTGTAGAACCTATTGAATTGTCTGCCAACCCCTTCAATAACAGAATGATTGTTTTCGTGTGATTTTACAGCTTGTTTGGGATGATTCCATACGCCTGGGCTGTGGTCTAACCGAAAACAAATTTGGTATTTGGTACTCGTACTTCGTCTGCTGTCATTACGCACCAATAGGAAACGTTAGAAATCAGTTTGCAGAACATGTGCACCCGTTAAAAACAGATGATTCGGATGGTGAGCCAACGCCTGCGATCATTCCAGCTATTACGCCAGCCCTGACTCCCATCCAAGACAAGCCTGACACTCCAGAAATGGCTACCATCCCAGATATGCCTGACATCCCAAAAATGACTACCATTCCGGATCCAACTCTAACAACATCAGGTTCAACTGTGAAAGCAACAGGTTCCAAAGAAGGTTTGTCATTTTGAACTGTTTTTCCTTAATTAAATCAAACTCTACGTGCAATTTAAGCCCTCCTCCCACATATGAACGAATCTACTTAACGCGGTCTTGTGAGCTGGGTAAATTGTAAATGACGATTGGGAACATAAACATGTGAACCGAAGCGCACCTTTGCGCATGCTTCCGAAGCCGCCCGAAGCTTTCCGAAGGGATACTTAACACAATACACATACGAACACCACAACGGTGTACAACGTACATAATACGAGGGTTGTCCCATAAGTCTTGAAATCATTATTCTAATTCATAGAATATTTGGCTTTGATAAATCAGAATGATCACTCCTCTTTGACCTCAAACTTCAAAATATCATAAACAAACTCTTGCGTAATCTTAAGTCTCCATGCATGCAGTTTCTCAAATAAAGTAGTATTCTTCCAATATGACCTTAAACTTTAAAAGATCATATTAAAACATGACGTTTACCATGGTGATCGTAACATATGTTCTAGGGTATAAAGGCCTATGTGAAGAACAGTTTCCTCCGCTTCATGGTTCGATCCTTCGAATATGTATAACAGGACCACCGGACAACCAGACGGTAAAGGTTAGGTATTCATGTAATACAGGATATAGACTTGTTGGAAATAAAACAAGATGGTCTAATCGAGAATGTGTGTGGAATAGTCATCCTCCATTGTGTGTCGCCAAGGACAATCAAGGTTTGTAGATTCTCCTCCAAAAGCTCTATACAAAGGGGATTTATGGTTGCTATAAACATTAGGCCTCCTCACATATGAATAAAAATCACTCGACGTCTACTTCCGTGTACTGGCGAGTAGCTATTAACCCCTTTAAAGGAATATGTGATTCTTTCGGTGTTTTTAAAGATATCCATTCTGGGTGACCAAAATTATCTGAAAGCAATGGATCGCATGAGTTTTCCCTATGGGAAAATAACATGGGAAATATTGTTTTCCACTTTCTCTAAAAGGAATCACTTATCCCTTTAAACGGGTTAACTGTGTGTCAAACATTTGGGTGGGTTGTTTGCATCTTCTCTGTCTCAAAGTCGAAATTATTTTATCATCTCTAGGAATGCTTTTCCTGGAGGTAATGCATTGGTCTAGCATATGCACCTGTTTAAATCCTCAGAAAATAGCCAAAATCCAACATATGACTGTCCGAAATCTGTTGCGATTCTTTCCTTCCTCCTTTCTTTTATCCCCGCGGATATTCGCATATACATAGAGATTATCCTATATGAGGTTCAGGATATTGGGATTATCCCGAGGCAAATATAATATATTTGCCCGAGGGCCGCAGGTCCCGAGGGAAAATATATTATATTGGCCAAGGGATAATCCCAATATCCTGAATCGACTATAGGATAATATGTTTATCCCATACCAATCTTGGTCATCTGGTTCACATTGTTCAATCGTGGAAATATTTTAGAATAATCATGTCCAGTTTTGTTTTCTTGTCCGTGGGCGGATTTTCCTGTTCTCTCAAATATTCCCACATTTATTTTCTCGAATTTTTTGATTGATTAAGTGAATGCTCCTTCCCTTTTTTAAACCATCAAACAGATCCCGATAGTCTGTGTTTTCTCCATTGTCGTTTACAGTCATTACGCGAACGTTACAAATTATGAACAAATATGCGAGAGGCGATTATGACGTAGCGGGCAGATATACTATATCTGCCCGCTCGAAGCGGGACGTAAAGCTATATCTGCCCGCTGATGAAAATATAAGATTTTACAAACCGGCTTTATGCACCTGTAACACGTCCAAGTATGGGATAAATAGAGATTATCCTATATGAGGTTCAGGATATTGGGATTATCCCGAGGCCAATATAATATATCTGCCCGAGGGCCGTAGGTCCCGAGGGAAGATATATTATATTGGCCAAGGGATAATCCCAATATCCTGAACCGACTATAGGATGATCTGTTTATCCCATACTAATCACATTGTTCAATTGTTGCAACCAACCGTGGAATTATTTTAAAATATTCATGTCCAGTTTTGTATTCTTGTCCGTAGCCGGAATTTCCTGTTCAAATATTTGATTATTAACGGGGCATACTGCTCCTTCCCTTCTTTAAAGCATCAAACAGATCGCGAATGTCTGCGTTTTTCTCCATTGTCGTTTACAGTATGCGAACGTTACAAAAAAGAACCAATACGGGAACAGCGATTATGACGTAGCGGGCAGATATACTATATCTGCCCGCTAGGAGCGGGACGTAAAGCTATTTATCCCATACTTGGACGTGTTATAGGTACATAAAGCCGGTTTGTAAAAACTTATATTTTCATCAGCGGGCAGATATAGCTTTACGTCCCGCTCCGAGCGGGCAGATATATTATATCTGCCCGCTACGTCACAATCGCCGCTCGCATATTTGTTCATAATTTGTAACGTTCGCGTAATGACTGTAAACGACAATGGAGAAAACACAGATAATCGGGATCTGTTTGATGGTTTAAAAAGGGAAGGAACATCCACTTAATCAATCAGAAATTCGAGAAAATAAATGTGGGAATATTTAAGAGAACAGGAAAATCGGCCACGGCCAAGAAAACAAAACTGGACATGAATATTCTAAAATATGTGCACGATTGAACAATGTGTACCGGATGACCAAGATTGGTATGGGATAAACATATTATCCTATAGTCGGTTCAGGATATTGGGATTATCCCTTGGCCAATATAACATATTTTCCCTCGGGACCTGCGGCCCTCGGGCAAATATATTATATTTGCCTTGGGATAATCCCAATATCCTGAACCTCATATAGGATAATCTCTATGTATCTCATACTTGAGTGGGTTTGGGGTAGATATCACCCGGGAATATATGTCGTATCTGAGGAGCGGGCAGGATATATTGTATATGTCCCGCTCTAGGCCAAATGCGGGCAGATATAATATATCCATCCCGCTCCCGGGAATTTTTTCAAAACTTTAAAAAAATTTAAAATTTAAATTTCAGAAGTTTAACATTTTTCAAAAAGTTTAAATGTTACAATTCTATTGTATTGAACTGAAGGAATATTATGAAAATGTTAAATATAAATTGTGCGTTTACAGTAAAGGTCTATCTTGTCATTTGAAAAAGGTGGAAAGGTTATATCTACCCCAAACCCACTCAAGTATGAGATACACCAGTTATGTACGGTCGGTTTTGGATATAGGGTTTATCCCTCGGGAAATATTTATATCTCCCCTTGGTCCCTTCGGTCCCTCGGGGAGATATAAATATATCCCTCAGGATATACCCTATATCCAAAACCTCCCAGTACATAACCCTTATATCTGCCCGCTGATGAAAATATAAGTTTTTACAAACCGGCTTTATGTACCCGTAACACGTCCAAGTATGGGATAAATATGTATACTAGCTCGCCAAGTCGAGTGCAGATCAAACAATTCAGCCGGGGTCTTCTCAGAAAACATATTTGCCACCCACCATCGACCCTAACAGTAGCTTTAGACAAGTGGGTTAAGTTGGCTGCATATTGCTATTGGGATTGGGATTCAAAATGACCAGCAGCTAGTGAGCTTGAATGTCACCGAGACATGTCTCTCATTCAGGAATGACTCTAATTACAGATATGTCGCACACAACAGATGCCGAAAAGCAGACGACCACTGCAAAAAATACTTCAGCTGAAGCAACCCCAGCTCCAACTATAGGTGAAGTAACTTCTACTGATAGTTCCAAAGGTATGTAACTTAAGGTAGTAAACGCGATGATAAACAGCTCTATCAAATCAAAATTAAAAGTTTCCCACTTATGTAATTCACGAAAGCTTCTCAATGACTCTTTGATATTCTATGCTATTGGACTGCATTAGTGTGTGCAACAATGAACTAAGTTTGTGCTTCAAACATTTCACTAATGATGTACTAGAGCATGGGCATTCAACTAGATTACTAAGGTGTACGGAGATGTAGGGTGAGACAAAAAATGATACGTTTCTTAAAATTCTGGATTGATTTCAGTATTTAATGACTGGTATGCAGACAAACTATTTCATTTCTTGAACGATAAATTAATACTACTTATTCAAAAGAATAGCATGAAGATTTTTAAAAGTCGAAAATACGTCACCTTGACTTACTTGCGCAAACGTGGGGCAGATGAACGTTTTATTGTCACCTGACCTACATTTTGTCCAGAAATTGTTGCTGAATTTACATACCAGATGGTAACTATGATATAAATTACTAAAGCTGTTATTTCACAATTTTACCTCTTACTGACCTTTAGATATTTGCAAGGTCAAATCCCAAATAACTAAAACATTACTCATTTCTAATGATTGTAGATAAATATGCAAATGATACAACTGGGTGGTCGACGTGGATAGACAGAGATGACCCCAGTGGATTTTGCGACTGCGAGGAGAGAACGTTCCTCGAGTTTGGGTTTGGAGAGGTAAATAAACCAACCACATCGTTGCATAAGTGTATTTTGGCTTGATGTGGCATTCATTTTGGTTAAGATCTATTTTCTCTCGATAATATATATGCATCAGTTTTAGTATGCACTATTCTCAAAAATGATTTCCCTCAGTAATATCTATTACAGTACGTCTTTTGAGTCATAACATTGTCAAACTAAGATAAACAGACTTTCCCTTCATTAAAATGATTGTTTAGTTGTCTCTTTTTCCAGGTCATGCCATGCAGCGACCCGATTGGAATAGAATGTCGTACTGTAGGAACTCATATCCCTTCTTCCAAAACTGGACAAGTGTTTAGATCGTACGCCGACTGTTCAGTAAAAGGTGGAATTGTATGTTTCAACAGTGATCAGACAGAAGATTCACAATGTTTGGATTATGAAGTGAGATATCTCTGCCCGTGAATGGTATGAATGAAAATGTTTAACAGAACATCTGAAATATTGATGACTACCAAAATCCTGTCGGATATCAGAACAGAAGTAATACTATGCTATATACTCTACTACACTACGCTACATTGTACAACACTTCACTATGTTGTAATGTGTATTTATTTACCTCTCGTCAACAGAAATGAATTATAAAGTTATGTGTATTGAATTTATAAATAAACAAGGCATTAACTTGCAAAATATTACCATCAGCCATTTGTTACAGACGCCAAACTCTGACCACCGAACGTCCAGTCTGTGAAATAAACAATTCCGATCTGCCCTAATCTTTGAAATGATTGGACACCTAAGATTCTACCTAGATTGAGAACTGATCTGAAACTGTTTTAAAGATTTTTTCCATTTTGAACCATTCAAAACCTTCTCAACTTTAGATATATGCAAATAGCAACTATGGGATCATAGAACAACGTTCACAGTGATCAGCAATTGTCAAGTTTCACAATTTTTAAGAATTTATCATTTTTCTTCTCAGCTGCTACCTCAAACTTATTACGATAATAGAAATGTTGAACGGTTTTGCAAGCATTATTAAACAATGTCGATTTTAGAACTGTGTTGTAAAGGATATATCAGAGTCATTTGATAAAATAATTTCACAATTGTGGTTTTTGACAGTCTATTGATGATGCATGTGATTAAAAATCGTTGACTTGAATTTTATTGTATTTGAGGAGAGAAAATAGGCACCAAGTCCTTTAATTTACAAGAAGTATGATTTAGTCAGAGGTCCTTTAATATACAATGTATATAGTAACAGTAGACAGCAACATATGGACAAGAGACAAAATACTGCATATATGTTGTAGCAATACCAGTACAATTAATTAATGTTACTAATAATGATATCTAAGAAATTAAAGAACAGAAAACACCATTCTCTTGCTACCGATTTATTAGTTTTAGTTGACTCATTGTTATTCCAATGAAATTCCACAAAGTCCATATTTTTATGCATTTGCCTCGACCAGGGCTTTTGCGAAAGAGGCCTTCTTCTGTTTGACTCTGTCCTTGCGCTGGGCTCTGGACATTCTGGCTCTGGTCCACCTGAAAATGTAAAATTAACATTTGAATTGCATATTATTTAACACCATTTAAGGCCCAGAGCTGGTATTAAATGCAGATGGAACAACCCGCAACAACCAAATATGGCAATTTAAATATCCAGTTCTGAGAAGAAAATCTTTTTGTCACAGTAGGAGTGTTATACAGCAAGTTACAGACTGTATTTTGTCATGTATAATAAATACAAGTTTTAATTCATATAGTTTATTTTAATTCAAACTTAAGTATAGCTTTGATCTTGCAAAGATGGTAACAAATCTTCCAAAAATGGTAACTAATCTTTAATCATAGAATATTTATTCTTGTGGGGTCTTAGCTACTTTTATTGGAATATTAATCAAGCAAACAAGGCATAAACATACAAAATGTCACGACCTGCCATTAGTTACAGACACTATATCTAATATGGAACGCCAACTGCTGAACACTGTCCAAAAAATGTTGACATAAAAATTGGTTTAAATGCTTTGATGTCATACCTCTTTTTGACTTTGGGTTCTTTTTTCTCTCCAGCCTCTCGTTCTGGATTGGCACGGATAGCAGCGTGTGCCTTTTTATACATCTCTTCAATCTAACAAAGAAAACAAAATCATCATTTGTATTCAATTTAACAAACAAATGAGAAGCCTAAAATACTGACACCATCATCAAATTCAGGATCTGTAACATTAATACTATATCATAATGATTCAGTCCCTTTCATTCTTGATTGCTATAATTATCAACCATACACCATTTTTTAATCAAGAGTTATTTAAAAACATACACTTAATGAAAAGTGGGCATGCACTCCTATAGATCTCTGAACTTCAAATGCTTTCTATGATGAGTTATTTTTTTCTCACTCAAGTTTCAAACCTAAAAATTAATGCTTGCTTTTATTTGATCGAGTGTGCGAGTAACATGTTTCAGAGATAATGTCATCCTTTTTTCTTCATAAATACATACAGTGCCTGTTTAGGGAACATCAGGATTTTACAACATATCTCATCTACATTGATAAAATGATGTACCAAATATGAGACCAAGTAGAAATGCACAGCTGGAAAACTCTGACCAAAGTACTTACAGATTCTGATGTGATGCCTAATTTTATATATCTGGAAAATTGTTTTTTAAAGGCATCTTCATCCTCATCTTGGAGCTCTTGCATGTAGTTGGAAACATGCTGTCCCATGATGTGCTTGCGATGAACATCGGCACTGAATTCACCAGCCTCACTGTCGTAGCCAGGGAATCTTTTGGTTCTGAAGAATTTAAACAAAATATGCATAATTTTCTCATAAAATAGAAATATCTTGAATTACATTTAAAATGACAACGGACTTTCGAAAGGATTCTCAAAGATTTTTTTGTAACTTCAGAAAATTGAATCCCAAATTTTTATGTATGGTGCCATTTTATTTAACAGAATTCCCACTCGGCTTCTGTTAAATTTTCATTAGTTTTACTGTTGATTAAGAAACATTTTGGATGTTTTTTGTTGATAGTAACTATGACAGGTCATTCAGTTTATATACCAGACAGAGAAACTGATTGCAGGTTGTTTCTTAAAAAATCAGGGTATATTTTAGGGGTGAGAATCAAAGTCTGAGCCATTTTGATATACAAACAGTAACTTACGAGTGAGGTATATCCAAGCCACCATCAGCGGCACCCTTCATGGCTCCAAACACTCTGGCACCAGTGGTGGTACGGGCCAGTCCTACATCAAGGTAGGCGCGGAAGGATCCTGGTCCATCATCATTAGACTCAATATGGTATTCCTCACCATCGACCTCTTCTTGTCCAACATAGATTGAGTCCAAGTTATACTTCTTCAATAGCTGCAAAATTAAAACAAATACGTTGATAATTGTTGCCATCTGCTGATACACATATATGTCAAATTTTGGGGAAATCTGGAAACTAATGAATACTAAATTAAAATGGTTAAAATAGTATTACTGTCTTAACATGTTCTGTGACATCCCAAAAAAAGTTCAAATTCAATTGCAGCATGCATGTGAACATATGAATGCACATAGCCAAATTCATTGCAATATATTTCTCAATGTGTAATTCAGTATGCAACTTGATATGTGATTTGAAAAAATTGAAGCAGCTTTAGAAAATACAAAAAATTGCTGTATGATTGTGACTGGTCACTCGTTCTATGCATTTAAAGCAGAAAGTCAGGACCAGTTTAACAGGAAATGGACTGAGAAGAATAAATCACTTACTCTACGTGCTAACAGTAGACCTGTGCAGTAAGCAGCTGAGTAATTGGTCAACCCGACCTTGACGCCATATTTTGGAAGCTCGTGAGCATATGCAGCGCAAATGATCACGTCTCCCTGAATTCTGGCATACGCTATCTGCAAACAACAGAACAGTATGTAATAGAAAACACAAAGTTGTAAATATCGCAATTTAAAACCAAAAATAGCTGCTATGTAATTTACCAAAAACCTGATCAGACCTTGGCATTGGAATTGATAAGCAGTTTCCTGACAAAGGACTCCTCACACTGTCACTTGGAAAATGAAAGAATAAGATCAAAAATTCTTCACTTGTTATGTACACTTATCATACAAGATGAAATTTTGCTTTAAATAGGACTTTTCGTCATCATTCAATATAAATATGTTGAAGAGACAATATGGAATATAAACTATAGTTTTTGTGCATATTTTTAAACCTGCCATTCCAAAACTGATAAAAAAACGTGAGCCTCTGAATAGACAACCTTCTTGAAAGTCATCTTCGTATTCTTACCTGGCATATGATATCCTTGTTAGTGAATCGCACAATCATACGATACTTGGGGGTGTTGTATTTATTCTTGTCCTGGACTGTCAGGCGTTTACGGGCATAGTAATCTGTGCGTCCTTCACGCCTCCTCCTGAATTTTACTTGGAAGCGCTTGAAATAAGCCTTGTTTTTCACAACTTTAACGAACCCCTGAAAAGAAAAATATTACAATGTAGAAATATTGTTCAGTGCTTGTTGTTGCCTATAATTCGATGTAACACATATTTGTCTGTTTTTCTTGTCTCTTGTAGATAAAATGGAAAGTAAAGATCAAAAGTTAGTGTGATGTCAAAGAATAAGGACCTAGACCTATTAGGTAGGCCTACAGTAGTCCAACAACATTAGACCTAGCCTGGGCCTCGTTTCTTATCTGACATGTCTTATGGCCCCGGCTAGGTCTAACTTCCATGATGATTTTGCCCTTGATGCGAGTTCAGCAGGTTTCGACATGCGGAACTAATTAACTCCGAAAACATGGTAATATTACATAAAGAATGTGATTCAAGCATGCATACATACCTTATAAATACATACACACCATCCCGTACCCCCCTTAGACCATATTGATGCATAATTACGAAAATATTGGAGACAGGTTTGGAATTTTACGAAAATATCGGTCAGCTCCGGTAACATCGAAATTGCAAATCGTATCAGGAATTAACTGTCATTGCGACACTGCATCAACGAACAGTAGGTTTGCAATTAATAACGATTTTGTGTGTATACAAGCGCTATATAAATCAATCAAAGATACCTGCTATCCTCAAAAATGGTTATTTTATCCCGAGTAATCGCGTGATAATTATCAATCTATTTGACAACAATTTCGTTTCAATAGTTTAAATTTTAACCCGGGACGAACAGACACAATGCCGGACATGCGGAAATGTCATTTTAGAGATTGGTAAGTTTAACCTCATTTTACTTGTATAAATGACCATTTAATACAATAATATTGTGTTGAATCGCTTGATGTTATGTGTTTTTATATTGTTGTCAAGTATCAGTTGCATACTATCGCGGAAAAATGGTTTCGGTGGATCCACAACTTGCATCAATGGAAAGAATAGTAAAGAGGTTAAACTCAATAATGGCCCCAAGAAAATTCTTAATAATAAATAACGCCGTTATTGAGTTTAACGACGTTGAACTAGGCCTACAGGTTACTCTACCGAGCTGACAGAAGTCAGCTCTGGGAAGTTGGATGTATGTGAACTTGAAAAGAATAAATCGAGCCCATTTTGACTAAACGCTGTACTGAGTAGCGTTTATAATACGCTATATATTTGAATCAATACATAATTTATTTGTTGTTACCTTATTTTGTTCCTTCAACAGTCTGTTGTTGTAGTAAATCAATGTTCTTGTAGACAACAAAACTTTTGAATTTAGATTCCAGCCATTTTAGGTCACGCGAGATCTCGTGACTTTCGAAAGTAAAAATTTGCTACAAAATAACTCGCGCTAGCTAAATATGATATAGTCACGTGATCTCTCAGCGGTAATACCCATGCGCATAAAAGTACAATGCGCATGTGCACGCATGCGTAAAAAGTTAAAAAATGGTGCGCACCAGATTTGGAATTTCTCCATTTTAACTGCAATTACACAAGAAGTAGGACTTATTGTCACCACGCTTGATGAAAAGGGCAAGTTACATTCAATTATCTTCTTAAATACCGTTTCTTATTCCAGCGCGCCTGCTGGAAGTTGGAGAAAACCGCTTCACAGGACGGTATATTCTAACGGTGCTTCAGCTGGCTTTTGAGCCAGCTGTGTTCAGTAACCTACAGGTGTAGATCTAGCCTGGGTTTAGTAAAAAAATATTGATGGAAAAAGAGCAATAAAAAGAGCATAACACAATAATATGGACAATTCATTGATATTTCAGATACAAAATCGTATCTTATAACCATGTGGAATAATATACAACATGTAAGCGCCAGTACTATAAGTCTATAACCTATATGATGAAAGTTCCATTGGAAAAATCATAAAAATGATCGGCCATATTGAAATTTTTCACGATTTTCAGGAGATACATTTTCTAAATCGGTAAATATCAGTGTGAAGGAAACACCATCTAAACTTCAAATTTGGCAATGTCGGAAATAAATATTTACTGAAACGATTCTAAGTAACAAATATGGATATGGACTCACCATTTTGGCGAATTCTGAATATAAATGTTCCCAAACCGCAGGTAGCTTCGGCTGGGGGCTGACCTAGTTTAAAAAGGAAGTGACATCACGTTCCATTTTGGAACTACCCGGATCATTTTTTCAAAACGTATTTTCAACTCATTTTAGAACCCTGATCTCATTTTATTCGGCTCTAATATTTAGAAAAGATATCATATTCCCAATAACATCTCATGTTTTATCCGTTGTACCTACATAAAGGTTAAAATACGCATGTATATAAATTTATTACAACTTCCGGTTTATTGACCAATCAAAATTCTCATATGGTTTCTTAAAGGCTCATATTCAACTAAACCCACTGGCCTCAATCACACTGTCTCATTTGGTATCTGATGGTAGTAAATATCTTTACATCATCCATTTCACATTTTGAGAATCAAAACATCTATTACAAGTCATTATCAAGCATGTTGACTTAATGTTACTCTACATGGCTCCACTTGTTTGTGAGATTGGTAAATGTCATTTATGTTTTGTTTTCATACATAAACATTGATATTTAAGAGTAGCTACTTACATTTGGGATAAAAATGGAGTAATTTTCAATTGCAAAGGGGAGCAACTCTTATTTAAATAAAGTGTTTTTCACTCTAATTCAAAGTATTTAATACAGCATGTTGCTATGTACATGTAATACTGATTTTACTTTACATATTTGAAGTGTATACTCACCTTTCATTATGCGTTCCTAACAACTGCCAAATACTTTCACTTTCATTATTACAGCACTTTTCACATTTGATTAGAAGCAAGAGTGTATTTATTGCATTTAATTGGTGAAAAGGAATTTTATTGATGATATTCTTCAAAAACGCATTTTAAATTTTCTAAGCCTTTGATAATTAATATATACATCCTTTAATTTTAGTATCATAATTAGGTTAATTTTTTGTTAATAGTTCCTTATATAGAAATAAGGAACAGAGAGCATTTCCGAAACTTGTTTCAATTTCAAAACTTATATCACATATATTTTATGACATACATTATTAATATGAAGTTTCTGTGAATTATTTAAATATCAACATAACAAGAATTTTCACTCATATTTGAACATTATTTCCTTCGAATTTTGTTGCATCAGTTTATTCAGAATAGACTAGACATATTTTGATTTGCATATAACTATTAGATACATAAGGGTAAAACAGATGTAATTTTTCTACAATACCCGCCATGCTATCTGACCCAAAAGAGCCACCTGATGGTGAAACTGGTAACTACCTACTTGCATCTGCGTTACTTGATAAGTCGTGAACAATTGAAAATATTTCTTGCAATTTGTTCAACCCCTCATGTGTCTCATTCCTTTTATATCTACCATAGGCGTAGCCATGGGGGGGGTTGTGATGGGTGATGGATGCCCCCCCCCCCCCATTACCAGTAAAAAATATAACCATGAGCTTTAAAATGCTTTTTATTTGGCTAATTGTTCATGCCACAATCGCACCCCCCTGACTGAAAACCATGTTTTTTGGCAATCGCACCCCCCCAGACTGAAAGCTGGCTACGCCCCTGTCTACAATATCTGCTGTGATGTGTTAATAACAAATAAACAATAAGATGTTTTGATAGAGTATAAGAAATATATTTAACAATAAAATAGTGTTCTCTACATAAATTGTATTAGTTGCAATAGTAAAATAATGAGCTTCTTTTAAATGCTTACAAAGTATTTCCAAGCAGTGTACCATATAGTCCTCTCTAAGGAAAATAGGACTTGGGAATACATCCTTTAAGGGCGGGGCATTTAGATTTTGATATGGTTCTGAAACATATGAATTCAGTTCATGTATTTTAAAAGCAAGTTTTTGCTGTACAATGTACTTTCGTACAAAAAAGTTTTTGGTCCCATTCTTATTAAATGCCAGTTGATTATAATAATATTCATATATGAATGAACTCACCTAAACCTGCTATTAAAATATCATGGTATTTTTTACATTTTTTCATATTGAACTCCTAATCTCAACAAGGATAAAATGTAATTATTCAGCGTTAAGGATTGTTTTCTATACTCAAAAACTGTATTTCAAATTGTTCAGCTCAGCTTAATGTCAGTCTAGATACAAGATTAGATTGGTTCCACTAAGACAGAGCGATCCTTACAAACAAGTATTAATTTCATTTCAACTGCAAAATTATAGTCTTAATTCTATGAGTCACAAAAATTGTAGTGTCCAGCACTCAATTTCTCATTGGAGACAATGTACATTGCATGGTAAACAATGTATATATGGTAACAATGTACATATGGTAACAATTTACATATGGTAAATGGTGTTCACTACATTGCATATGGTAAACAATGTACATACATTGCATATGGTAAACAATATACATATGGTGAACAATGTGCAGTGGTAATTATTTATGTCCACATGACTATACCAATAACTCTTATCAGAGACAATGCATATTGCATATGGTAAACAATGTACATTGCACATGGTATACTATATAAACTGCATAATGGTAAATAATGTCCACATGACTATAAAAATAACCCTCAGTAGAGATAATGTACATTGCATATTGCAAACAATGTTCACTGCTTATGGTAAACAATGTACATTCATATGGTAAACAATGTTCACATGATCATAACAATAAAATTAAGAAAATACAATTCAACATTGTTTCATTATATAAGAAATAAAAAATAAGAATATCAGTCAAAGGGTTGCTTGTTTTAGTACAATGTTTTTTCATGACATTTGAATATAAAATATGTATTGTGCATTTATTTAAAAGCCATCATAAAATAATATTTGATCTCCATGTAATAAAATTGTTTAATATCTTAGAAACTATTTACAAAAATATCACATCACATTAAACATTCAGCTAATTAGCATCTAATCTCTAGAAAATTTGTTTTTTTAATTTTCCCGTCATTTAATTATTTTCTAGTTTTTTTTATTGTGAGTCCCGCTGAATAGCTCGAATCTAATGCTTCAAATAAGTAAAGGATAAAATATCAAATCGTCCAGTAAGATGCTAAATAGTTGAGAAATACAGTACAACTAGAATTAGTCAAGATAAAAACATGCTGCATAACGGGTGTCAATATCCTAGATACGAGTAGAAATAATCTTGATTTAAGTCATTAAAAGTTCCAAATTAAGTCAAATTGATGTCATATTTGGAATCTACATGTAAAATTACATCTAGAAATGTGGTTTTGAAAAGAGTTTATCAACTTTGAAAATTTAATTTTCTTTGAAAATGTGACTTCTAGGTCGGGGAGATTCCCCATAGACCCCATGTTGTAAAATCACAAAAATGGAAATATCTTTTCTTGTGTTGGGCAGATAATATTTTCTTTCACTGGACATATTTTTATTTTTATAACTATCAGATACAAAAGGGTATTATGAAAAGTGAACTGGTAAAACTGATGAGTATTCAAGTTTAAGGGAATTTTTCAATACCCTGCCATGTTATATCCCCCGAATCAGCCACCTGGTGGCGAAACTGGCAACTACCTACTCGCATCTGAGTTATTGAAAGACATCTTAAGTATCCATAAAATACAAATCTGGATAAATATGCTTATTTCAATTCAGCTCTAATAAGTGAATTATAGAATATATCATACAATAGAAAAATACATTATATAGTAAATATACATAGTTTCAGGTGTCTACATGTATAGTACCAAGTGTGTCAGAACAGAGCCTTGACCATAGGGCTCTGAATTCTGAAATGGAGAAATAGTTTTGATATTGATGAGGCTTTAAAAGACCCCAAAAGTATCTGTCAAGGTCTTAAATGAGAGTTTCATAATGAAATGAATGACAGGTTCCTATGAAAGCATAAATTACAGTGATATACTACTTGTTTGGGAAACTGGATTTCGATCAACCATATTCTCAATATTCCCATTGATAAGGATCACAATAAAAATATTATCTCTAATTGTAGTGATGGTGAGTGCAGATAGATGGCACTCACCTTTAACACAAAATTTTAAACAAAATCAAACAAATAGAAAGGGTAAACTCACAGAGAAATTAACAAACATTAATCACATGCTTTTAGTCCGGGATAACTATAGACAGGCCCGTAGCCAGGGGGTTTGGGGGTTCGAGTTTCCCCCCCTTCCCTGGCCAAAAATTATTTCAAAATCATGCAGTTTTTCACCATTCTGAGCACTTTTCAAGTGATTTGACATTTTTGGGCCTAAGTTGTCAAAAGTGAACCCCCCTGGAATTTTCTAAAAAGTTTACCCCTCTTGGCAAATCCTGGCTACGGGCCTGCTAAATATATAAAGTTGTTTTCCATGACCCCTTAACACAGGTCTAGATTTACAATAAAAACATATATGGCTAATATTGTTCATCTCTTGACTAGGTTTCTCATACTAAAATAAGTAAAACCTGTGTATCACGTACACCTCAAAATATCATGTCAGATTATCACAATATTAATCCATTTTGCAGATGTCAGCAGTCCTTACTATAGAACCTGAGGTAATACTGTACATTCGTACTTTAAATTGATTTAAATTTAATGCCATATAATTTGGTCTTTAATCAACATGCCAAACCAATTCATTTCAAGATTACCAGTAAAATCTTTGCCAATTTGTTAATGTCAGGCATTTGGATATCTTTTCTCAATAATCAGCTAAATTAAATAGCCCAATGTTCTCAAAGTACCAAATTTGACAAATTAAACATTACCAAAATCAAACTAATTTACAGTGCATGTATAAATATTATGCCAATATTTCCACATATTTTGTATAATAATACATCTGTATATTCTATGGAATGGTCGTTGTAAACACAATGTAAACTGAATACTTCAGTCATATCTAAAATAGAATAAAATATTTAACTTCATTCTTAATCTTTACAAATTTAGAAAAAGTTCAGCTTAGTATTTTTAAGAGGACTTGTACATTATGTACTTTTACTGTAATGTTATGATTCTAGGGATTACTAGCCCCAGCCATACCACCCCTCACCCCACCCGGCCCCCTCTCAATTGTTTTTTTACTAGGACCTTATTACAACTATTCTCCTAATAGATTTATGCTCAATCAGGCAAGTAAGCATGTACTAAGAAGGGGAAAATTCCAATCCCTATACGACCATGATTCTCCACATTTACATACAAGTTCTCTTAAAAACGAATGTTTAAATTCCTTAGCATGGAATACATAGAGATTATCCTATATGAGGTTCAGGATATTGGGATTATCCCGAGGCCAATATAATATATTTGCCCGAGGGCCGCAGGTCCCGAGGGAAAATATATTATATTGGCCAAGGGATAATCCCAATATCCTGAACCGACTATAGGATAATATGTTTATCCCATACCAATCTTGGTCATCTGGTTAACATTGTTCAATCATGGAAATATTTTAGAATACTCATGTCCAGTTTTGTCTTCTTGGCCGTGGGCGGATTTTCCTGTTCTCTCAAATATTCCCATATTTATTTTCTCTAATTTTTGATTGATTAAGTGGATGCTCCTTCCCTTTTTTAAACCATCAAACAGATCCCGATAGTCTGTGTTTTCTCCATTGTCGTCTACAGTCATTTCGTGAACGTTACAAATTATGAACAAATATGCGAGCTGCGATTATGACGTTGCGGGCAGATATACTATATCTGCCCGCTCGGAGCGGGACGTAAAGCTATATCTGCCCGCTGATGAAAATATAAGTTTTTACAAACCGGCTTTATGTACCTGTAACACGTCTAAGTATGGGATAAATACATGTATGTAACCTATGTATTCTGTGCTAATGCCACTCTAAATAATTTGATTTGCATTTTACATCAAATATCTTTCCCCATCTCTGCTGTCTTCTTCAAACTATATTTGAAAAGTTTGAATGGGAGATCTTGATACTTGATACAAGATGAAATAGAGGTTATTTAATGGGAGGGATGGAATATGGATTTTATTCCGAGGGAAAATATGATATTGGCCAAGGAAAATATCATATTGACCGAGGGCGATAGCCCGAGTGTCAATATGATATTTTCTGAGGCCAATATCATATTTTCTCAAGGAATAAATCCATATTCCATCACGACCATCAATAACCTATTTATTTCATAATATTTTTTTTTCAATTTTTGTTGCATACCTAGACATATTTGTCACAGTAATAGACCTTTGTCACAGTAATAGACGTAAACTAGATGATAATAATTTCAATAATTTCAATTTTCCAAACGATTTTTTTACTTCCTGTAGAGATGTGCTAGACGAAAAGCGTAAAACTCAAGAGAAATTACCGGGAATATTTCTGATACGGGATCTGATACGGGATTTTTGCTGATACGGGATCCAATACGGGATCTGATACGGGATTTTGGCTGATACGGGATCTGATACGGGATTTTTCAAATAACACTTTTATTCCCTGTTATTTTCCCAGGGAAAACATGTTATTATGGAATAAAGCATTTTATTCACTACATATAGTAGAACCTGCTAAGTGGAACACCTCTGTAAGTGGAACACCTCACAAGTGAAACAGTGTTTTTAAAGTCCCATTGTCTAACTACTCCATGATAATGAACCTCTGTAAGTGGAACACCTCCCAAGTGGAACACCTTTTTGTGGTTCCAAGAGTGTTCAACTTACACAGATTCTACTGTATTTGATTCAAATGGGGACTGAGAATAAGCCTGGATTTCTTCAGTTGGAATGTCATTGTTTGAGTTACTGGGAGCTTGTACTGCAAATTATAGGATTTAAACTGGATTAGCCTTAGTTTCTCCAGCATTGTCATAAGTTGGGTTTCTCAGCTCTTCGTACACTGGTGGTGGCGCATTAGGGTTCCCTGCAGCATTATTCCCATCAAGAGCTGTGGACTGCTGCAATGTGAAAATGTAAAAATATGATTCTCTTTTCTACAACATGATAAATGTGAAACATCAATATGATAATCAAATTATATACTGGATTCCTCAGTTCTTCAAATACTTGTGGCAAGGCAATTTATTTTTCTTAATAGACACATTAGTTATAATAAAAATACTTTCTGAACTCTCATGGCTTTCTCTATGAACCAAGATACTTGCAACTTTTCAAGATATATACAGTTATGAGATCATACCTTTATTTAGTTTTTAACCTTAATTTTCATGGTTATTGTAGGATATAAAATAATTATTTATTTTACATATAACAAACTATAATATAGAAAAGGGTCACTAAAGTCTACTGATAATCTGCACAGTAAACCTGGTCAACAAAACTGACCTTTTGAGTGTGAATGCTTTTTATGAAAGTAGAAAAAATAAACTATGAAATTCTATCAATAAACACCCTTTGACAACCTATTTCCTAAATAGCAGCCATTACATATAAAGTTCAAGTAAAACACATGAAGTAAGGCATAAGAGGAATTCTTACGTTGAGTCACAGGCTGCATGTAGTCCCCTGGCTGCTGTTGCTGTGGGTAAGATCCTGGGGGTGGTTGTTGTACAGGATAGGACCCTGGGGGGTAGGACACAGTAGGCGGGGGTTGTACTGGGTATCCACCACCTCCTGTCAAAAACATATGTATTCAGATTTCAGAATCATATTTTTGCAATTAACTTTTTTTCTATATCACTTTACATCTATTCTTCTTTACAAAGAGAGATATAGGATATATAAGGGTCTTACAAACAGGGTAAAGGAAGGTATATTTGTAACAATCATACAAAATTGAAAGGTTTTAACTTGACTTATTTTAACTTTAACACGTTCTTGGGGAGCTCGGATGGATCTTAATGACCATATCAGGCCTATTCGTGTATATACGAAGTGTCACATTGGCAAAATAACATCCAAAATGGTATCTAACCTTCGTTTGAAATCAAAGATCCAAGTACTTGTATACCAAAAAATTAAAAAACACCTACCGGCAGCATATGTGACAGATGTAGCAGGTGTGGTATATGTCCTGGCGGATGACCTGGATTGCGCATATCTATATCTTATGCAGCAGCATACAATGCTAACAATGATCGAAATAACTCCAACAACAATTCCACCGATGACTGCATAACTGTAAATTCCACCCCACCACCATGACCAAGAGCTGCTAGATGTAATATCTTTTTCCCATTTATTATTCTTGTCATCCCAATGCACATCTTCAGTTGCTGAAAATGATTCAAGATCAATTGATATAATATCATCAGGTGAAACAGCAAGTGTCACTTTCACAGTTCACATAGGTTTAAAGGCAGAATCTGATCTATAGGGGGTGACAAAATTACAAGCAACATGTATAATTGACCTACCAATCTATTCCTTACAATATCAAATATAATATCTCCCAAAAGATTCACAATATGTTATAAATTGGTGAAGTTATTAATGATTCAAAGTGCGTAAATGAGTGAAAATGTTTAAATTCTCCCAAATAATAAGAATGGTAACTATTCTTGTTGAAAAATAAAACATTATTGTAAAAATTTAGTTTTCCTGGAATAAAGTATACACTTTTATGATTTTTAGAAAATAGACATGATAAGGAATGACATGAGCCAAAAATATTATAAAATTGAAACAATTTTTTGTTAGGCCTGCTTGCTATATCTGATTCTCTCTTTCATCTATTTCAAAAAGTTTGATGGTGCTTGGCTCATTTTCAAATGATTCCCTAATGAATTCAAATCACAACATGAACTTCTTTTTGTGGTCTAACCTACAATTAAAATATACACAAGTTAGGCAAGGTAGATGTTTCTATTTTTCCATATGCTTTTTAAATGTAGTCCTTTGTTCATTTTTCTCCAAAAATGGACCCATATGTAGGATTTTTCTTTCAAAAATAGACACACATTAATTTTTCAAAAATAAGACCCATTTGCTTGGTACCCATTAGAGGTGTCAAAGACCAGAATGGAACAGTTCAGTTTAGAACATTTGGCTTTGGAATGGATCAATTTTCAGAACTGACTATGTAACATATTAAAATAAGTTGATTGACAAGTTCTATCTGGTGGCGGTGAATAGCTCATTAAAATTTTTCAATGAGAAGAGAAAAATTACCTTCATTCGATGCAAAAAATAAGAAAAATGCTAGTTGCAGCGATTTAAGGGTCAATAGCTGTGAAAAAATAAGATTTTTTGCTCCTGAACCAAACTGAAATGTTGAAATTTTGTTCCATTCTGACCTGGTAGCATAATTCCGGGGTCGGAACAAAATCAACTGTGAAAATGAACCCAAAAAATGTTCAGGTCCAAAAAGTTTGGAGGGCCTTAATTAGTGGGCCTTTTTAGTCATTACTTGGCCTTTTGGGGCCTCAATTTTTAATTTTAGGCAAATAGAGCAAAAAGTGGGCCTTTAATTTTCAAAGTAAGGCTATTCCCCCTCTTCCCTGAGCTTAAGAACATACCATCACAGTTTGCGTAACGCTCCTCATCACTATTGTCAAAGCAGTGGTCAATTCCATCTTTGCACAGACTTTTGTCAATGCACACATTTTCATCCGTACATAATACATCGCAATTTTCATAAGCTTCATAGTCTGAAAAGAATGGCACAGTAACAGTACACTAGTAACACTGGCAATTATCATACATGTTCCTACTGGTTTATGAGATTTTGGAATATGCCTTATAAAAGTACAGCCACCCTGCTTACACAGGCACTTTCCCCATAGCATCAAATAGTTCTATGGGACACTGGCAGATCCAGGTGGGCATGGGGCCCGATCCCCCCGCCCTTGGATGGTCTCATTTTTTAATTTAGGCATTTTAATTTCGGTTTGAGGGGCCCAATTATTTTTTGAAATGTGGGTCCCCCCTTGTTAGCTTCTGGATCCGCCAGTGAAGCAAGATAGCTTCAACAATAAAAGTGGCAGATACTCTGAACTTAAGTATGCGCAAGTATAATACTGTAAAAAATGTTAATTTGTCCATCTAAAAACTGAGCTATCAGTTAAATCAAATTCTTAAATTCTCCCCATGTAACTTCAAAGTCACCTGATGCAAGTATGTATATTTTATTAACTTTTATCAAAAAGATATCACAACATTTATACCTACCATGATATGCCACAAGTGTAGAATTGAACTTAATCTTCATTGTATCGCTGTCAGAAAGTATTCGGACGGATATTATTCCTGATGTCGACTTGAATACACTACTATAGTACATTGTACTACAGTCCTGAAATATATATCAAATTTTTGTCTCAAATGTTTCACACTGAATTCTGAAAGTTATCATATATTGAACTACTGTACAGTAACTGTACATATTTTTAAGATTAAAGGTAAGATTAAACAATTTTTGCAGAGGGGCCATTCAACGATCATGGACCAGAGTCAAAATATATTTATTGTCTCCAAAGACATTATTTCAGCTGATATTCCTCTTGAAACATGTTGGATCTCCCCTTTTTGAAGCTTTGAACTGAATTTACACTTCTTAATGCTGAAATTGATAGTTTATTCATACATTTTAAGAAAATACATAATGTCAAACAGGATGTTAAGCCAAATGTTGCCTTGATAGCTCAGAAGAAGTTAAAATTTTCCAATTTTCTCTCTACAGGCCTTGTTGCCCCTTTAACCTCTTGACTGCCTGGAGTGATGAGATTTCTCGTCACCTCAGAGATGACCCTGAAACCCAGAGTGACGAGAAAGTCTGTCACAAACTTTTCACTAAAATGGCTCTTATTTGAACAATTTTCGACCAATTTACACAAAAAATAGTTTTAAAATGTGTAGAAATGATGATCTCTGCCGTCTAATTTTACTGAGTTGAGCATCTAAAATTGTGTAAGTATGTAGTATAATGTCAAAAGGTGGCAAAAATGAAAAAATCTCTGGTTTCAACCAATTTTAGAACCTGGGATTCAAGAGGTTAATTGAGTGATTTTGAAGTCAAAAAACAACAGGCTATACTTCTCATACACATGCAATTTGACACTCTCATTTCTAAGTCAGGAACAAGCAATTTGCAATTTGAAGATTCCTCCTACATTATGCAATGTCTTACTCTATTCTAATTTAGTACAGGGTGGTCAAAAAAATGGAAACCCTTACACCATTCTCATCACACCTTTGTCATTTTTAGAAATCACTCCCTGATATTTTACATTTTTGTACATCATTCAATTTCCTACCAGCCCAATTTATATCATGACCATCAGGTTGATAGTCACAATGTTACAGCACTTTAAAGAACATGCCCTAGTTTCCACTTTTGCACTGTCGGGAAACCTGCACTTGTTGTCAAAAATGTCCCTACCTGTGGGGATATGAGAATGACCTCAGGACAATTGCAAACCTTAAAAGTGAGATCATCCATGTCAATCAGGCCATACCTGCTGAGGAATGCATTTGGGTCATTGACAACTGTGCAGGTTTGCCTACAGTGCGATTGTGGCCAAACCTGAAGCATGTTATTCAAAGTGCTGTAAAATTGTGACTTTTAAGTCTGATGGTCATGAAATATGGTAGGGTGGTAGGAAATTGAATGATGTACATACAGGTATGTGTGAAATATCAGGGAGTAATTTTTTAAAACGACAAAGATATAAGGAAAATGCAGGGTTTATGTTTTTTGACCACCCTGTATATACCATCCTTAAACCCAAATTTCTTGCCGAATGATCCTTCGTTGTTTCTATACCATATGACCCCATTTTTTAACCATTGCTTGAACCTGAAATCCTTACCCAATGGACTATGACCCCTGATCTCTTAAAATTTTCTGACCTCAATTGGAGCTACTGATTGCAACAGATGGTTGACAACCATATCCTAACCATTGGTTGATCCTAATTCCTAACTATAACTGTGGTGGCACTAATCCTTACCATGATTTTCTTATTAGAATTTGCATAGGATAACCTGCCAGAAAATATCTCTATATGATCTCCACAGTTGGCTTTAAACATTCCAAACTTCATCATCAACCTACAGAAGAGAATATTGCATTAAACTACAAATTGCAGTTAAACATGTTAAGTGGGACACCTCTGTAAGTACAAAAACTCTGTAAGTGGAACAACTCTGCAAGTGGAACACCTCTGTAAGTGAACCAACTCTGTATGCAGGTTTTTTGCATTGTAAGCCCAACGTAGAGTTCTCGCGATAACCATTATAAAAGAAATGTTAAATGTTATTATAACATTAAAAAATTAAATGATTAATCAGAACTCAGAAATCTCATTATTTTGGGCACTCAACATTATTCTCTCAATTTTATACTGCACAGTATTACTTTCAATTGTATACTTTCATACATACCCTTCGTAATCATCATTTCCATTTACAAATGTTACGGAACATTCATATTTATCCAGCTCTGAGCGATAAGTCCAGCCTTCACTAGTTAAATAGTTGCTTTCAACCTTGACAGCCACGTCATCATCATACATTTTATAGTCTTTTCCACAATAGTATCCCGGTAAATACTCTGAAACAGTTTAGAATTACTTTTAGTAGACTGGACGCCATTACTAACCTCTCTAAAGGCCAAGTGTTAATAGTTTATCTTGATAAACAGAGATAACATAGTTTTAAAACAGTGGACGGATTTAATTCAGAAAATCAAGCATATTGTTTTACTTGTAAAAAATCTATTGTAAGCCTGTTACTATAGCAACAAAACTAGATACAGCTGTACATGTATATTCAAATTTATGATGTCACAGGCGATGTGAATGATACCTTATATGTAGTACTTTTTACAAGTGACACATTTTGTGGTTAAAATTATTGTTAAAACTGTAAGGCCAATCAAAATAGAATATTAAGATAGATAAATGTAATTCATTATCAACAGAAATGTATAAAAAAAGTTATTGAATTATTAGTTGAATTAAATTTACTTTCTTTACCAATATGTGTCATATGTAAGAAATATATTGAATAACCATACAAGTGATTATTTACCTGTTTTATATCCATCTGTTGTCATAACAACCGAAGACAATAACAAACATAGCGCTGTCAACTTCATGGTTGCAGAATTTATCACTCAATATATTTGTTATGGTTACCGGCAACTATCCCTTTGCGTGTTGGTTTTAACTGAAAAGAAAAATGGACATGCTGGATTTGAAATATTTCACTAAGCTATTGTAAGGTTATTCTCTCAGTCCTGTGGTTTTCTTTTTTAAAAGTCTGTCCAAAAAGGATAGCCTTTGGGGGCAACCACCCCCCTTTCAATAGAAATCTTTTTTAAAGGATTTGTATGCAAATATGGCTCTCAGATGCCCCCAAATCCAATAGCCTACGACATTACACATGGTTGACTCTTTGCGTGGGTGTGAGGGCACTACTCATCTGTATGCAAAGGTCATCCCCCTCTCAGGAAATCCTTCGGATGAGCCTGCTTTTACTTGATGAGGAAATCCAATATAATTTCTTTATATTCAGACAATTATTGAGGCTGATCAATCAAGGCCATTAACAAGGTAAAATATGAGTTTCCTAAATATTGTATAATAATATATATATGGTCAACAGAAAGTTCAAAAGTCATATGCACTGTGGCATTGCACTGTGATAGAAAGGTGATACCCGTCACACAAAATACTGCTATGCCAATAAGTACATGAATACAATATAATTATATCTATGTAATAATAGAAATGCTAATGTGTTGAACTATAACTGGGAGCTTTGGGGCAAGTGTTATGTTGTATATGTATCACATAACTTGTTAATGTATCATTATTTGGACCTGCTATAAATGTAACTTTGGGCGCTCTTCTTAATGAAGTATCAGACTTACTTACATAGTGATCTCCCCAAGCATTAAAGCAAGTGGGCGAAGCACCCACCTGAGATTTTAAAAACAGGCTTGCATCCACCTGAAAATCCATTTGCACCCACTTGAAAATGAGAAGATTCATGAAAATTAGCCATATTTTGACCTTTAGTTTAAATTGTGAGATTCAGAAAAACAGGTTTAACTAGATAGGAGGGGAATTAAGGATTTATTTGACACTGTATATACGCAAAAAATGCAATTTGTCCATCATTTGTAAAAAATAACATGGAGATTAGACTGCAAACTACCCTAATCGCAGATCGAGTCTTTATAGTCCATTTCAGCAACTATCTGATTTCAACTCCACAGAAAATAACATTGAGTGTGCTTTGAAAGGTTGAAAGGGTATAGAGCATAGTGTAGACTTTTATTTATATAACTGAGATTTCTTCTGATAAAAAGTCAAAAGTCTGATGGTGTCTGACTCATCAGAGCCCAGGGTGCTAGTAGCCATATTTATGAAACCTATAGGGCTGTGACATGTATATGTGTAATAGGGTCACAAAGTGATTTCATAAGGAGTTGTTTAGTAGTGAAGTATATGTACATGTGCAAAGTGAGGAAGCAAATATAGATTTACACACATGAGGTAGGATGAAAAAGATGGACAAACAAGATGGACATATTACCTGAGACCTGTGACATTATTTTAGGTTTGTAAGTCTCGATAACACGAGCATCATTCATACATGTACACATGTATCAATACATGTGCATATATATACATTGCACATACCTAGAGTCCATTTCACTGTTTCATTGCGTCAGTAGAACGGCAAAAATAAGAAATTGGGAGACCATTGTGCAATAATATATGGAAAAGTATATTCATAATGTACATGAATGAGATTTGTATATTTCAGATTTTTTAGTTTTTTGTGCAATAAGCCCGTGCCGTCTATAATATAAGAGGCCACACACTTTATAAGCCAAACTAGAAGCAATCCAAGATATACAAATGTCATTCATGTACAATATGAATATATTTTTCCATATATTATTGCAAAATGATATTTTGATTTCTTATTTTTTAGCTTTTACTGACGCAATTAAACAGTGAAATGGACTCTACACAAATTATTTGGAGTGAACCCCGGCACGCAGTGCAGTGGTAAGTGTGTTGAACCCGGTGTTGAAGGAGGCTAGGCGTGGCTAAATGGAACACTAGCAGTCGGGCTAGCAGTTCTTTATAGGTATTTCGTGAAAACGTTTTATGTAATATGAGCACTTCTATGTATCTATGATTCATGAAATCGTGACCATAAAATTGAGAAACATTATTTACATTCCAAATTCTTACTGAACACAGCTGGCTCAAAAGCCAGCTGAAGCACCGTTAGAATATACCGTCCTTTGAAGCGGTTTTCTCCAACTTCCAGCAGGCGCGCTGGAATAAGAAACGGTATTTAAGAAGATAATTGAATGTAACTTGCCCTTTTCATCACGCGTGGTGACAATAAGTCCTACTTCTTGTGTAATTGCAGTTAAAATGGAGAAATTCCAAATCTGGCGCGCACCATTTTTTAACTTTTTACGCATGCGTGCACATGCGCATTGTACTTTTATGCGCATGGGTATTACCGCTGAGAGATCACGTGACTATATTATATTTAGCTAGCGCGAGTTATTTTGTAGCAAATTTTTACTTTCGAAAGTCACGAGATCTCGCGTGACCTAAAATGGCTGGAATCTAAATTCAAAAGTTTTGTTGTCTACAAGAACATTGATTTACTACAACAACAGACTGTTGAAGGAACAAAATAAGGTAACAACAAATAAATTATGTATTGATTCAAATATATAGCGTATTATAAACGCTACTCAGTACAGCGTTTAGTCAAAATGGGCTCGATTTATTCTTTTCAAGTTCACATACATCAAACTTCCCAGAGCTGACTACTGTCAGCTCGGTAGAGTAACCAAATTCCATCAATCATTGCCATTGCAAAACAAAATAATTATTATTTTTCAAAATTTTTCAGTGGAATTTGGGATACATTTTTCACCAATTACGAGCCATACGATATTATAGATATACTATTTGATGACTAATGAATGTTTTAACTACTTAAAATCAGTAAAATATTGAAAAAATAACGCCGTAGTTCAATAAAACTTTACTATTTCTTACCTGTTTGTTTTTCACCTGAGTGAGCTGTGATTTACACTGGACGAAGCAAATAAACAATATTGAATTACACCACACGAAAACGGTTTAGTTAAACCTCAATTTACCGGGGAGACCAAATTCCCGGGAAATCCCATTTGACACATTTACATTTGTATTGGTTATTCATTCCAATAAGAATGAGTGCTGTATATTTTACAAGTTTATTTGACTCTTACTGTTTATAATATATGTGTGCCCCACACATCTTCGATTACAACAAGGTCTGAAGTTTGAAATCAAACTGGTAAAGGAGTATGTGCTCGCGGCCCACTCCTTTGTTTTCTCCATAAGAGTGAGGACACATATTCCGTGAACTGACTTAATTTGGCATTTATTTTGATTTACTGTATCACAGATTCTTTACAAGATCACAAACATCTATTCACTAATAACAACAGAACAGAACCATGTTATCCTATGGTACTTAATCCCTTATAAATCCGCCTTATAAATGTCAACCAATAATATTTTGAAGATAAAAAATATGCCAAAATAAACTAATATAGTACTATGTGTTTATGTTTGCAACCAAATTTAAATATGACATGACCAAAATACAACCAGCCTGTTTCGATATCAAAAGTAACTTTTTGTTACACCAAACACCAGTCACAGTCTCACAGAAATGGTGACTACAACAATATGTCACCATTTGGTGGTGAGGTGACATAAAAAATCAACACAATGATTTATTTGATGAATTTATTTGTTGTCTTTACACTATTTATATTTCTTTTTACATTTTATTTACATACATTTATTTTAACGATTTTTACATTTTTAATGTCACAACATGAGACATCTATTATCACATTATCAAGATATTCATACAGAGTATTTATTTACAGTATTACCATATGTTTAGGTATGTATCAGGTCGAGTAACTGTGCTGCCATCTTTTATATTGTCCCAATACCATATCAATATTTACAAATGAACACTCATTAATAAATACATGCTTTCTGTCTTTGAAGCGACAATATGGTTTCATGATTTTTATCTATTTTCAAGAAAACTTTTGTTTCAGAATCTAGGTGAAGGATAATAAACCAACATTAGAGATAAAATACTGAAACTATCTGATGATACTGAACTGGCTGAAACTTTTTACAAAATGATATTTTACAAGAAAATGACAATGGTTTTGCTTTGAAAGCCCAATTAAAATATTTTGTGTTTAGACTGATTAAATCCTTTTAACAGTTTAATAGAAATAAGAACTAGCTTTAAACCTTTCATATCCATATATCCACATATCCTTGAGACAAGGCAAAAGTCACTCAACTAGTGAAAGTTATAGTTGATAATATGTACACTGTTATTGTCTTTAACAAAAGTTGAAGTCATACTTGATACCATATTAATATCACCCCCCCCCCCTCCCCCTCTCAAATAATGGTATATACACTGTTGTTGTATTTAACGTCCTATGGTTTCCACGTGATAACTTTGACTGCAATGGTTGCTGCTTTCACTACAGCTGGTATAGGATCATGCATTAGTGTTTTTATTTTTTCTACGTGTGTTAACAAAGTGGCTCGTCCTTCGGGTGCCTCTGATAAACATGTCAATGCCTGGAAAGTAACAAATCATTTATTCTTTATTCTATGATTGGTATACGATAATACAATGTATATTGTTGTTACATATCTTTATTGTAAAGGGTGTCAAATAAATATGATCTCCCCCTTGATTTCAAAAATATGAACTTTTATGCATAAAAGTGCATTTAGTTGAGCTAGTCATCTAAAACTTCTTGTGGAGTTGCTCCATGAAGCCTAGTTTTAATGTGCCAAGGAACACATCATGACATCATACAGACAAATAAGTTATGCAACATTGCGTGGACATTAAAGCTACATCTACATTTTAAATCTTAAGTAAGTTCTTTATTTCACTAGATATCTCAGTTCATTTTTCAGAAACAAAATTAAATAAGGATTGTAAGGGAAGTAATGATGTACTTCCAACATTTTAAATTTGATCTCCAGACCCGTAGCCAGGATTTGCCAAGGGGGGTTCACTTTTTGAAAAATTCCAGGGAGGTTCACTTGTGACAATTTTGGTCCTAAAATGGCCAAAATCACTTAAAAAGTGCCCAGAATGATGAAAAATTGCATGATTTTGAAAGATTTTTTGGCCAAGGGGGGATTCGCTCAAACCCATCAAACCCCCTCCCTCCCTGGCTACGGGCCTGATCTCTATTTCATTCTGATTTATCAGCAGAGTTTCTCTTTATCTCAAACTCTATTCCAATGGATAGTAGAGACTGTGGGTCCCGCAGGCTTCTATTTCTTTTAATCACAGCTTGAAGAAATGGATTAGAATCTCCCATTGACTGAACAATGGACTCATCCCTATATATCCACCAAAGCAACAAATACACTGTAAATTCACCCTAATGTATACTCACCTTTAATGAGTTAGCCCTGACTTCACTGTTTGGATCATCTACCAGATTGACAAGAGGCTCAATAGCACCCCCATTGATTGCAGTGTATTTCCCCTTTGTTGTTATAGTGATACTGTAAACATACATGAAAAAACATAATAAAAAGTCATACAACTAGGAAATGTGACTTTCAAGCTTTTTTGAATGCATAAACATGAATGAGTGATCACTTAACAAAGATAACATATCTGTAAGTCCCTGTGTTATCCACTCTCGTTCTGTCTGTCCCTCTCTTACTCCCTGCCCTCCTTCTCATTCTCTTTCTCCCTTCCCTTTTTCTCCCCCCCCCCCCCCCTCTGCATTCATAACTCCCTCTCTCTTTCTCGCACAGGGACCAGAGATCAGATGAGTGCATGTGAAGAAAATATAGAGACTCAGTACAAGACTAGTAAAATCTCAATGGCTCCTTACGTCATAAGACCACCAGCAGCATTCGCTCTCACTACAGGGTCGGAGTCTTGAAGGAGACCAATCAGTTTCTCTACTGTACCAACATTTACTGCAAAGTCCTTTCCTGCCAGTGGCACACTACAATTGTAAGGCATACGCGTTACATATATACAGTAAAGTTCAAGTGAGTCATTAGATTAATTGTTTTGTAAACAATTTTGACAAATAAGCAAACAAGACATCAATATGCAAAATGTCACCACCTGCCATTTGTTACAGATGCATACTATCAAATGGCGACCACATCCAAAAAATGTGATCTTGTCTGACAAGTTTGTTTCTTGGTGCTGTTGTTTTTTTGCATTGACAAATCACCAAACAAAATATAAAATGCCTTCTCTTCTCTTTTCATTATAATTAAATTGATAGTATCTCACCTCAAGTCCATAATATCCCTTGCTGTCTTTGCCCTCACTGAAGTCAACTCATGAGCCAGGAGATCTGTATAAACCTGCATGGCATTTGCATTCAGAGCATTGGTAGTGTCTACACGCATACAAAAATGAAGCGTATCAAGAATTAATTCTTTGATCTCGTCATGTTCAGTTTTTAGTTTATCCACAAGTTTTGCGACTAGTTTGGCATTTACGATCCCCTCCGCACCTGTAACAGACACATTAATAGGGGTTAGACTTTAAATATAAGGCAATGGTTAATAATGAAATGCTTAAAGCATTTTAATATACAAATGTATAAGGATGGCGTTAATAAATGATATGTTTAGCATAGCTTCCCATATCTCTTGGAGCAATCTGTAGTAAGGCTCTTGAAGAATGTATAGAAAGAAATAACTGGTGCTAGCATTATTTCCTTTATGTCAACAATATTAAAATCAATCAATGTTTTTATATATTTTTGTTAGTTGTAGGTATCATAAAATCATATCTTATCATATCCCTTCATATTTCATCAAACAAAATATTAATCATTAAACTGCTCTAGCCCAATACTCCGAACTAGATTGTAATTTCTAACAATTATTTGTGAATAATTTACATCTGAAGGCATGAAATCCTGTTGAACCTAAAACACGTGGAAACAGCTTATAACAAATCTCACCTATAGTTGTCTCTGAAATCATCTGTATTGCAAGGTGGGCATTTTTACGGGCAATATCTTCTTTGTCATCAAAAAGTTTTGATAAAGGAACAATAATACCATGTTCCAGGAAGGCATCTCTCCCTATGGCATGCTCTGAAAAATATGAGGGTTTATAACATATACAATGTACATTGTACATGTCATGTGTTGTTACTTCATGAAACAATTTATAGCTGTAACTTTTTTTAGAAGTATCTTCTCTTTATCTGCTTATTGCATGCTTTATCTTTTTGGTACTTTTGCTATATTGTAGACCTAGAAAAGTTCACATGTCTGATTTAGTGATTTTCAAAATGGATACTGTCGATTAACTAATCTGTTATGAGATGACCCCCTAAGGAGGAAAATATGTAGGAAAGATCTGTCTTCAAAATAGTGCAAAATTCTCATGAAATATATTGACTATATAGGATATAACTGTAGGATATTGTTTATAAATAGTCAGTGGCCGCATGGTGCGAATTTTGTGAGGACATACAGTGTGGATAAAGGTGAATATCAATCTAAACTTTTCATGCACTGCTGTATTATTTTTGAGCTGACACTTTTATATGTGCTTTTATATGCTGGCTCTATTGTTCATGTATAGAGTCAGTGATTAGCCTTACCTGTATTGAACAGTGGTGACCTAGTTAGCAATACACAGTACAGTAAGACTAGTGCTGAGCAATATAGCTTAGGGACCATCTCAAAAACGCAATTATGGATATTCAAGATAAAGTTAGTGATATTGATTTATGGATCAAACTGGAGTCGAAAGGCATTGGTAGAATAACTGAACTGGATCTGAGAGATGCAATCTTAAAAAGCTGTGAACTAAACTTGGGCAGTGGAAAAATCAGTGTAAATAACATTCTTGGAATACAACTTTACCAGAATGCCTATATCATCTACACTGACTCCCAAGCTACAAAGCTAAAACTCGTCTCAATGGGATATGCAACTGTAAATAATAGGCAATATGGCCTGAGCGACTTCAAAATGGAAAAGGAATCTCTCGAATACAAACACAGAAAACACACACGCATTTCGATTCATGGTATCCCCCTTCATGTGTCAAACCAGGAGATTGAAGCATGGGTAAATACATTTGCTGAACGGGCATCTGAAGTGCAATGGCATAAACGTTCAAGGGGCCCGAAAGACCAAACAAATGGGCTGTTAACAGGACATAGATTTTGTTACGCCAAGAACATCACTTCACCACAGAATCGATACACAACCTACTCTATGGCTGATCCATTAGATGGGTCGCTGATTGATGTAAACATTGTGATATACCATGATAATCAACCGATCAACTGTCGTATATGTCGTAAGGACCATGATACACAACAGTGTCCCTCTCGATCTGTTATAACCTCCTTCGGATGTGGCGTCCAGGGCCACAGGAAATCTGAGTGTCCAAGGAGTAAGAAGCGCGACACCACCTGTTGGAAATGTGGCATCGTAGGGCATCGCCAAAGTGACTGCCCCGAATCTGCACAGGTTGCGACTGAGTTAGGCCCACAACAACCTACTGATCCAGCCCCAAAGGATGCGGCTAATAATATGAGTAAACCAGAACCCTCTACATCCGGGACTCAGGCAGTATCAGCAGCAGCACCTAACAACGTGAAACCACAATTCACAAAACCAGGTACCGCTGCAGTAAAAGCAAGAAAAAGACAAGCTATGAATCCTCTTAAGAAGTCAGGTTCTCTGCCTAACTTTAACCTGAAGAGGTCAGCAGCAAGCCCCCCTATTGACCCAAACGAAGATAAGAAACACAAACTAGGTTCTATTTCACCAGTGAACAACTCAGCAATTATACAGAGTGAGATCATAAATGCAGCGCCAGATGACAAGGACTAAGCATGATATACCAATAGATAATTTAAACAATCTATGCTTAACATATACCAAGGAAATGTACAAGGACTTCGAAATAGGATGACGCGACATGCATTTTTTAGATATCTTAAAAATGCTAAAATGGACATTGCCTGCTTGCAGGAATCATATATAACACAAAATGATATAGATACATGGGCAAAAGAATGGGGAGGCAAAATATTTGCAAACCCCGGAACCAAGCACAGTAAAGGAGAAATAATATTAATAGATAAACATTGTGGAGCTGAAGATATACAGGTTATTGTAAAACAAGACAGACTTTTATTTGTTGAATTCAAGTATGAGAATGAAGTGTTCGTTGTTGGTTGCATTTATGCACCGAACAAATCAAAGGACAAGGTTGTATTCTATCAAGAACTTCAGAATGTCGTTAAAAATGTTAATAAAGATGATATGAATCTAATAATTTGTGGTGATTTTAACTGTGTGTTGAACGAGAAAAATGATAACTTAGCTGGAGAAAGTCACAACAAAAATGATATTTATGCTTTTAAACAATTTGTTGAGAATAATGATTTGAATGATGTATGGCGATTGTATAACATTAATGAAAAAAGCTACACTTGGAAGCATAAAAGTAAAAGCATTATGAGGCGAATTGATTATATTTTTTCTAATGATTGTGTATTTGATAAAATTATGTGCTCCAATATTACAGATATGCCCACTTCTGACCATAGAGGTGTTACTACTACTGTAACATGGGATAACAATGAGAAGGGTCCTTCTTACTGGAAGCTAAACAATAGCTTACTTACTGACCAAACTTATGTAAATGAAATAAACCAAATTGTTGACAGGGTATTAATTAATGTTAACAATCTAGATAAACAAATACTCTGGGATTATTGTAAAACACAGATTAAAGATTTCTCTATTGGTTACAGTAAACATCTAGCCCATGTAAACAAGTGTAAAATCAAAACTGCAAAACAGAAGTTAGATCGAGCATGTAAGGTTTTAAGTAAAAATCCTAATGATAATATTTTGAATAAGAGAGTTAATGAATGCAAATTGTTATTTGAAATTTTGTCAACAGTTGAAGCTAAAGGGGCTCAGATAAGGTCCAAGGTACAGTGGTATGAACAAGGAGAAAAAAGTACCAAATACTTCTTGCAATTAGAGAAAGCTAGGGGAAACAAAAAGAACATAAATTCATTGAAAATTAATGGTCAAAATGTAAGTAACCAGAACCAGATTGTAGAAGAAATAAACAGGTTTTATAATGCATTATATGAAAAGAAAATTGTATTTAGGAAAGCAAATCTTGATGATTTTTTACATGATGTAAATATTCCGAAACTTAATGATGATAATAGATTAATTTGTGAAGGTCTTGTAACACACCAGGAATGTAAAGCAGCATTAAAAAATATGAAAAATGAAGCCAGCCCTGGACTGGATGGTATTACAGCTGCTTTCTATAAGGTATTTTTTAATAAGATTGGCAATTTAGTCGTAGATTCACTGAATGAGGGTTTTTTAAAAGGTGAATTATCATGTTCTCAAAAAACTGGATTGATGGTTTTAATTCCAAAAAAAGATTTACCTAGGGATGACCTTAAAAACTGGCGCCCTTTAACATTAACAAATGTAGACTACAAAATACTGGCCAAAGTGTTAGCTAACAGATTGAGATTGGTTATATCTGAAATAGTACATGAAGACCAGTCAGGATTTATAAAGAAACGTAGTGCAGCTACTATTTTAAGAGGTATTGATGACTTAATGGTATATATAGATTCAAATAACTTACAGGGCATTATGCTTGCAATTGATTACGAAAAATGTTTTGATTCAATCTCAAAGGAGTTCATGTTATACTCTTTAGAATATTTTGGATTTGGTCCCCAATTTATAAAATGGATTGAGGTCATTAATACAAATGGACATAATCATATTTTTAACAATGGCTGGCTTATAGGTGACATCAAATTAGGGCGTGGCATTCGGCAGGGCTGCCCCTTATCTCCGATGATTTACCTAATAGCATGTGAGCTTTTATCTTGTAAACTAAGACAATCCAGTGAGGTTAAAGGTATCAAAGCCCCTGGAAATCATGATGAAACCAAAGTTTTACAATATGCAGATGACACAACTGTTTTTGTGCATGACATTAAGTCTTTTAATAATGTACTTGAATTTTTTAACACATTTTATGGTTTATCAAGCCTTAAAATCAACACAAAGAAAACAGAGGCAATGTGGTTAGGAAAATGGAAAAATAGGAGAGAAAAACATGGAGATGTGCAATGGAAAATAATGCCTCATAACTGTATAAAGCTGTTAGGTGTAACGTTTAGTACCTCAACTAATGTTATTGATAATGACTTGAATTTTGAGTCAAAATTTGTAAAATGTGAAAACATTATGAAATCGTGGTCTGGAAGGTACTTAACAATTATGGGAAAGGTTGTTATAGTGAAATCTTTACTTTTATCACAATTCTCCTATCTCATGCAAGCCTTCATTCTACCTGACAAACTTTTGAATAGAATTAATACAATGATGTTTAAATTTATTTGGGCAAAAGGCAGATTTAAAGAGGATGAATTGAAAAAGATTCCTGACAAAGTGAAAAGGGATGTAATGGTGCAAGAATATAAATATGGAGGGTTAAAAATGATAAATGCTAAAGATTTACAAATAGCTTATACAACACAATGGGTTAAAAAGTTGCAAGAAAGAGGCAATGGTCACTGGAGAGGCTTACCCATGTACATGTATGGAAAAATGGGTAATGGACTCAGTATTTTTAATTCAAACATAGATTTTGATAGAATTAAAGGTTTGCATAACTTGAGTAATTTTTATAAAAATGTATTACATGTATGGTTAAAACACAATGATTTTAAAAATGAGGGCATTATTTGGAACAATGAAAATGTAACTCTCAATAATTCTCCATTATTTTTTGAAAACTGGATTGAAAAGGGCATTACATATATTTCAGATGTTGTCCAGGATGGGGAAATGTTAGCATATGATAACATTGTCCAGAAAATAGGGAGAAATGGCCAAACAATTCTTCAATATAATGCGCTTAAAGCATGTTTAAAACAAGATCTCCTTATCAAATATGAAATGAAAACACCTTGTACAAAATTATTTTTTAAAGGCATTGAGAGCCATCTTTTAAACACAAGAATTGTGAGAACAAAAATTGTTTTAGAAAGAAAGTGTGACATAAAATTTAATGGTGAGATTCTAAACGATAAAATCTGGTCTCAGTTTTTTGAATGTACAACCGATACTACCCTTTTGGTAATTCAATGGAAAATTTTACATGGTATTTACCCTCAAAATATTTATTTGAAGAAATGTAACATAGAAAACTCTGACATCTGTAACTTTTGTAACGCACATGTAAAAGATGACATTGACCACTTCTTTATCAATTGTGACTGTATTAAATCAATTTGGAATGATGTAAATGTTACAAATGATCAAAAAATTGGAAATGCAATTGTTAAAAAAGAAGATTTACTTAAAACATTGGTAATTAAAAAAGCTATACATGATTTTAAAAAAAAGGTCAATACAGCTTGTAATGTAAAAGCCATTTTTGATACTGAGATTATGATCAGAAAGATGTAATGTAACTTGAAATTTCTATAATTGTATTTTTTTATCTAATTGTATGCATGTAATGTAAAATATGTTTATTAATAAAGTTTGATTTTATAAAAAAAAAAAAAAAAAAAAACTAATCTGTTAGAAAATCTTGAAATAATCACATGAATTAAGGGTTCTTTTGTCATAGCATGCTATTTTCCCCTTATATACAGGGTGGTCAAAAAAATGGAAACCCTCCATTTTCCTTATATCTTTGTCACTTTAAGAAATTACTCCCTGATATTTCATACATTTGTACATCATTCAATTTCCTACCACCCTCCCACATTTCATGACCATCAGACTGATAGTCACAATTTTACAGCACTTTGAATAACATGCTTCAGATTTGGCCATTATCGCCCTGTAGGCAAAACAGCACAGTTGTCAATGACCCAAATGCATTCCTCAACAGGTATGGCCTGAATGACACAAATGATCTCACTTTTGAGGTTCGCAATTGTCCTGAGGTCATTCTCATATACTCTATCTCTGCCATATCCCCACGCCCACAGGTAGGGACATTTTAGACGATGAGTACAGGTTTCCCCACAACGCAATCGTGGCCAATGGGCATGTTCTTTAAAGTACTGTAACATTGTGACTATCAATCTGATGGTCATGAAATAAAGTAGGCTGGTAGCAAATTGAATGATGTACACAAGTGTAAAATATGAGGGAGTTATTTCATAAAATGACAAAGATATGAGGAAAATGGTATTAGGGTTTCCATTTTTTTTGACCACCCTGTATTTAAAATGTAACTATACTTTATACTCACGTGCTATAACATATAGAGATTCTGTTGCTTTTTGTCGAACCGTTATGTCTGGGTCTTTCAAAAGTTTCTTCAAGCTAGTTGGTATTCCTAGAAAAATTAATATTACAATGTAAATATTTGCGTTATTCTTTTTACAGAGCCCTATTTCAATATCCTAACTTAATTTATCACTCGGCCATTTGACAGGCACAATGAGAGTATACACATACATTGAGGTTGGATCATGGAACAAATGTTTTTTTTATTTTTTATGGTTTTATGAGATTCTAAAACTCAATTAAACTATACATACACTGTTGTCACAGTATAGCCATGATTTAAAATCAGGTTGAAAAATGTCTCAAAAAATATTTCTGTTAATGGTTGGTGAGGCAGTTGCCTCTCCTGCCTCATGCACACATGTCTCATACACACATGCCTCATGCACACATGCAACATACACACATGCCTCATGCACACATGCCTCATACACACATGCCTCATGCCTCATACACACATGCCTCATACACACATGCAACATACACACATGCCTCATGCACACATGCCTCATACACACATGCCTCATGCCTCATACACACATGCCTCATACACACATGCCTCATGCACACATGCCTCATACACACATGCCTCATACACACATGCCTCATAGACACATGCCTCCTCATACACACATGCCTCATGCACACATCCCTCATACACACATGCCTCATGCACACATGCCTCATAGACACATGCCTCCTCATACACACATGCCTCATGCACACATGCCTCATACACACATGCCTCATACACACATGCCTCATGCACACATGCATCATGCACACATGCCTCATACACACATGCCTCATGCACACATGCCTCATGCACACATGCCTCATACACACATGGTGGAATACTCTCATACCTTCTCTAAGCGCCTCAGCAATATGTTCAGGGTCGTGAAGGTGATCACATAGTGACCTCACTGCCCTCTGCCTGGTTAGAAGTGTATCATCATTCAGTTCTCTGTTCTAAAAATAAAATTTGAAGAATTTCATAACACTGAACAATATCTTTAGCATTATTGTAAATACATGCTTTCTTAAATACTCAGGTTTTATTTTGAGTCCTTATCCACTATGAAGGTGATCACATAGTGACCTCACTGCCCTCTGCCTGGTTAGAAGTGTATCATCATTCAGTTCTCTGTTCTAAAAATAAAATTTGAAGAATTTCATAACACTGAACAATATCTTTAGCATTATTGTAAATACATGCTTTCTTAAATACTCAGGTTTTATTTTGAGTCTATGTCTATGTCAATAATCTGCAAAAGGCTAATAAGCCCATATGAAGCAGATATATAATTTAACAGTGATAGAATTTTGAATAGAATATAATTAATAATTTAAAACATTAACATTTAAAAATAGATCTATTTACAGCTCATTTTAAAATTGAAAGGAATCTTCCTGGTTGGCCCACTGATTCATTGGCTCACTGATTCGAATTGCATATCGAGATAACTGTTCATCTCCATTTAAGGACTGAATTAATTGCGAAGCTTATCAAATTGAATATAGCAATGTTATTTATAAAAGTAAGAAACTGGTTACTCAATGTTTAAACAAAATGTTAAAGATAATATTACCAATCTTGGTATTGCTCTGTCTCCATATGCAAGAGGTGTTCTTGTGACATCAATCTGTGGTGGGTATAGTGCAGATATAACTGTTTTTGCCATTGTAACCTAAAATATGTATTAACATTTAGATCAGGACATGCATTTGGTATCCTAAATCTACAGTTAGTGTTTATCTCACCTGTAATTTTAAATCTATTTGACTATATGGACACAGATATGTATGCATGTTTAAAGTCTGATCTTTGTATAAAACGCAATATTTGGATGTATTTTTATTTTTATAAATTCGACAACTGACAAGATTATGAATGCCTATACAGTGTATATCAAAATGACATCATTAATAACAGTATTTCCAGTGCAGAATAAAAGCACAACAAAACATAAAATATTATTTCGGAAAAGACGGGAGTCGAACCAAGGTATGACCGCACGGAAAACAAGCATTTTTCACCTAGACCACATAGACGAATATACAGAGAGAGGTCAATCAATGCTACTCATCCAAACGACTTTAATGTACAAGTCACGTGATATTCTTAGGCGATGAATTTCCAAGAAATCGGACGGCGAACATCGAAGCAATGGAAGAAACAATCGTGATAATGACGCCGTTATCGTGAGTATTTGTGCAAATTCTTTGCCCCAATTGTTCATCAACGTACATGTATATTCTCTCAATTTAGCTCGAAATATCACAAGGGACATCGGAACAACTCACGATTGCTTTTTATCGAGAGCTCCTCTTGAAAGCCAATAAACTCTACGAATGTGATCGATTGATTTTAACAGAGACATATAAAACATCTCCAATTTAAATAAAGGTAGACTGTGAAGTCTCTAGGCTATTACAGAAGCAACCCCGAAACTATAATATTGATATCTACGACTAAGTAGGCTACCACATTTGTTGATCATTCAAGGAATGAATAGTCTTGATAGATAATTTGACACCTGCTGTAGAGCAGAGGTCCATCTAGAAACATATATGTACTGTATATTCAAGAAATACATAGCATATTTTAACCTTAGTGAGATAGGTCTAGTGACTCTATGTATTTTAAAATAACTTTTCAACAGTCAGACAATACACAATTGCATTTTAGTCTCTTGAAAGCCCATTGTCTAGGCTATATGATATAACAATTTTCAGCGCTCTCTCTCAATATTAGTAAAAATTATCACAAGTGATAAGGTTCGATGGGTTCGAGCACCCCCCCCCCCTGGCCAAAAATTCTTTCAAAATCATGCAGTTTTCCATCATTCTGAACACTTTTTAAGTAATTTTGGCCACTTTTGGACCCAAATTGTAAAAAGTGAACCCCCCTGGAATTTTTCCAAAAGTGACCCCCCCCCTTTGAAAATCCTGGCTACGGACATGTACATGCGTTCTAAAAACAGTAGCCTAACAAGTGTCCAAAGGGCTTGTTTGAGTTTGACTTGACTTGTCTTGGATTTTGAAACGGTGTGAAAATTGAAAAGCCATCTGGCACTGGTTTCTTAAATAAATCATTAAATTTGATGAGTTAGTGCTAGTAAACATACATTTTAGAATACTAATCAAAAATGAAAATTGCGCTAATATATACCTGAGAGCTACAAACCAATCGAATGTGTCGAAAATTTTACCTGAAATTATTTCGCTGTCTTCGTTGCCAGGATAGTTGTAGAGCTATTTGTTGATTTGAATAATTTGATAGAATTAAACCCAATCAGATATATTTGTCTTTTTAGATATTTACAGAATCACTAATGATCATTTAATAATTATATTGATATTATTTTGTACTAATAATTTATTAGTTTAATGTGTATCCTCGGTAATACCTTAATTGCGAAAAATACTGTATTATACGAAAATAGAACCTGTAAATATTAATAGCTTTTATCTAAAATTACAATGGCGGCAGTTTTGATTTAGGTTTTTCATTTTCAAACATTTTTGACAAGGAGTTAGGTGCCAATGGTTCGTATACATTTCTAATATACCTAATCAAAACATTAAAGGCAAGTATTCGTCGTGATGTAATACAGTTTGTCTATATATACTAGATTATTTTCACGGCCATATTTCCAAATTGAAATAGCAGAATGTCACAGTCAGACAGGGACCTCTGCCAGATAAGCTCCTCTGTGTCTAGGCTCAATAAATATACTTTATTTATCCTTTGAGCCTCCTACCAATAGGGGCGCCGCTGGATCTGGCTCCGGATCTGTGCAGTCAGAGAGAATGTTCTGGCGAGATTCTGGGATTTCAAATTCTTGAAGTTGGGAAACCCGGATGAAAAAAATGAAGTTACCTTTTTTAATTCCCAAATCTCTCCGAAATTAGCTCATCTTGGTGACTGTAAATTGCACAGCTGTATTCAATGGAGTCTTGTCATATTCAATCAGCCTCAATTTTAAAGTGTATATTTTATTTTTAACGTGATTTCATCGTTTTTTGTCGACTGGTAAGAATCCGCTGGGCTAATGGCAAGATGGATGACTTTTGACCTGACCTTGACCGATGGCGGTGACGTCATCAATTTTATCTCGACGTTGATTGGTTCAATGATGATTGTTTGGGAAATTTGAATTTAGTTCTCATAACCTCCCGTGACCTCCCGAATAGGTCACGTGACCTTGTGCCAGAAGTCCGACTTTTTTGTTCAAAGTACATTTAGTAATAATTATCGCTTTTCAGAACAATTTAGGAAACAATATTTTCTATCTACGTCGATTACAAAGCATCTAAGGTATGTAAATTTATATGAACAACTGAGTCAATAGGGATAAATAGCCCAACGAGAGTCGGCGGTCTTGAAAAATACTTGGATCTGGATGCCAGTCCTGTTATTGATATCATTCCCGTTCGAAGAACGTATTAGATGTCCGTGCAGAATGTCATCATGGGACCCCATTCTAGATTCAGTAAAATTAATAATTGTTATGATGGTTTTTGCACGAGATGTGAAATGAATTACAATTTCCAGTAATTTTGCCTGCAGTTTTTATTTGTGTTGTTTTTTCCAGAAATTCTAATAATGAAACCTCTGACCAGTAGTCTATTCAACTGTAGATATTTCACAATATTTCTTTCAGGGTTGTTATCAATGGGGAAACATTCAGCTGAAAGGAGAAAATTCAAAATATTCGAGGAAAGAAGAATAGTCTCTAATAAAAAAGGAACTGAAACAACATCACTTCAAGCTTGCTTAGATGAAAAGAGAAAATTGAAAGAATCAATTTTAAAAGGTTTGTATAGAACACCACACATACACAAAGTAAGGTACAAGTTTTGGTTCATGTTTTACATTTTTTCTCTTAATTCCAAAGATGTATTGTATTGTATCCTCCAAAGATGTATTTTTCATTTTTTCTATAATCTTTGCATTTTTGTCATAAATCAAGTCTGGACTTTTTTATTTATTTTTATTTATTTCATTAAAACATTATAACATTTTTACATATTCGTGGTCGTGACACCTACATAGGTATATAATTGACCACATATTGTTATTATATATTTATTGTTTCTTGTGCAATAAACATATAAAGTAAGGCCTATTTATTGTAAGGTTAATGAACATGTAATTTCCTTGTAGTCTTTCAAGCGGGTGAAGGCGTAGAATCAAAAAAATCTCATCCATCAAAGAAGGAATCCAAACAGTCAGTCACTGCTGAAAAAGGTTTATTATATATTATTATTTCTCTGTAGTGATAATCAGCATGTGATTTGTCAGTCATGTACCGTGTGACCAAAAATACCTCAAGGACTGGTATTCCATTCATGTGTAAGTCATTGATATCGAAGGTGTGTTTTTAGAAAAAAATACAGGTATTCAACGAATGTGACGTCACATGTATAAACTACTGTGAATATGTGGCATTATTTATCCAATTTTCGATTTTTGAGACAATTTATAGTTAATAAATTAATATTTGTTAATATGTATGAAATAATGAAACTAAAATTGAATTCTGTTTTCATGCAATACCTGTATATATTTCCGGGGGTCGATTCCACTTGTCCTTCGGGCTGCCTAGAATACACCCTCAGAAATATATACAGGTATTGCACTCAACATCATTCAATATTTGTACATGTACATATATAATTACAATTGACTAGCAAGACAAATCTCACAAAAGATAAACACTGTTTTTTGCACAGGTGCCAGAGAGAAACACACAAAACCTTGGTCCCCTCTGACCCATTACCTCGAGATGAGTGACAGTGATCATAACAAGCCACAGACGCTACACAAGATCAAACGTCGGAAAACTAAGAGTGAGCGAAACAAGTCAAAATATGGCATACATGAAAAGGTAATTTAAAATCAACAATTAACAATTGTAACGTCAGGGAGGGATTTTACTCACACGAAGTATGCAAAATCGGATGACCTGTAGCCGGGAGGTTCAAGTTCCTCCCCCCCCCTCTTGCTAAAAATTCTCTCAAAATCATGCAGTTTTTCACCATTCCGAGCACTTTTTACGTGATTTTGGCTATTTTTGGACCAAAGTTGTCAAAAGGGAATCCCCCTGGAATTTTATAAAAGTGAACCTTCCCCCTCCTTGGCAAATCCTGGCTAGGGGCCTGCTAACCACATATGAAATCACATGCATTGTGTATGTATTCTGCAAAACGCCATTCTATGATGTGTTAGAGATATCACATGAATGTAAGTTATCAAATGATACAGTTCAGGCCCGTAGCCAGGGGGGGGGTTCGGGGGGTTCGGGTCTGCAGTTTTAACACCATACATGATGTGTTGGAGGACTGCATTTGCATTGAATTTAGTACTTTTGGCTTTAGTTAAAAAAATAAATCACTTGTACAGTGTGTCAAATAAATAGTATGTTCTCCCCTTGATTTCAAAAGTATGAAATTTTGAGGATAAAAGTTCATCTAGTTGAGCTAGTCATCTGAAACTTCTTGTGGAGTTGCTCCATGAAGCCTAGTTTTGATGTGCTAAAAGGCAATTCAGATATCATGAAGACAAAAAATGTATATAACATTATGGGGGTGTTAACTAATGGGGAGATATATTTTTTCAACACCCTGTACAACCACTATTTATAAATGCCAAAAATGCTGAGAGTTTGAATTTAAAATGTCTTCATGAATTCAATCATTGCAATATAAAAATATTATCATTCATCTCATTTTTGTGATTTAAATATGTATTCAGCATGAGAAGGATGAAAGGAGTGGGATAAGAAGACATATGAAAACAGCTGAAGAAATGACTGGAGTAAGTCAATATGTATAGTTTTATAAGAAAAAGTTAAATATGCAATTGCCTATTTTCATTTTTTATACTCAAAGAGTTGATAATTGACTGATTAGAACTATTAAATTCCTGCAGCTTATTTGCCAATTAAAATATTTCCTTACCAAAAAAATCTTGATGTTTTTAAAAAATGCATATAAATCATGTATGTCCAAAAGTAACATTGAAACAATTACATTTTGCCCTTTTTGATAACATTAAATGTTTGCATCTTTGATTTTTGCATTGAGGGCTGTTCACTTTGTAAGATGTGCATCAAGGGCTGTTCTCATTGTGAGATGTGCATTGAGGGGTATTCACATTGTGAGATGTGCATTGAAGGTGTTCTCATTGTTAGATGTGCATTGAGGGGTTTTCACGTTGTGAGATGTGCATTGAGGCATGTTCACATTGTAAGATGTGCATTGAGGGGTATTCACATTGTGAGATGTGCATTGAAGGTGTTCTCATTGTTAGATGTGCATTGAGGGTTATTCACATTGTGAGATGTGCATTGAGGCGTGTTCACATTGTGAGATGTGCACTTAAGGGTATTCACATTGTGAGATGTGCATTGAAGGTGTTCTCATTGTTAGATGTGCATCGAGGGGTATTCACATTGTGAGATGTGCATTGAAGGTATTCTCATTGTTAGATGTGCATTGAGGGTTATTCACATTGTGAGATGTGCATTGAGGGGTATTCACATTGTGAAATGTGCATTGAGGGGTGTTTACATTGTGAAATGTGCACTGAGGGGTGTTTACATTGTGAGATGTGCATTGAGGGTGCTCACATTGTGAGATGTGCATTGAGGGGTTTTCACATTGTGAGATGTGCATTGAGGGGTGTTCACATTGTGAAATGTGCATTGAGGGTGCTCACATTATGAGATGTGCATTGAGGGTGCTCAAATTGTGAGATGTGCATTGGGGGGTGTTTAAATTGTGAAATGTGCATTGAGGGTGCTCACATTATGAGATGTGCATTGAGGGGTGTTTACATTGTGAGATGTGCATTGAGGGGTGTTCACATTGTGAAATGTGCATTGAGGGTGCTATCATTATGAGATGTGCATCGAGGGTGCTCAAATTGTGAGATGTGCATTGAGGGTGTTCACATTGTGAAATGTGCATTGAGGATGCTCACATTATGAGATGTGCATTGAGGGTTGTTCACTTTGTAAGATGTGCATCAAGGGCTGTTCTCATTGTGAGATGTGCATTGAGGGGTATTCACATTGTGAAATGTGCATTGAGGGGTGTTTACATTGTGAAATGTGCACTGAGGGGTGTTTACATTGTGAGATGTGCATTGAGGGTGCTCACATTGTGAGATGTGCATTGAGGGGTTTTCACATTGTGAGATGTGCATTGAGGGGTGTTCACATTGTGAAATGTGCATTGAGGGTGCTCACATTATGAGATGTGCATTGAGGGGTGTTCACATTGTGATATGTGCATTGGGGTATGTTCATATTGTAAAATGTGCATTGAGGGGTATTCACATTGTGATATGTGCATTGAGGTATGTTCATATTGTAAAATGTGCATTGAGGGGTGTTCACATTGTGAGATGTGCATTGAGGGGTGTTCACATTGTGAGATGTGCATTGAGGGGTGTTCACATTGTGAACTGTGCATTGACATGTTCACATTGTGAGATGTGCATTGAGGGGTGTTCACATTGTGAGATGTGCATTGAGGGGTGTTTACATTGTGAACTGTGCATTGAGGTGTTCACATTGTGAGATGTGCATTGAGAGGTGTTCACATTGAGAGATGTGCATTGAGGGTGCTCACATTGTGAGATGTTCATATGGAGAACTTTTGATACTATGCAAATCAATCTGTTAAAGGAAACAGAAAATATGTTCATATAATGAGACACATTTCCTTAGACAGGTTTAACTTAAAATGGATGTGCATTATATTACAACTAATGCATATACATATATTTTATAGAGAGCAAGTGCTGTTATGCATAACAATGTCCCCACCATGACTTCAATTACACAGAATAGATTGACAGTAAGTTCTGTACCCATGTCTTAGATTACTTGAATTTTAAAAATTACATTGTGGTTTGCTCCACTTATTGAATTTTGGGATTTTGATTCTTGTACGAGGTATACTATAGTATTTTTTATATTTCATAGATGAGACTGGGGTTGTTTAACAAGTGCAAGAAGTCTGGCAAAATTCAAAGAGGTATGATAACAATATCAGTGATCTCCCCAGGATTTTTTCTCAGCTGGGTGCAAGATTCTCATTTTCACAATTCAGACCAAAATTGGTCAAAATATGCCATTTTTCATGATTTTTCTCATTTTCAAGTGGGTGCAAATGTATTTTCAGGTGGGTGCAAGCCTACTTTCAAAATCTCAGGTGGGTGCAGTGCCCACTTTCTTTAATGCTTGGGAGATCACTGAATATACTACAACATGCATCCAGTTTGGCAACAAGTGACTAGCAATTCTGGAATTTTTATTTTGCTTGTTTCTACCTGATGGACAAAGTTCCATTTGAATTATGGAACATTGAAACCAGTATAGATTTCGACATCATTCATGACATTTTCTTTGCACATGTACTTTCTATTTCATTGACCCTGTAATCTAAACAAGACCCTTTAAAAGTTGATTTTTCACTGGTATCTAAGTAAGCCTCTTAAACATATGACAAATGGTAAATGAATGATACAAACATATTTTCAAACTTTACACGGGGACTTTAATTCAGAAGCACTGCCTGTATCAGATGCCCTGAGGAGAAGGACTGATGCTGATATACAGAGAATTATACATAACCAAGACACATTTGAAGACATTGACGAGAATTCCTTTCAACCCATGGAAACTGATAGGTAAAATGGAGGCACAAAGATAATCACAAGTGACGACATATTGTAGATTCAAGATTTTATTGAGTTTCAAGCCAAAACAATTGACTTCCTCACAAAATCAATTACAAGACATAATTTTACAGTTATACAGTAAAATAATATTTACAAACTAGTTTATTCCTTTTTCAAATAGCATTTCAAATATCAAATATTGTATAGTCTCCAATTTTGTGTGGATGGTGGTTTGGCAGTTGGCTTATGTAGCAAATGACATATGTAACAAATGGCAGGTGTTGAACTTTTGCATATTAAGGCTGTGTTGATAATTAGGGCCTGCCTTTTTATTTGAAATAAGGCCAATTTCTCGAAATGAGGCCCACATACAAAAAGGCCTGAGTTTGGGAAATGAGGCCAAAGTAAGGTCCATGTTTTGAGTTCTTCAGCGAACAACATAAATGGATGCCACAAATGTATTACCAGTATAAAACATGATGTACATGTACATGAATCTCACTTGCAGAATTGACCTGAATCTATACTGAATGTACATTTATCTTTTACTGTGTTTAGCTATGAGCCAACAAGACCAGTCTCAACAAACAGTATAACAAGCAGGTTGCCAGAATCGGGGAAAAGTGTTGTCTCAAGTGTTGGTAGTCATACAAGTGGAACCGGAGCAGTGAAGAACATGCCTGAAATTCAAAAGCCAAGAAAAAGGTGACTGATTTTGAATCTTATTTTTATTTACACTCACTGGTTATTATATATTATGTATTGTATTAAATTCCATTAAAATGTATTCTAGTCCTGCATCTTGTCTCTGGACTCCTGCTCTTGCTTCTTATCTACTTCACCATTGTTTCTGGAAAGTGAGGGGTGTAAGGGGGACGAAATCTTGATCCAAGGAAGACTATATATTTGTTCTTTTACATTGACATTATGTTATTCTCAGTGCAGGGTAGCTGGTTTTATTGATTCTATAATAGATATATATTTTTCTGTACTAAAAATGAAGAAATAGATATACTAAATAACTTACAATTTTGATTTGTTACAGAAAAAGTCCATATGATGAGATTCAAAGACTTGCACATGAACTTGAAGGATCAACATCTTCACCAAAAGTCAAGGTTTTCAGTGTTTACTGTTACATTTACTCTTCATTTGAAGTCACAATATTTCTTGTTATTATATCATTGCTAGAAATTGTGTGATTTGATTGGCTGATTCAGTACCATGTGATCAGAAATACCATAGCGTATTTCACAGCTCCCTGGATTATAAAAGATGTATTGCCCTCCCGGGAATTCTGACAACTGCACTGGACGAAAATAAAAGTGTCTTGTATGTTATTGATTAAATTAAATGTTAACAGGTTAAAACAAATACAAAGTGATTGTAGGGAATGTTTAGCAATGATATAATAAAACAAATATTTCATTATATGTTCGGGCAATACCTGTTGCACTTTCAATAATTTTGCAGCATGTGTTTCCCTTGCCCTACAGGCTGCGGGCATTACATACAGCAAAAACTCATTGAAAGATGAACAGGTATTGCCCTCCATAGAATAAAATATTTGCTCATTATTTTGGGCTATTTTTGCACAAGTCTGTTATCATGTTAAAGTATGTCAACTTTTCTCCCCAGGTGTGAGATGGTATCATGATATTTTATTGTAGGTTTGGTGATCCAAGAGATCCCAAATCCCAGACGTTTTGAGAATTTTCATCTAGGCTCATATTTTATGTTATTGGGTGTCACAAAACTTGTAGAGATTATATAAATTGATTTTGTCAATGATGATATCTAATGTTGGTCACAATTGATTGCAATAGAGTATTTATTATGTGATGTCTGAACATTAAGGGAAAAAATGCATATTAGCCATAACAATAACACATTATGTCAGTTGTATGTCCTATCAGATGACACATTAGGGAGTTTAAGATTAGCGTAAATAACCCATTTACCTATACCTATACGTAGTTTGTTATTACACTAAGCGGTATTTTACCTAAGTTACAGGGTTTACGATACGTAATTACCTATAAATGGCCGAAGATAGGTAATTCGAAAACGTATGTTTTTATCCAACAAATTATGTCATTTCTAGATCAAATATCATCCATTAAACTTTAAAATACTAACAACAAACATTTCTCATTCGATCTGCATAGAAATTTAGTGGTTGAACACATTCATTGATGCGATAAACGATGCCATGTGATGATGCATGGAATTGTTGAATTTACACATTCTTCATCAGTTTTGCTTATTGTAAATGTATGAAATCAGCCATTTTCTCGTGGTTTCAATTGTTTAACTTTACTATTTGGTCACTCTCTCTCTTGCTGGATCATGCTAGAAATTTAACATTTCGTTAAGTCACTGCCCCATTAGCGGGCCCACAAGCAACACCCCCTCCCAACTACAGTCGCTACACCACACTCTCTCTGAAGTATATAACAGTTCTTGGAGGTGACATGTACTGGTATATGCCATATAAGCCATCGCATAGTTTTCATTCTATAATTAGGATGTTAATTTTATCATAAACTTTAGCATACGGTTGCGTAGCCTTTTACGTTAATCTTAAACTCATTTTGCAATACGCATTACCTATACGTATACGTAACAAACATACGGATAGGGATAGGTACACGTATATTTTTACGCTAATCTTAACCTCTCTATTATGCCAGTTGTATCTCCTATCAGATGAGCTTAGATCTAAAATCAGAGCATGTTGCTTATGAAATAGAAATATTTAATGCAATAGTTAGCCTTAGCCAAGTCTCTTTTACTTATCTTGATTTCTATGGTAATAATTCAAGATCAGATAAGTAAAAAAATACAGACTTGGGCAAGGTCGCAAGGCTATGCAATAGTATTTATTGGGTTTCCAAATGGGTTGAATTATATCATGTATTAAATTTCATATTAATTAACATTTTATTTTCTATGCAGTCTCCACCACTCTCTGCTGCTGCAAAATACCTGATGTCCTTCATGAAACCCAAAGTCCTCTTTCCTGGAAGAAGTTAGTATGCAGTTTGTCGCATTTAATAATTAGGACCACTATAAGACTAAAATTGGGAGTGCAGAAAAAGATTTCTGTTTGAAGTCTTATTCAACATTCAATGATTTGAATAAACTTCTGTTTCAAGTAATAATTTCTCGTACGTAATACTGAAACATGGTTAATTCAGGGGCGTAGTCTTGCTTCAAGACTATGGATCACCCTCCCCCCCCCCTTTATTTACTTCACCTACACAACACAGGGACTAACAAGACTAACAGGGGCCTAACCTGGATTAAAATGTTAAAAAATTAATGAGGAATATCAGACCTTTGTTCTTCATTTCCATAATCATAAAAATGTCTGTATCAAACCTTTAGTAATATTTTGGTGAAGCAGTTGCCTCAACTGCCTCTTGGTTGGGCCTTGGTTGACTACAAACATTTAATAGTGAAATTAATTGTGTTGATTCACTGATATGCTCTGTTTTAGATTTAAATGCAGAAACTAAAGAAGAACTTGGCAGCCTACTTAGAAAAAAGTGAGAAATAGTTATTTTTATCACTTATCTCTATATCGGCCCAAAACCTGTATGATTTTTCACCAAATATTTACTCCTGTCTCTTTCCAGTACATCTTCAATCTTTACAGTTCAATCTTTTGTCCAGATTGTTCAAAAACCATGTGTTTTTCAGCGCTCCAATTGCTACAATGACACCCCAGAAGGTTGCAAGTCCAGCATCAAGCTGTACAAAGAGATCTCTACTCGACTGCTTACCCCCATCTCAAGGTATATAGCTACATACATGTGCTGTAATGCAAAACATGTAAATCATGCATATACTGTAAAACATGTTAATTCATGCATGCATTTTTCACAAAATCTGAATTTCCACTTGTGATATTTCTGTTACTCTTGGCATTCAAGAGATTTACACTATTTCTTTTTCAGAGAGCCAACACTCCCTATCTCAATCGAATTCTCAGATGTCACAAAATTCTGACCCACTCAATTTGAAAGCAATGGATGATGCTAAAACCTTACTATACTTTAACGAGCAAGCCAGAAAATTATCTCAAGAATCTCCCAAATTTGTGGACCAATCCAGCGGATACAAACCTCATGCTGCGGATGCACTTTGTCGGGAATCTGGGTTAATCCAAAAAGACCCCAATATGTCATATATGGAAGCCAAAATGACGAGGTCTCATTTGCATCCAGGAACAAGCAAAGGGGTTCAGAATATGGAAGTTGATTGTTATCCATCTGCAGCTTCAAATCAAAGAATTCACATGTGGAAGAACATTCCTCAGAATAAACCTACTGTAAGTACAGGGTGTGCCAAATAATCTCAAAATACCATAACTTTAATAATATGAACTATTAGTGAAAGTAGAAGAATCTATGCATATTTTATCATTTGTGTACATTAGTTACACATGGATAATCAAATATTTGATTCCTTTATACTATTCTGCTCTATGAACAGGTATATCCCAATTTCTCTTTCAAATGGTATATGACATTTGGTGACATTTGCTAATTTAGAATTTTCATTTTAAACATTGTACAGAAAGTACTTAAATAATTATTTCTCTGATGTATTTCCAGGGCTCTGTGATTACACAGTACAGGGTGGACCCTCATACACAGTACAGGGTGGACTCTCAGAAGTTCTCTAATAGGCGCTCTCTAGATGACATGTACATGCATGATCATAACAACTCATCGGCATACTTGGCAGATATATCAAATTTAGGGGTATGTTCATAACAATTGTTGTAATGTGGGAGATTCTGGATAAAATGTATATCCTGAGGGAAATAGATTTATGCATTTAAGAGCCTGGACGGCTGCAGAGTAGATATGTTTTCTGTGAGGTGAATATCAAATACTAAAGCAACCATCACAACTGGTTTATCCCATGGTTAAAAGAGCCTATCCCACACAGAGATGTTATATTGCACAACTAGATCAAAGTATTGAAGCACTAGGTCCAGGCCTGTAGCCAGGATTTGTCAAGGGGGTTCGCTTTTTGATAAATTCCAGGGGGTTCAATTTTGATACTTTTGGCCCATAAATGGCCAAATGCACTTGAAAAGTGCTCAGAATGGTGAAAACTGCATGATTTTGAAAGAATTTCTGGCTAGGGGTGTTTCCCTTGAATCCCCCGAACCCCATCTCCCCCTGGCTATGGGTGTGGGGTCTTCACCCATGCAGAGCTGCTGTGCTACATGATTGTCATCCTCAAAGGTTTATTTTTGTGGTGAATCTCATGTGCATGTCTTATTTCAGGAACCAGATCCCAATGCCTCAGACCTTCTAGACTTCATTGATAAGGAACCAAGACATGATCATCTCTACAATCAGTCCAATTACATGGCACATGCCAGTGATATGTATTACAACAATACTGATATATACAGCGCCAGTAAGACTTCTGTTACAAATAGTGCCCAGGAACATGTGTATTATGGTCCAAGGTCCATGAAGTTAAAAAGTGGAACCCCAGATTCAGAATCTGGGTCTCCTGTATGGTATATACCTGTAGTAAAAGCCAGTATGCAGGAAAAACTGCCACCTTCTCCCAAGGGGTCCCCACCCAAGCTTTACCGTCATAAACTGTATTGATAACTCAAGGATGAAATACAGAAATGGATCAGTGAAAATATAGAGAATATTTGTCACCCCAATTGTGTCTTTTAATAAAATTTCTCAAAAGTTTCGAAATTTATAAACTGATACTTAGCATGACATCACTGACATTTATGACGTCATCAAAAGGACAATTTCAAAATGCAGCACACATTATTCATTTTGTAAATTGCATTTTTCAAAATTAAGAACGCACAGTAAAACCTATAGAGTGGAACACCTCTGTAAATGGATCGCTTTTCAGAGTCGAATGGCTGATTGACTCAATGTCACAAGTGGAACATTTTGGATACCAAAGGGGTTCCACTTACACAGGTTTTACAGTATATTCATAAGGGATTGTGTGTAGAAAATAGTGCAAATGGGGCATGACATTGCATCATTTGCAGTTTTTATAAATATCCATGCAATGTTTTAGGGTGACGGAGGTGGAGCTCTACAGTGCACTGAGAATGCAAACAACGTAGTAGCTGACATTGCATCATTTGCAGTTTTTATAAATATCCATGCAATGTTTTAGGGTGATGGAGGTGGAGCTCTACGGTGCACTGAGAATGCAAACAACGTAGTAGCTGGCATTGCATCATTTGCAGTTTTTATAAATATCCATGCAATGTTTATAGGGTGACGGAGGTGGAGCTCTACAGTGCACTGAGAATGCAAACAACGTAGTAGCTGGCATTGCATCATTTGCTATAGCAATATGTGCTGATGCACCTAGACTTCCTTCTGTCTACACAGATGTAACAAAATACAGGTAAAAAGGCTCCAGGGTCTAAATATGAATAAATTGAAATAAATGCACTTAATTTAACATACCTGCCAAGTCTACTCTAGGCATCATGATAAACCATGACATCTCATTTCTTCTCAGCCCTGTGAAACAGAAAGATGCTATGAGTATCAGAATGACTCTAGGGGTAACCAACCAAAATCACTTCAAAAGTGCTCAGAATGGTGAAAACAAATTTCATGAAAAATACTTTTTTTGGCCGGGGGAGGGGGTTGTCGGTGGGGGATTTACTTGATCCCCCTGAACACCCCCTGGCTAAGGAGCATGTGACTAATAAATTAACATGCTTAGTTTACTTTGTTTTTTTCAGGGACTGGATTTGCACTACAACTAACAATGAAGTCTGTTAATGAAATGACAAAAATCTGATTTGATTTTTTGTGATATTTTTACCTAATATGATTTCATGTGATATTTTTACCTCATTTGATGTAACAAATACAACTTAAAGATATTGTGTCAATAAAAAGTGCTTTTGAATAAATACAGAACTATCATTTCATGTTTTAATGTCATCATCAATTGGTGATGGGACTGGAACAAAATGGAGGAATTGGAAACAACTTAACTTGATGTCCACATAAAAATTCTGTTCTTATATATAATTAATAGCTCAAAGTTTGGTAGTCCAATGCCGGGGGTCCAATGTGGGAATTCGGTTTGCCAAAAGTATGGAGAGGGTGTATAACAATATTACATATACATATTGCACATTCTATACACAGAGGAGATTACCATTTGCATTCGTTCGACTTTACTTCTATAAAGAGAGATTCTTCTTGTAGTTTATAACTAGACTCTGCATGCAGGGTAAGAGGAGAATATGTTCTATTAACTTGTGTGTGGGAAGGGGGAAACTTCTTTTCAGATGTCAATGCCCCATTAGCGGGCCCACAAGCAACACCCCCTCCCAACTACAGTCGCTACACCACACTCTCTCTGAAGTATATAACAGTTCTTGGAGGTGACATGTACTGGTATATGCCATATAAGCCATCGCATAGTTTTCATTCTATAATTAGGATGTTAATTTTATCATAAACTTTAGCATACGGTTGCGTAGCCTTTTACGTTAATCTTAAACTCATTTTGCAATACGCATTACCTATACGTATACGTAACAAACATACGGATAGGGATAGGTACACGTATATTTTTACGCTAATCTTAACCTCTCTATTATGCCAGTTGTATCTCCTATCAGATGAGCTTAGATCTAAAATCAGAGCATGTTGCTTATGAAATAGAAATATTTAATGCAATAGTTAGCCTTAGCCAAGTCTCTTTTACTTATCTTGATTTCTATGGTAATAATTCAAGATCAGATAAGTAAAAAAATACAGACTTGGGCAAGGTCGCAAGGCTATGCAATAGTATTTATTGGGTTTCCAAATGGGTTGAATTATATCATGTATTAAATTTCATATTAATTAACATTTTATTTTCTATGCAGTCTCCACCACTCTCTGCTGCTGCAAAATACCTGATGTCCTTCATGAAACCCAAAGTCCTCTTTCCTGGAAGAAGTTAGTATGCAGTTTGTCGCATTTAATAATTAGGACCACTATAAGACTAAAATTGGGAGTGCAGAAAAAGATTTCTGTTTGAAGTCTTATTCAACATTCAATGATTTGAATAAACTTCTGTTTCAAGTAATAATTTCTCGTACGTAATACTGAAACATGGTTAATTCAGGGGCGTAGTCTTGCTTCAAGACTATGGATCACCCTCCCCCCCCCCCTTTATTTACTTCACCTACACAACACAGGGACTAACAAGACTAACAGGGGCCTAACCTGGATTAAAATGTTAAAAAATTAATGAGGAATATCAGACCTTTGTTCTTCATTTCCATAATCATAAAAATGTCTGTATCAAACCTTTAGTAATATTTTGGTGAAGCAGTTGCCTCAACTGCCTCTTGGTTGGGCCTTGGTTGACTACAAACATTTAATAGTGAAATTAATTGTGTTGATTCACTGATATGCTCTGTTTTAGATTTAAATGCAGAAACTAAAGAAGAACTTGGCAGCCTACTTAGAAAAAAGTGAGAAATAGTTATTTTTATCACTTATCTCTATATCGGCCCAAAACCTGTATGATTTTTCACCAAATATTTACTCCTGTCTCTTTCCAGTACATCTTCAATCTTTACAGTTCAATCTTTTGTCCAGATTGTTCAAAAACCATGTGTTTTTCAGCGCTCCAATTGCTACAATGACACCCCAGAAGGTTGCAAGTCCAGCATCAAGCTGTACAAAGAGATCTCTACTCGACTGCTTACCCCCATCTCAAGGTATATAGCTACATACATGTGCTGTAATGCAAAACATGTAAATCATGCATATACTGTAAAACATGTTAATTCATGCATGCATTTTTCACAAAATCTGAATTTCCACTTGTGATATTTCTGTTACTCTTGGCATTCAAGAGATTTACACTATTTCTTTTTCAGAGAGCCAACACTCCCTATCTCAATCGAATTCTCAGATGTCACAAAATTCTGACCCACTCAATTTGAAAGCAATGGATGATGCTAAAACCTTACTATACTTTAACGAGCAAGCCAGAAAATTATCTCAAGAATCTCCCAAATTTGTGGACCAATCCAGCGGATACAAACCTCATGCTGCGGATGCACTTTGTCGGGAATCTGGGTTAATCCAAAAAGACCCCAATATGTCATATATGGAAGCCAAAATGACGAGGTCTCATTTGCATCCAGGAACAAGCAAAGGGGTTCAGAATATGGAAGTTGATTGTTATCCATCTGCAGCTTCAAATCAAAGAATTCACATGTGGAAGAACATTCCTCAGAATAAACCTACTGTAAGTACAGGGTGTGCCAAATAATCTCAAAATACCATAACTTTAATAATATGAACTATTAGTGAAAGTAGAAGAATCTATGCATATTTTATCATTTGTGTACATTAGTTACACATGGATAATCAAATATTTGATTCCTTTATACTATTCTGCTCTATGAACAGGTATATCCCAATTTCTCTTTCAAATGGTATATGACATTTGGTGACATTTGCTAATTTAGAATTTTCATTTTAAACATTGTACAGAAAGTACTTAAATAATTATTTCTCTGATGTATTTCCAGGGCTCTGTGATTACACAGTACAGGGTGGACCCTCATACACAGTACAGGGTGGACTCTCAGAAGTTCTCTAATAGGCGCTCTCTAGATGACATGTACATGCATGATCATAACAACTCATCGGCATACTTGGCAGATATATCAAATTTAGGGGTATGTTCATAACAATTGTTGTAATGTGGGAGATTCTGGATAAAATGTATATCCTGAGGGAAATAGATTTATGCATTTAAGAGCCTGGACGGCTGCAGAGTAGATATGTTTTCTGTGAGGTGAATATCAAATACTAAAGCAACCATCACAACTGGTTTATCCCATGGTTAAAAGAGCCTATCCCACACAGAGATGTTATATTGCACAACTAGATCAAAGTATTGAAGCACTAGGTCCAGGCCTGTAGCCAGGATTTGTCAAGGGGGTTCGCTTTTTGATAAATTCCAGGGGGTTCAATTTTGATACTTTTGGCCCATAAATGGCCAAATGCACTTGAAAAGTGCTCAGAATGGTGAAAACTGCATGATTTTGAAAGAATTTCTGGCTAGGGGTGTTTCCCTTGAATCCCCCGAACCCCATCTCCCCCTGGCTATGGGTGTGGGGTCTTCACCCATGCAGAGCTGCTGTGCTACATGATTGTCATCCTCAAAGGTTTATTTTTGTGGTGAATCTCATGTGCATGTCTTATTTCAGGAACCAGATCCCAATGCCTCAGACCTTCTAGACTTCATTGATAAGGAACCAAGACATGATCATCTCTACAATCAGTCCAATTACATGGCACATGCCAGTGATATGTATTACAACAATACTGATATATACAGCGCCAGTAAGACTTCTGTTACAAATAGTGCCCAGGAACATGTGTATTATGGTCCAAGGTCCATGAAGTTAAAAAGTGGAACCCCAGATTCAGAATCTGGGTCTCCTGTATGGTATATACCTGTAGTAAAAGCCAGTATGCAGGAAAAACTGCCACCTTCTCCCAAGGGGTCCCCACCCAAGCTTTACCGTCATAAACTGTATTGATAACTCAAGGATGAAATACAGAAATGGATCAGTGAAAATATAGAGAATATTTGTCACCCCAATTGTGTCTTTTAATAAAATTTCTCAAAAGTTTCGAAATTTATAAACTGATACTTAGCATGACATCACTGACATTTATGACGTCATCAAAAGGACAATTTCAAAATGCAGCACACATTATTCATTTTGTAAATTGCATTTTTCAAAATTAAGAACGCACAGTAAAACCTATAGAGTGGAACACCTCTGTAAATGGATCGCTTTTCAGAGTCGAATGGCTGATTGACTCAATGTCACAAGTGGAACATTTTGGATACCAAAGGGGTTCCACTTACACAGGTTTTACAGTATATTCATAAGGGATTGTGTGTAGAAAATAGTGCAAATACACAGCCAATATAATTCGACGTCAATTCGACGTCGATTCAACGTCGAATTGGTGCCAACGCTGAAATATTGGTTGCAGATTGCAGGTGTATAACAGAGCCTAATTAGTGCTTAATATCATATAAACTCTTGAACAGAGACGGAGACCGTGATATTTAACGAACTTTATTGTGTACGACTTGTAAAAAGTCACAGTCAGTTAACTTTCTCAAGGAATGTTAACAACTTTCTCAAGGAATGGCAAGGAAAGGGGATCCCATGTTCTTGAATGACTTCTTATGCAATATGATATGTTTATTTATACATAATATTAAGAGACATGGATTAAATGTTTTTTTATTTTATAACTTAGGGCTGGCAATTAAGTCTGAAATTATTTTCTAATATTAGTATCATAAATGTACTTTACATGTTATAAGGCAGAGCCTATATGTTATGTATCTATAATCTCTAGTCTATTAAATTGTTACAATTTTACAACAATAATTATACATTTTGTTAAATTGTCCAGTTTGTTTCAATAGTAATCTGACTATGTGATTTACATTGCTGTATGACAGTATATATCCATATTACAATATATAGCTGTATAACAGTATATAGCTGTATAAGAGTGTATTACATACCCAGCGAAGCATTTGTACTGAAGTCAATGGAGCTGAAGGTCGGCTATATATTCCTGTATAGCCGCCAAACCTTTTACCATGACAATCTTATCACATCATCGGGACGTCATGTTTCATTTCTTCCTAATTTCACTCGCACACAGACACGTGGCGTCATTGATATAACGTAGCCGATATAAAAGTATGTAATTCAACAGTTATGTCCGTATCATTGAATATATGCCTTCGGTCTGTCGTAATATAACCCTCGCAAGCTCGGGCTATATTGGTGACAAACCTCAGGCATATATTCAATGATAGGGACATAACTGCTAAATATAGCTGTTTAACAGTATATAGCTGTGTAACAATATGTAGCTGTATACAGGTATAACAGTTACTTTTCCCCAACATGTTCATATTTTTGCAAAATTTTGTGTACATATCTGAAAAGAAGTTTCCCCCTTCCCACACACAAGTTAATAGAACATATTCTCCTCTTACCCTGCATGCAGAGTCTAGTTATAAACTACAAGAAGAATCTCTCTTTATAGAAGTAAAGTCGAACGAATGCAAATGGTAATCTCCTCTGTGTATAGAATGTGCAATATGTATATGTAATATTGTTATACACCCTCTCCATACTTTTGGCAAACCGAATTCCCACATTGGACCCCCGGCATTGGACTACCAAACTTTGAGCTATTAATTATATATAAGAACAGAATTTTTATGTGGACATCAAGTTAAGTTGTTTCCAATTCCTCCATTTTGTTCCAGTCCCATCACCAATTGATGATGACATTAAAACATGAAATGATAGTTCTGTATTTATTCAAAAGCACTTTTTATTGACACAATATCTTTAAGTTGTATTTGTTACATCAAATGAGGTAAAAATATCACATGAAATCATATTAGGTAAAAATATCACAAAAAATCAAATCAGATTTTTGTCATTTCATTAACAGACTTCATTGTTAGTTGTAGTGCAAATCCAGTCCCTGAAAAAAACAAAGTAAACTAAGCATGTTAATTTATTAGTCACATGCTCCTTAGCCAGGGGGTGTTCAGGGGGATCAAGTAAATCCCCCACCGACAACCCCCTCCCCCGGCCAAAAAAAGTATTTTTCATGAAATTTGTTTTCACCATTCTGAGCACTTTTGAAGTGATTTTGGTTGGTTACCCCTAGAGTCATTCTGATACTCATAGCATCTTTCTGTTTCACAGGGCTGAGAAGAAATGAGATGTCATGGTTTATCATGATGCCTAGAGTAGACTTGGCAGGTATGTTAAATTAAGTGCATTTATTTCAATTTATTCATATTTAGACCCTGGAGCCTTTTTACCTGTATTTTGTTACATCTGTGTAGACAGAAGGAAGTCTAGGTGCATCAGCACATATTGCTATAGCAAATGATGCAATGCCAGCTACTACGTTGTTTGCATTCTCAGTGCACTGTAGAGCTCCACCTCCGTCACCCTATAAACATTGCATGGATATTTATAAAAACTGCAAATGATGCAATGCCAGCTACTACGTTGTTTGCATTCTCAGTGCACCGTAGAGCTCCACCTCCATCACCCTAAAACATTGCATGGATATTTATAAAAACTGCAAATGATGCAATGTCAGCTACTACGTTGTTTGCATTCTCAGTGCACTGTAGAGCTCCACCTCCGTCACCCTAAAACATTGCATGGATATTTATAAAAACTGCAAATGATGCAATGTCAGCTACTACGTTGTTTGCATTCTCAGTGCACTGTAGAGCTCCACCTCCGTCACCCTAAAACATTGCATGGATATTTATAAAAACTGCAAATGATGCAATGCCAGCTACTACGTTGTTTGCATTCTCAGTGCACTGTAGAGCTCCACCTCCGTCACCCTAAATAAATTATTGCATGGATATTTATAAAAACTGCAAATGATGCAATGCCAGCTACTACGTTGTTTGCATTCTCAGTGCATTGTAGAGCTCCACCTCCGTCACCCTAAAACATTGCATGGATATTTATAAAAACTGCAAATGATGCAATGCCAGCTACTACGTTGTTTGCATTCTCAGTGCACTGTAGAGCTCCACCTCCATCACCCTAAAACATTGCATGGATATTTATAAAAACTGCAAATGATGCAATGCCAGCTACTACGTTGTTTGCATTCTCAGTGCACTGTAGAGCTCCACCTCCGTCACCCTTTAAACATTGCATGGATATTTATAAAAACTGCAAATGATGCAATGCCAGCTACTACGTTGTTTGCATTCTCAGTGCACTGTAGAGCTCCCCCTCCGTCACCCTAAATAAAATATTGCATGGATATTTATAAAAACTGCAAATGATGCAATGCCAGCTACTACGTTGTTTGCATTCTCAGTGCACTGTAGAGCTCCACCTCCGTCACTCTAAAACATTGCATGGATATTTATAAAAACTGCAAATGATGCAATGCCATCTACTACGTTGTTTGCATTCTCAGTGCACCGTAGAGCTCCACCTCCGTCACCCTATAAACATTGGGTATAATCAATGGTAGTAATCATTCATTCTGGTGTGCCCTCTTGTATCTGGCTGCCGTTCACTTTGGAAGGATACAGACAAAGGGGCACGGCTATCGCGATGGTAGCAATAATTACAGCCAAAAATGGTAGATTAAGATGCAGAAATGGCCTTTACTAAAATTGAAAATGAGTGGTTCACCTGAACTGATTGCATTAAGTCAGAAGCAAATACTTAATAGGTGTTCTGTGATCAAAAGATGACCATTCTTTAGAAAGACACTGTCAAATCGTCTTACTTATGACCCCAGCATTCAAAAGGTTATCTAACATACCGGGCACATTGCAATTCCGCTTTCTATATTGTCACCTCCGATACAAGTATGATTAGCTGTCATCTGAATGTTGGTCCATCTTTGATCACATTCCTGGTCTGTGTTAATACGTCCAAATCCTTCCTCCAGGACCTCTGATGGTTGACCAGTTACTGTATACAATTACAAAACGTAAGTCGCTGTACATAACTTTCAAAACCCAATGTAGTTACTGTATGCAGTTACAAGACCCAATTTAGTTACTGTATGCAGTTACAAGATCCAATTTAGTAAGTTATTGTATATAATTAGGTCTATGACACTAACAGTGACAATTGCAGTTACAAGACCCATTTGAGTTACGATTAGCAGTTACAAGACTAGGTTTAGTCAGTTACCGTATATAGTTACAAGACCAAATTTAAATATACTACGGTATAATACTCGATTATGATTGGTAAATATCACTTCTGAGGTACTGTTTGGGCACGACGTACGTTCTACTTATGCCTCAGTCACATTTGATATACGACAACCGTACGGCGGCCTTAGCTTCCCAAAATCGAGAGAAATATACAGCATACAATCACGCCCGGTGATCGTGAATATGGGACGGAGGGGGGAGCAGGCAATTTCTGCTAGGAAATTCAACAAATCTGGAAGATTTATTTTTTCAAGAAAAGGTTTACTATTGAATTGCTAAATGGATAGGCACACGGTATGGTAGAATATGTTCGGTTTTCTGGGATTTTTTCTGAAACGATACGCATCTAAGGTATGAGATCTATTAAAAAAGGCGCAAGGCCATCAACAGGCACAAATCAACGTTTTTGCTATAAATCAAGCAACAATGGACTACACGTCCTGTAATGAATACTTGTAAGTGATGTTATTAATTAATGTCGTTGCTGAATTTATAAAATAAGTTTCCATACGTAAAATAAAAAATAATCGAAAATAATTAAAATGGGACGGAGGGGGGGGGGAGGGGACGGAGGGGGGAGTAATAATTCTATAAAGTGAAACAACTTCACACGAATTCTTGTATTTGAAAAATGTACTCATTAACTTAGTAAGAAACTGGATGATATACCCCTGGAGACTGAAAAATGGTGACATTTGGAGTAAAAGGACTTAAAGTCGCGAAACATCTCTAATCATGTCTTATATACATATTGCTCCCCCCCCCCCTCCGTCCCCTCCCCCCCCCCCCTCCGTCCCCTCCCCCCCCCCCCCCCCTCCGTCCCAAATTCATTATTTTCGATTATTTTTTATTTCACATATGGAAACTTATTTTATAAATTCAGCAATGACATTAATTTAGTTATGATAACATCACTTACAAGTATTTATTACAGGTCGCCCAGACCATTGTTGCTTGATTTATAGCAAAAAACGTTGATTTGTGCCTGTTGATGGCCTTGCGCCTTTTTTAATAGATCTCATACCTTAGATGCGTATCGTTTCAGAAAAAATCCCAGAAAACCGAACATATTCTACCATACCGTGCGCCTATTTATTTAGCAATTCAATAGTAAACTTTTTCTTGAAAAAATAAATCTTCCAGATTTGTTGAATTTCCTAGCAGAAATTGCCTGCTCCCCCCCCCCTCCGTCCCATATTCACGATCACCGGGCGTGACAATATGCATATAGGGATACGCAGTACAAAGTAGATTTTCAATATCGACTTTGTGAAGCTACTACCCTTTGCATTCGTTCGACTTCGCTTCTCAAAAGAGAGCTTATTAATAACTGGGCTAGACTCTGCGCGCAGGGTATGAAGCTACGGCTGGCGTAGAGCAAATGTGACCGTGGCTTTATAGTATGATTTGGGCAATTCACACAAATTAGTAGAGTAGGGCTAAGTACAACTTAACAAAATCTGCTGACTTTGTCTGCAGTTTAATGTTGACGCTCTTAGTAGGATGTCCGAAAAATAGGTTTAATTTTGCAAAAAAAGGTATCTTTCCGTCTTGCCTGGATACATACGATACGATAAGTTAAGAATTTCACTAACTAGTCTCTCCCCAGCCCGTGATGGTACAGTTCTGGTTGAAAAATGTGGAACCAGCCGATGCAAGAGGAACAGTCTTTGTCCATCGTCCTGAAACATCAGCCTGGCCGCTCAGTTGAATAACAGCGATGTCGTGATTTTGGGAACCACCCCCCACGTATTCTGGGTGCTGAAGGATAAACGTAACATAAAGGGGAAAAATCCGATATCCATGAAAAACAGTGTATTCAGAATTTGACGAGTATGGGTAGGTAAGGTATCAGTATGATGTACTTCAAATGACCATAATGAAAACTTGTGACCTCATGATTGACTTGAGGACCCGTAGTGTACCAAACGGTTGTATGTTGTGAACATGTTACCTAACGGATGGAAATATCAATTGCTAAAACTATGGATGAATGCATGTATGAACGGTACATCCGGTACATACCACGGTAAAACTCTGCACATTAAACTCCTGCTCCTGAACCTCGCCGAGGTTGTTCAGATCATAAACGCCAGTGATCACTTCATAGTCTGCTGGGTCACTATTAATAAAGGATTTAGATATACATGTAGTTGTCAATAAATTGGGAACGGTTTTAAGTAGGGTGTTTTGTAGGAGACTTTGCACAAGTGCGGGTTAGCCCATTCTGATACTCATATCATCTTTCTGTTTCACCTGGGCTGAGAAGAAATGAGGTGACATGGTCTATCATGATGGGGTTAGCCCAAATTAAAATGCTAGCATACAAGACACGGGTGCATAATTTAACCCATTAAAGGATTTAAGCTCAGGACTATTGCACTCATGTGTTGTTTCCAGACTTTGAATGAGGGCGGCAGAAATATTTTTGCAAGGCCAAGATTTTGGCCTATATGGATAAGCACTGTTTATTTAACTATTTATTTTGATACAACATGTATATAGTTTAGCATAAATTATGAAATTGGCTTTCAGTCAGAATGTGTGATGGTGGCCCAAGCAACCAAAACATTTTTTAAAGATTTATTTAGAATTTTACTAAAATTACTAAAATGAAGAGCTAGAAGTTTCAAATTAAAATCGTTTTAAAGCTCTTTCTTCAATCTAACTTTTCTATTTTTTAGTTACGGAAGGGGCGGTGCACCCATCGCACCCCCCCCCCTGACTACGCCTATGGTTGACCCTCTTACTTTCCTCTTGTGTAACAATGTGCAGCAGTTAACACCCAACCAGGGGCAATCAAGACACCCGCGCATTTAAAGCCACTAACAATGAAAACATCTTCAAATATGGCCACGACGTATGGATACTCGCCTCTGTCCGTCGGCTGACCGTTCGCAATGGCATTAGCTGGAAACAAGACAAAAATCAGTCATTGCACGGTTCATTGCAAAAACGTTAACACTCTAAAACGTGAACTCTGAATTTTTCGATTTTCAGTAAAACTCTCATTAGAAACAGTACAATACATAAAGCTAGGGGAAAATATTTTTGCCTGAAACATAAGAATCGTGTGAGTCAATGCTACTTAGAATATTAATACAAAAAGCCCCCCCCCCCACAGGATGGGCCCAGAATTTTTAGGTTTAGGCCAAATTATCCAGAAAATGGGCCTTGAATTAAAAAAATTGGGCCCCTAAAACCAAAAATTTGGCCCAATTTTTGAAGAAGCTAGGCCCATTTTATAATAATTTGGCCAAAAAGGCCTAAAAATGTATAACCTATAAGGTCCATTTTTAGGCCCTTCAAAATTTTGGGCCCAAAAACTAAAAAAAATAATTTTGGGCCCACTGAAGGGGGAGCATGCCCCCTCCCCCTGGATCCGCCACTGCCAAAAACAAGTAGCATTTCACTGGCGGATCCAGAAGCTTGCGCGGAAATATTTTTAATTAAATTTTAAATTTAAGAATTTTAAAGAAAAGTACAAATCATACAATAAAATTACTTACTGATTCCAATACAGGAACAGAACAACGCTAAGAAGGCGATCATTTTACAACCGTTGAACAGTCCTTCAAAATGTGTTGAATTAAAAAGCGAATATTGGACGATAAGATTGGTGGTTTTTGTTACCAGACATTGAGAATAGACAGGTGGTTTTAAAGTGCCTCTCCTTGCTCTAAAATCGTGGTACATGTATAGATATCTAGCAAGGAGTGGTCAGTAAAAAGTGCATTCATTTTCACAGGTCCAAGGCAGAATAGAGCTAACGAAGTTAGGCTCATCCAAAATGGCGGACAGAACTATTTGATTAATAATACAAGTCTTCGATTTCAAACTGATAAATTTTCGATTCTATGAAATTCATGTACTTCAATGCTAAAGAAAACGCTGTGACGAATCCATCATTGCTATAAACGACTAAAAGGACCAGGGCATATTTGTTGAAAACATTTTCGAGGACCTATCGCAAATGCTGTTGTTCGTTTAAATTAACATCGATGAAAAGAAAAGTAAAAAACATTTATTCATTGATACATAAATAAGACGTACAGTATTTATTTTTCATTACATTGAATTCCATTAAATTACGACAACTAAACTATATTATACACGTATTAGTATTACAATGTACAATACATTGTCTAGAGGTAGCCTATTTTTACTGACAGACTTCATTGTTAGTTGTTGCACAAATCCAGTCCCTAGAAAATAAAGAAATAAAAATACTCATTAGGACTACAATCAACACCCATATTGTTGGATTCCCAATCAAACTGGTAACTGGGTAAGCTATCGTGCTTTAACCCCCCCCGCCATTCCTTCTCTCCGGTGAGAGATCAAGGGAGGGTGGGTGTACGTACATGATCTAGATACAAATACAGACAGTCAGAATACTTGTAAGACAAAGGTTTCAAACAACGTTTTTAGCACACGTACATGAATGTATCTCAAATCTGAACGCATTCATCAGTTTATACGTAGCAGTTCAATCGAGATGCGGTTGCGGATACGTTTTTGCTATTTGGTATTTACCTGTATTTTGTAACATCTGTGTAGACAGATGGCAATCTAGGTGCATCGGCACATGCTGTTGCAACTGCAAATGATGCAACCCCAGCTACTACAATGTTTCCACCCTCGGTACACTGTAGTGGTCCACCGTCATCACCCTAAAACATTGGATACTATATTTAAGAAGCAACGCAACAAATTATCCCATTCAATCACTGTAAACAACATCCCCTAAATACTTATACAAACATCAACGCACTTTACTTTCGGGTGGTGTCAATAAAGTCATAGGTTGGCATATCCTTTAAATGATGATGGTGCTATCCTCATCAGACCACCACCATCATGTTGGGTTAAACATTAAATATGTGTTGATCGAGCTTAGACAGGGAAAGACTGACTTGAAACTGAATTGACAAGAGAGAGGGTAAACACTGTTGAAAACTGTTGGAAATTGATCCCATTTTTAATTGTACAGATTTTTTTCACAGTTAGTAATCCGAACCCCATTTATGCCCAAAAGTAATAACCATTCTCTATGAGATCCGTGTGTGAACTATAAAACCTTACATTGCACATTGCAGTTCCGCTCTCTGCATCATCCCCACCGATACATGTGTGATTGGCTGTCATCTGGATGTTGGTCCATCTCTCATCACATTCCTGGTCTGTGTTAATACGTCCAAATCCCTCATCTAGAACCTCAGATCGGGTTCCGATCTCTGTAAATAATAACTAACACAATATTGTGTGGTACTATGATCGTGTGGTTCTATGACCGTGTGGTACTATGACCGTCCCATCATCCCGTTAAAAGGCCATTTTATGTCACCGCCACAAGTGGTGACATGTTATAGTCTCCAACGTCTTTGTGACGGCGTCTGGCGGTCAGCGTTCGGAGTTTGGCGTCTGTAACAAATGGCATGTGGTGACATTTTCTAAGTTAATGCCTTGAATATACCATGCAGTCATTATGAACCCTCCTCGTTCACTCGGCTCCATTTGGCTGAATTCGTACATAATGGCTGGAAATGTGTTACAACCGCATTACAGTATGATCTCAGAAACAGAGAAACCAAAATTTATTTTTAGTAGACTACCACAACAAGGGTACCACAGGCAGAATATTTCTGTCGAGCTGAGACACAATGAAACGAATTCAATAGGTTAAACAATTGATTTAAAGTAAGATTATGACAACGATCTGAGCCTCGGTAAAATATACCCAAGCATCGACTTACCAGTCTCTCCCCAACCCATGATTGTACAGTTTTGGTTGGTGAACGTTGCACTAGCTGAACCAATTGGAACTGTCTTGGTCCATCGTCCTGAAACATCAGCCTGACCGCTCAGCTGAATGATCGCGATATCATGCAGTTGTTGACCACCTCCCACGTATTCAGGGTGCTGGAAAACACCTAGAGTTTGAAATTTCTTTCAAAATTATGCCGTTTTTCACGATTTTGAGCACTTCTCCAGTGATTTTAGCCATATTTTGGCCAAATTGTCGACCCCCCCCCCCTTGAAATTTTTGAAAACTTGGCAAGTTCTGGCTACGGGCCTGAGTTCTCATTTGAGCACGTATTTGGATGGCCGTGCCCGTAATCTCGCATGCTCGGTCTTCACTGCGTTCAGATGGGTAAGATGAAGATGCGTGTAACCAAAATAAATGGATACGTGTTCTTACAAAAAATGAATGCTAGTGTGAACAAGTGTGAAAGATGTAAGTTGAGATCGTTCCTCATCAATATGATCCTCACTGGCCCTGATTGAGCATCATCTAATAAGGATTTATTGTATTACGATATTCTATTGATTAATGGACAAATACGCGTTGGCCTGCCATCAAAAACGAGGACATGCGCACGACAAAGACAACGAAAACAATTCATAGATTCATGAAGTCATTTGACCACGTGGTACGTACCCTTGTGAAACTCTGCACGTCGAAGTACTGCTCCTGAACCTCACCCGGGTTGTTCAGATCGTACATACCAGTGATTACTTCATAATCTGCTGGGTCACTGAAAATGAGAAAGATCGAATAAATAAAGTAGGCCTAAATAGGTTTAAGTTTGGGGTTGACACATCCTCCAAGATCGGGCATACTCTGTCCCAGCTCGTGGAATAAATAGAGAATATCCTATGATTTTTGAGGGATACCATTTTTATCCATGAGTGGATATCGCCCATCTTCACGAGTGAGCGCAGGTATTTCAGAAATATGAAATACCCTTGGCAAAGGATGGAGTTGACCCCATCTGATGGTATTTATTTTGTAGATCATAGGAACTGGATTAACCGCGACTCCATCTTTCATCATCTCCATCTCCCATTATTGACTTAGTATCGTATTGTCCCTCTTACTTGTTTGTATTGTAACAATGTGCCGCCGTAAGCACCCAGCCAGGGGCAATCAAGGCTCCAGCGCACGTAGCGTCACCAACGATCAGAAATATATCTTCAAATATGGACACGACATAAGGATACTCGCCCCTGTCCGTCGGTTGACCATTCGCAATGGCGTTAGCTAGAAACGGACAAAAATCAAGTGATCATGCTGCAATAGTATCATGATAAAATTAGATATATTCTCAGTCATGAGATATTTCTCGAAAAGAAGGATTCAATAGACATAATGTCACCACCAGTTACTACGAATACGAACTAGTATTGGAAGTTGTAAGAATTTGTCATAGACATCGGCCAAACGCCGACCGTCGAACACCGTCCACAAAAAAGTTGGAGACTTTAACAATATGTCACCACTTCTGGAGGTGACATACAAACGACAGAAAGATAGAATCTTAAATTCACGGCATAAAACTCGCATTCAAATTAAGCAGCTTTTGATATTGGAAAAATAGATTTCACAGTTCTCGAAGCACTTTTAGAAAATAAAAACAGATTTTACAATTTACATCCTTCATTTTAGCATGGGCATTCAACTAGAGTTGAATGCCCATGATTTTAGTGTTTCACGCATCATCGTAAGTCATCATCTCACTCTTCTCAATTTTTAGATGTTGTTAAGCGTATAACTTAAGACAGGATAGCTACAAGTATAACTAAGAATGTCGCTTCATATCTTGAAAGTTGAAACTTACCAATTCCTATACAGGTACATAGCAATGACAAAATGGCGATCATTTTTACTGGTCAGTGTTGAATTTAAAAAGAATACTGGACGATAAGATTGCTTATATATGGTTTAGACAAATGTTAAATATTGAGAACCATACAGATGGTATTTTGGACATTTCATAGACCAAATGTACTTGTTAGTAGCCTATAAGTGCAAAGGAGTGGTCAGCTTTACATACAGTATTTTTTACTCCGTGGGAAGATTTTAACATTTTATTAACCTTTTTGTCTCATAAATTTGGTACTTTTGTATCGTAAAGGCAGGCCATATATGCATGTAAACCATATGTTTTACTGAGGCCAACGTGGATCTATATCATGACACCCAGTGGCGTAGCTACGTGTACGCCAAGTACGCCCAGGCGTACTCTCAAATTTTAAGAAAAAATAAAATTTACCTGATTAATTGTGATGAAAAATAAATATTTTACCAAGATTCCAGGCAATCTGCCAAATTTGAACGTTGGGAACTTGTTCGACGGATTCGAAACAGACCTTGAGGCTGGAGATGTACAAGAGCTTCAAAATAAAGTAACACGGTGGAGCCATAAATGGCAACAAGTTGCTCTAGGGAACATCCCAGCAACTCTTATTGACACTATTCAACAGACCCCCCCCCCAGCCTCTTTACCCCGATGTCTACACGTGTTTGGTCCAGCTGCTAACATTGCCAGTATCCACTTGCGTGGCTGAACGAAGCTTTAGCAGTTTGAAACGCATTAAGCCATACTTGCGTTCCACAATGAACGAGGAAAGACTTCCTTCCTTGGCCATGATACATATCCATAGGGAACAGGATATAAACATTGATACTGTTATTGACATGTTCGCAAATGCAAAAAAACTGAAAGATAGAATTTATTCTATAGAATCACGTTGTTAAGATCCGAAATGGAGTTGAAACGGTCGTGTAACTGTTCTTTTATTGTTAATCATCTTGTGAGCTAGATAAAAACAAACACAGAAAAATAATAATATTTCATGGAGAATGACCACAAAAGCTTAAAACAATGAGCCTCATACATACAGTTTTAGGTAGCCTAAAAAATAAAATCGCCTTGATAGACGGCTTCGATCGCCGATGGCATGATTATATAGAATCTGTCTATTTTGTTTCCCGAATATTATCTGTTAATACAGTTAATTCAATCCCTTTAAAAAGCTATGTCAAAATGATCAAACAATACATATTTCCTTCATTGAATTAAGAGTGTTTAGTGTGTCCCCTATCTTCTGAACACCCGGGATCTTCCTATTTTATGGAACCATCGTTTTGTTAATTTTGATAAAACCGGGAAATCATACGGGCGTACACTAGCAAAATGGGCTAGCTACGCCTCTGACACCACGGGCTTTCACCCGGGGTTTCACTAGCCCATGATGAGAAAGATGACGGACATCATACTTTAACGTATCTATTAAAAGAGGGAAGCACCTCTGTCACTGTTCACATAGAGAACGCACATTGCTGTATAGTAGCAAAGGATTTGGACAGACCCCATATTTCAGATAGCAAAGAATTGGGACAGAATTTCCCCATATTTCAGATCCTATTTATCCTTCGAGTAACAACGAGTTGTAGAAATAATGTCATCAGCAGATAAACCGATGTTTCTCGCTCCCATCAGATCTTGGAACCATTTTTAGGACTATGTATAGGGAACTTGTAGACTTTTTATGCACGTATACAGGGGACTATGGGAGTTGTAGAGGATGAGATTTTCTGGGGGCTCGTGTGAGTCTCCTCCCCAGTCAGGAACATGTTGACTTCACTTTTTCTTGGAAATTATACTTTCGGGCGAAAGGGGATATTAGAGCCTACGAGGGCTATTGCAAGACTATATGGTGCAAACGAATTCCGACCTTATAAAAAAATTAGAAATGAATTTTCCGAGGTTATATTTTATCTCCTATTTAGCATCCTCCGTACGCAGGGCTCCAAAATCCAGAATACCTTAAGCTTCTTTCTTTTTACGTACAGATTCTGGACACCTGCTTAGGAGAATGCTATCCAATTCAATTAAAACAGTTTATCTTAAAATATTCAAGTTTGGCGATGGTTGGGGTGATCAATGGGGGGGGGGCATTTTTTAAATTCCAGGGAGGTTCATCATATTTGACCTATTTGGCCCCAAATCATGAAAAGTGCTCGGAATAGTGAAAATGGTCATGGTTTACTCGCACCCCTGAACCAACACCCCCTGGCTTCGGGCCTGACAGTTTTCAGAATATCACCGATGAGAGAGGAAGTTCTGAATCTGTGCCCTCAACACTAGGCCGAACACACTAAATTGTTTGAAAGTTGAAAGAATGTGGGGAGGGAAACATACGAGAGCTCATTGCAAGACTATATGAGGTAACATAAGAGACAATATTGGTTTCCCTTTTCAAAGATGGACCCACTGGCGGATCCTTTTGGGCCGCGAAAAAAATTTTTGGGACCCAAACTTTTGTAATTAAGGCCTCAAAAAGGGGCTTTTTGGGCATAATTTGGTTTTTCTTGGCCTTTTTAGGACAAATTATCAAAAATGGGCCTCAAATTTTCAAAAATAAAATTTTGACTCAAAATTTGGGCCCCCTTTTTAGCTTCTGGATCCACCAGTGAGAACAACCACTTATCGTGGTTTGGGGTCTGGGCATGGTCGTCACAAAGTTGAGGTAACTTATCCCTCTTATCGCTTAGAAAACGAGACAAGGCACATTTATGCAAAATGTCACCATCTGCCATCTGTCCAGGGGCCGAATGCCGAACACTAAACACCATCCATAAAAAAATCTATGTCCGTGGGACACTTTCGGAATGAACATGTTGATTCTTTCCATGGGGCATCGTGGGATTTTCGATCATAAGACGTGTTGTGTCAGGAAGCCCAACATACACCAATGGGACACGGTGGGATTTTATGGTACTCATTGGGGCTCGATGGGACTCAATGAGGCACGATGGGGCAAAGTCATCAAGGTCCCATGGGGCTTTGTGGGATTCGACGGGGCAAGTTGGGATTCGAAGGGGCAAGATGGGACTCGATGGGGTAAGTGGGATTTTGCCCCAATGGCGGTGTATACTGGGCTTTACTTTTTACTTAATGATTTGCTTACCCCAAAGCACTTTTTCTTTCTCTTGCTTTTATACCTAATATGGTTGATATGTGTTCAAAATACCTCAGAGAACGTTGGCGTCAAAGATAAACATTTGTTTTGCAATGTAGGTTTAGTTTTAGTCTTGTATATAGCTAACTTTAATTTACAACCAAAATAGGATTTTAATGACGTAATTGGGAGGGTATTTTTAATAATATACTGATATTTTGAGTTTTAATAAACATTTTGGGCTACGAAACATATAAGCCTATATATGATGGACTTTTATCACTGGTAACCAACATTTTTGATTTCGCATTATATAATTTTATAACTGGCAACCAGGTTCTCGGGATAATCTTGCTTGTTTCTTATTGTAGGTGGCCTTTTATAACTGACAAGTACTGGGACAACCTTGTTTGGTTTGCATTTTAGTGGACTTTTATAACTGGCGACTAGGCTTTTGTAGTCCGTCCTGGATAAGTTTGATCTACATCTAGCTTACATCTAAAAAAAAAAGTTTGATCTACATCTTTTGTCGCTGGCAACAATTCTTAGACTTAGGCTTATTCACGCGGTATTCACGTTAGGTCAACAATCGGACTTTTATCACTGGCGGGGATACGCCGTTTAGGCCAATACCCGGGAGCCAATAACGATTCATTTAGGTAGACCTAGTGTCCCTGGGATCCATATTTCTCAAACACTGGATAGTAGATAGTATTTAATGTCCTCATAATCCATTGTTAACACAAACGGTTGTTAACACGGTCAGTTCCCGGGGGTCAGTTCCACTAGTAACCTAGGCCTAGTCCGTCTATCAGTCTGTAACGTGCAGGGTTGCTGTACCCCCATAAATGTGGGGTTATTTTGAGGATTTTTAATATTTAGGACATTTGTTACTCAAAATAACATATCAAAAAAACTCAAAGTAACCCCACATATATGGGGGTAGGTTGCTGAAACCCGGGCTGAAAGTTCAAAACAACTGGCAAGAGTTTTTCAATGTAGGCCTAAGACGCTTGTTTCATAAATAGATATAATACAAATAAAATTCATAATACAAACAGGACTGATATTCCTGTGATCTAACTCGCGCTGTCAATCAGCCGTCAGGGCGGCGGCTGTCAATGAATAAAATGTACATAATGAGGTCGGGCTATACGGCGAATACTCTATTCTGATTGGCTCTGCGTTAATTAAATAGGTCATGTCCGCCATTTTCTGTACGAAAGACAGCCATCATTGTGATGAGTGGCATTTGTATCGAACCTCCCAGTTTCAGGTAAATATCGTCGAACAGGGAGCGCAATTGATCATCGATACAATAACACGGCGAACACAAAGCATCGAAGGTTCATTCAAGCCTGTCTCGACGTGGATCTAGGCTGTATTAGTGAAGTTAGATAGACATAAAGTGAGCTGTTTTTTGCCAAACAAAAAGAACTTGTAAAAATGGACGATCGGGGACAATACGGAGCACCTCAAATGATGGGAGGTTATGGCATGCAGCAGGATCCAGGAAACGTCCAAGGAGGGGATGTAAACTCCGAGCAAAGGAAACAAGAGATCGGTGACATTCTTCAACAGATCATGACCATCACAGATCAAAGCTTAGACGAGGCTCAAGCGAGGTAAGTTTGTGAAATTTTCAAAGTTTGCAAAATTATTTTGTCCTTTCCTCAGGCTCGTTAGAAACTGAGAAAGTGAAACAAAAACAGAGACACACGCCAGTCTCTGACTAAAGTATTGTTTCTAATTCCAGAAAACACACTCTGAATTGCCACAGAATGAAACCAGCCCTGTTCAGCGTTCTTTGTGAAATAAAAGAGAAGACTGGTAAGAATCATCATATTTTCGCCATCAGTCTCTTCATGTTCCATGTACCATGTTCATAGAATTTTTCACTTTTGAGCATCATTTGACTCCTAGTCATATCCAATCAACTTGTTTTGTTTTGTCTGCTTTATTTTACTTTGACTAGTAAAGACTATGATGACAGTGACATATCTTACATTGCGCACTACCTGTATAGTATAGCACGGATTGATAGAAGGTGTAAAAATGAAATAGTAATGTAGCCAGGGAGAGGGCGAAGGTTCCCCCTGGCCAGAAATTATTGAAAATCATGCAGTTTTTCACCATTCTGAGCACTCACATGAATTTTTAGCCAAAAGTGTAAAATAGCTTCCTTTGACAAAAGCTCTCCCCCTCAGTAAAACCTGGCTACAGGCAAGATATACCACCATCATCTTCTGTGAAATAATAGACAGTATAACCATGGGCTTTCAGAAAGCACATGGTATAACTGTAGTGAAAACACGGTAACAAACTAAAAACAAATTTACAACATTAAATCACAAGTTTTGACGGAATTATCCATAAAGAGACCATTTTAATTAAATGTTTGTTTGTTTTACTACATATTCTAAAGGCACAAAGGGTAACATTTGAAGAACACATGCAAAACAAACTTTATTAATTCAGAAAAAAACGGTCTGTATGCCATATAACAGCCAGTATTACCACTATTCATACACCATGGTTCTGTTTAAAATATTCATGCATTCACTCTCAATAGAAATGTGCTTCTCATATAACCATTAATTTGACGTTCAAAATTCATGTTGACATTTTTTGTCTAATTCTTTTCAAACATAGAAAACAATAACCCAGATGCGAGTAGAAATAATCTTGATTTACGTCATTAAAAATTCAAAATTCAGTCAAAGTAATATCATATTTGAAATCTACATGTAAAATTATATCTAGAAATGTGGTTTTAAAAAGTGTTTATGAACTTTGAAAAATTAATTTTCTTTGAAAATGTGACTTCTAGCTCGGGGAGATTCCCCATAGACCCCATGCTATAAAATCACAAAAAATGAAATATCTTTTCTTTTAGTGGACAGATAATATTTTGCTTTACTGGATATATTTTCATTAGTATAAGTATCAGACACATAAGGGTTATATGAAAATTGAGCCACTTAAATTGATAATATTCAAGTTTAAGGGAACTTTCTTATATACCTGCCATGTTAATTGACCCGAATCAGCCACCTGGTGGTGAAACTGGTAACTACCTACTCGCATCTGGGTAATTAAGTTCATGTAAAATTATAGCATATGGACCAGACTGACATTTGAGAAAAACACAATATTTCCATTGTATCCTAATATGTGTTCAAATAAATGTTGAGAGTTTTATCTAATTCAGACCTTGAAAAAGATACAAAACATATTTGCATAGACTATCAGACATACCGTCATATTAAAACTGTGAGATAAAGGCACCAACTATTATTTATGTGTTTTCATTATAGATATACCAATAATAGAATTCACCACTTCAGTTATATATTTCAACCATTTTAAACTAATTCAATTTTCTCATGCTTTGTTCAAGTTACCTGCACTTACATGATTCAATGAAATCTTATTAAAACTATGAAATATTTTTGCATGCTTTCTGATAGATAGTCAAACAAATCCAATAGCTACTCCTTTCAAATCTTTTCAAGCATGTGACATGTACCCCGAGGTGCAAAATCAAAATGTAATTTGTGTAACATCGTAAATGTGCATGTATACCTGAAAATAACACAGTCAAATGGAATTTTAGCAAATTTTGATTATTTGGAAATATGTATTCAAATTGTGGACATTCCTTTATGTTTTTGGAGATGGTTTTACCTGAATTGGAGTTCCCAATATACCTTTGCTTAGCTGAGTTCTACATGCTGAAATATTTAGTGAGATTGAATGGAAGATTAGAATAGCAGATAATCCTAATCCAGTTTTATCCCCCAAAGAAAGAATTATAAGAGACTATTTACAGTAGTGCCCAATGTGTGCAGTATATTACAGTGCAATACAGTGTTATGTTGTGCATTATTGTATATTACCATGGTATTGTCCACATTAATATGATACTTTCAGATACATGTACTTCTCTTATTGGTTGTGAGTTTTGATAGGTACTGTTTTGACAGTTACTGTTAATAGTAAAATTGCTTACTAATACTTTAGCAATATGCAAGAAATTACAAAAAATTACACAAAAGAGTACAAGTATAGTATACAGGAAACAATGAGGTTAACTCAGATTTTCTCATCATTTTACATTTCTGCAAGAATATATAGTAAAGTCCCACTTAATGTTATTGTTAAGGGAACTCTCTGGACAACATATTAACTCAACTAGAGTGGTAGATTTAATATGGGAGCCAATGGGACAAAAATATGGTACATGAAACTAACTAATGCCTCGGTCACGTTTGGTCCACCGCAACTGTACGACGGTCGTAGCTTCCCAAAATCTGGAAAATTATGCAGTATGAAATATAGTGATAAGCAGTATGATGTAGATTTTCTATTAATTGTCGCTAAAGTTGAGTTTTTCCTGCAGAAACCTGTATATTTGAACACCTCTCAATGTGAACACTCTCTCTAATTAACTTGCATGTTTATAAAACCTATGAATTGTGAGTATCTGTTAATCTGAACACCTTTGACAGATTCCAGAAATGTTTGGACAAGACAGGTTTTACTGTCGATTGAAAGGTCTTGTAGTGGACACTCCAAAATCTATGATAAATCTCATTTACATTGACAATGAGGGAAGAGAAGAGTATATTATTTGAGGTATTGCTTGAAGCTCTGCAATTGAACATTATGGTTATAGATCCCTTGGGTCAAAGCCTGCAACATTCTAATAATCTTCTTTCACAATATGAAGGTTACTCATCCAAAATATCTCATTTGATGGCATATTTCATGAATTGAATTTGCTAGGAGTATGGGTTTATCATGGGAAATTGAGTGAGAGCAGGGAAGCAAAGATACTAGTTAATATTAAATTTGTAGAAAGATAAGAAAACCAGAAAATTTCTTTGAATATTTACTAATGATCATTTCTGCTCTTGGATCAACCTACATATTTGAAATTGGGTACTATAACTGGAATTCATTGCATATTCCATATTGAATATTGATATCAATTGCGTCAGACTTTCATTTTTTATATAAGACATTGAGATACGCACGAATTTTAGATATTGGGAATTTCTAAGAGTGAGTGACCGTGAAAATCACCAACTATGACAATTTAGTGTTTATAACTCACCCTGGATCTCTCTGACGCCCATAAATGTGCCAATACCGTCTGGCCGTTTCTGTGCTTTATATCAGTTTTATGTTTCTGCCTTCTTCTTTTATGACTGGGTAACTCATCTAAGTCAGCTGTACGATTTTCTATTTTGACTGGCTAAGGGGTGGGAAGAACGAGACAGTGGTTTCCAACCTAAGAACCGGCCCTGTGAATAACTTATGTTAAAGTTGCAACATTCATGGTCATGGAACTGTTGAAGTTTAAACTGTTTATTATTGTTCTGTTATAACTTTGAGAATGAAAAAGATTTAACTTTCACTTTTGACATTGGTTTTGGGTCAAGTCTGTGAAAATTTTCTGAAAACAATATGGTTGAAGGTCCCACAAAGGAAATAATACAAACACAACTGATAAAGTCTATGTACCTAGATGTGGAAGTAGGTTTCATACTGTGGTAAGAAAAGTTAAAAGGGATTATATCCCATATAAACAATGAAACAAATGCAGTTGTAGGATGACATCTAGATAACATGAAGTGAAAATGAATGATTCGCAGCACTGACAGTTAGAACTATTTCAAGAAGTCCAGTCTCCAGTATTACAAGAAACTACAAGAACGTCTTGATTTGAAGATAGCAATTTCTTAAATTTTACAGTAGTTCTAGAATATTTACCGATATGTTTCCATTTGGAACATTCCTCATGTAACATCCTATTTAGATGTTGTATTTTGATGTTTATAGAAGGTTATCAGTATATTTACCAGATGGTATCTCATCCAAAATATTTTCTAAAAAATCATTGCTATTTCACTCTTTTTCTCTGTTAAATTTTAATAAGCTTTTTGAATTCCTTTGACCCATGCTCACTTAGTAATATCGTCCATCAGGCGTTTATATTTTTCCTGCTTATTTCTACCAGTTTTGATTTCCATGCATTGAAATGTTTTTGAAGTCTTGAAATTTTCTGGATGGTAAATGTTACTTTTACATGTAAACTCTGGGTTAGGATTACCCCAGTCCTGTTTTTTCATGATGTTCTATCTTCACCTTAAACATGAGCTATTTGGGAAATTACACGAACATGTGGGATTTAAAGTTGATGAAGGTGTGTTCATCAAAAACATGGGATTATGTGACCCTAAATAGTCTTGCTCGAGGTCCGTCTGACCTCCTTTAACACATAGAGGGTTGATGCAAGACTAACCCCCTATTACTGTTGGAATATTTATCCCATACCCGGGCGAGTATGATGGGGGCAGATGCAAAACATAAGACATTACCTTAGATATGATATGTGAAGCCAGATTCCTAAAATATAAAGGACCATTTGACTGTTACATATCTTTCCATATCCTTAATGAGATGTGCTAAACGTTGGTATTAATTACCAGTTTTGATAGGTCAGGAAATAATATAGAAAAAAAGAATATAAATATTTTATGAGTCCGTCTAGCTGATATAAAACAAGGTTAATATGTTGTATAAAAAAGCAGACTCCGAGGCCGTTTCCTTTCCTTGATAATATAATACAATAAACAGCTCATGAAACTTTATCGACAACTTACAAGCCTTTGATCGAGTAACCGGAAATTTGATTACGGAAAAAGATTCAAAGATGTCTACCTGTATTTAATTTGTTTCTATTGCTTATCATTTGTTGGTCAATTAATTTATAATCTTACATCATTTGCTGATTACTTCTAATTCTTATGAATTAGTTCCCT